ACGGCCATAGACGCCGTACGTCAGGTTCTTCTCGTTGTTCTCGGCGAACTGATAGACCGACGTCGGCGCCGCCTGCTTGACAATGGGGGGCTTGCCAAGCGAGCCCGCGACCTTGTCGACCCACTGGTTCGCGGCGTCATGGTCTTCGCCGGCCCATGTCACGCCGAGCGCAAACACGTGGCCGACGCCCGGGAAGGACACGCCAAAGGGCTGCAGGTACAGCTCGGCAGGCAGCTCGCCCGATTCGCGCCAGCCCTGGTAGGCAGCCGAGAATGCTGTCCAGGCACCGTGCAGGTCGCTCGGGTCGGACACCACCATGCCGGCCACAATCTCCTTGAGGGGGAATGCCTTGGCTGTCGTCTCGACAATCACACCAAAGATGCCGCCACCACCACGCAGGCCCGTAAGCAGTTCGTCGTCGCCCTGCAGCTCGACCAGCTCGCCGGCAGGATTAACCAGCCGGACACTCAGGATCTGGTCGACGCCGGGGCCGTGCTTGGGCGCGAAGGGACCGTAGCCGCCCAGCGTGGCCCAGCCCGTGTAGCCGACACTTCCAACAGTGCCAACGGGCGTGGCGAGTCCAAACTTCCCCAGCTCTCTAGACACATCACGTAGGAGGGCGCCGCCACCAACCTTGACCGTCTTCGACGCCTCGTCGACCACGACCGAGTTGAGGTCACGCAAATCAATTGTCAGCACGCCGTGGATCTGGGACCGCCCTGCCGTGTCGTGGCCGCCGACCCGCACGACAAAGTCGACATCGTTGTCGACGCAGAAGCGGATGAGTGCCTGGACGTCCGCGGCGGACTGGGGCCGCGCAATGGCAAAGGGCTGGGTGGCTGGCTTCGAGATGAAGGCGGCCTTGGTAGCAGCAAAATCGGGCGAGTTAGGGGTGTAGTATTTAATGGCAGGGTATTGCGCAAGGTAGTCGCCGAGAGTGGCCGCGGTGGAGGCATTGCCGGGAGCCATTTTTGTATGGGAAGTATTAGTAATCTTGGGGAATGCTATCGGGAGGAGGGAAGCTTTCTTAGGAAGAAGGTACGATCGTGATATTGTTGACCAAGGTCAAAGTAATTATTTACAAAGTCCAAACGGCAAGAGGCGGCGACGAGAAGATATAGAGACTCGCACCTGCCTAATGAGCGTGACAGCAATACGCGGAATGACGCCAGGTCCCGGCGCTCTCATTTCCTAATACTGAATTGCATGCATCGGCCACCAATGTCTGGCTCCATTGGCGTGGAATCAGGAAACACACGAATAACAGGAGGTAATACGTGGTAGAACTATGCGTAATACGGGACAATTACATGTCAACTGGAGTGAGCAATGGCTCGCATCAGCACTAACCGTCAGCCCTCTGATCGTCTCCACTCGAAACAACGACTGCAAGACAAGAGTGGATGATTCCAAAGCCACAAACCGTCCTCACTTTCGTCGCATTAACTACCAAAAGTCTTCCTTGAAGTTTTGGTAGAAATGGCGTCGTGGGCGTTGTCCAAGTTAAAACTCAGTTCAGGGCCGGCCGTCAAGATAACGGGAGTATGTCTCGGTCCACCGGGTTTGCTTGCTAGTGGGCTGGCAGAACCGCAGCCATTGCCGGCTAACAAGACTAAAATAAGCCGGTGTAGATTTTGCGGCCGCCGACACTTCGGGGCCGCCAGTCGCTGTGATCATTTCATTGTTGCGATACATCTCCGGGGAGAGGGTTGCTTTTCTTACAATAATAATCATCTCTGACACAGTCTGAAGCAAGAACCGTGGAACCTTTCTTATAGGAAGGAGCGTAGCACGACCAGAGACGATGACCAATGTCAACAACGCCAGGCAAAGACGCTCTGTCTCCAGTGAGTGTGATTTTGTCGAACCTTGAAACAGCGGCTTGTATTTTTGCTAATCGACGCGAATTGCAGCCGGCTTCATGGATGATGTTGTGGCTCATCAAATTGCCAACCAGGTCAGGCAGGCTATCCTTTTCATTTTCCTGCGTGGTCAGCAAGCCAACAGAGACGATATGGACCATGAAAGGATGTCAGACGACAAAAGACAACAGCTGTTTAGTTTCAATATGTATGTATAGATGGTCAATTTCTTAAAGTAATCTTCATTTTGTCTCGTATCAGTCGTCTATTGAAAATAATAATTGTCAATACAAATTATGATTTCATTATCAAAAATGTATCCTTTCACAAGAAATGCCATAGGAGCGACATTAAACAGGGTAAAAATGCCATGGCGACTTCACAAAGACTCGCGATTGCCAGTCTTTTACGGGCCACGGTCGTCATGTTTCTGAGACAGCTGTCGGAGAAGTGACCTGAGTGTTGTGGACCACTGTGCATATCGTTGTACAGCAAGCCCGGTTTGCACCTTTGCTGACTGACAAGTCTGTTGCACTGCAGTTCTATTGCGGGGGGAGAAAGAGAGACAACAGTCATCGTGCGCATCGGAGCTGTTGTGCAACCGGTTCCTTCTGACCATGTCAAAGGATGATGGAACACGAGAGACAGAAGTTGTCCCAGGGAGTAGATGAGGGAAGAAAAGGATAGCGACAGTGCGTCCTCGGCACGGAAGCGTCGTCCCTCGGGATCCCGCAGGAGCACAAACACATAAACAAAAAGCACAGATGCCGCACACATGCCCATTCCAGGTTGACGCGTGTAGCTGGGATTGGAGTTGGCAGGTTGGTGGCACACGTTTCTCCAGGTGGCACAACATAGCAACATGTGGTATAGGAAGGGGACACGAGAAACGACACATGGAGCAAGAAGCACGAAGCAGGAGGCAGCAAGCATCAAGTGCAGAAATGGAACTGCAAAGTGCAGAGACCAACCCAGAAAACACGTCTTGGAGCTCTATCTAAAATTAATGCCCGCCAGCACAAACCTGTGTTATTGCATGCGCGTCGAGAAGAAGAGGCAGGGCCTGTGAGGAGAAGGAAAAGATCAAGCAACGTATAAAACGAAAAGCAAGGCAGAAACCCATACAGATGAACACGTAAAAATCAAGAAAAATACAAATGCGGCAAAAGAAAACAGCAGATTGCCAACCCAAAAGCCAAATATGTCCAGCGACGCCCGGAATTTCCCCTCTTGTTGAAGATCAAAGGTCGTTCAGGCACCCGAGGGGCAAGATAAAGTCGTGTGCAGCGTTTGTGGGGGAGCAAAACGTCTCTGCAGCCGGCGTTTGTCGCCCTCGGTAGTATGGTATGCAGACTGGCCGTATTAATGTAGCGGGGCTGTACTGTGTATAATTTGAGGGATGCAATAGCGGAATAGATGGTGCTCGTAACGTGCCGGAAAAAGAAAAAAAAACGAATTTTCTTTTATGAAGTCTATTGTTTGTTGAACGCCTGGTACCCGAGTGTCGTGTCGTCTAAGTTACCCGGTAGTGCGGTCGAGGCGTTGATTTTCAAGTGTTTTTTTTTTGTATCGCTTTTCATATTTCTCAAAATAAATGCGAAAAGAACAAAATGATTCGAGCGAGAGAGGGAATGTCGAGGCAAGTCGCAAAAAAATCGAGGATAAGTAAGAGAGCACTTCGGTGGCTACTCCGCCTCCTCGAGCAGAGTGATCACAGGTACATCGCCGAGCTTCTCGCGGCCCTTGAGGAAGGAGATCTCCAGAATGAACATGTAGCCGACGAGCTCACCGCCGAGTTTCCGGACAAGTTCACCGGCAGCGGCAGCCGATCCGCCTGGAAAGAGGCACGTTAGCGGAGAAGAGGCACCCAAAAAAGCATGTGATCGAGGGGTTGGGATCAGAAATGCGCCCTAAGACCGCCAAAGCGCAAAACAACGCAACAACGAGCGCAACCGCGAGCGCACAGCGATCAATTGCGCAAAACAGTAGCAACTTACCCGTCGCAATGATGTCGTCCACAACAAGGACCTTCTGGCCGGGCTTGATGGCATCCTCCTGGATCTGGAAGAAATCGGTGCCGTACTCCTTCTCGTAGCTGGCCGTCACGCATGAGCCCGGCAGCTTGCCCTGCTTGCGCACCGGCGCAAAGCCGGCGCCAAGACGCAGGGCCAGGCCAGGGCCGAACAGGAAGCCACGGGCATCAAGACCGACGACGACGTCAACCCAGGGGGTGTTGGGGGTGGCGGTGACAGCGGGTGAAAAGTGCAGGGCCTGGAGTTCAAGCGCGCGGAGGAGACTGGCATGGACAGCAGGGTCGAGGAAGATGGGCATGATATCGATGAAGACGATGCCCTTGATCGGGAAGTCGACGAAGCGCCGGAGGGCATCATATAGGCCTATCTTTGTACTGGCGAGTTCGGTGGCGGCGGCGGCGGCGGCGGCGGACTGTCCTCCCGAGGCATTTTGGGCAACGGAGACGGTGGTGGCAGCGGGTCTGGAGGCGTCTGGACTTGTTTCCTGACTCTGGGCAGTCTGAGAGACCTGGGAGGTCATGATGGGGAAGAGAAAGGAAAAAAAAAGAAGAGACGAGAGAGAAAAGAGGCGGGGAGGGGAAGCGGAAAGAAAAAGGGAGTGGACGCGATCGAAAGGGCGGTATCAGCGAGGAGGAGGGGTGAAGTCGAGAGAGGAAGGGGGACGAAGAGTGTGTGAGAGGTTGAACACGAGAGATGCAGTGCACGGAGGGGTGCAAGATGGGAAATCAAACGCTGTACTGCGCAGAATGTAGGTGGTGCACAGGTGCTGGTCGACGAGGGTGCAATCTATGCGAGGCAGCGGATGAGGAGGAACGAGAGAAAAAAAGAAAAGAAAAAAAATCGTTGGCTGGAGCACAGCTAGGCTGTAATGGAGGGGTGTGCCGTAAGTGGGAGCCGTGTAAAGGAAAATAGTGAACGCTAAGGAAGAAAAAAATTGCAGCTGGGCACTAAAGAATAAAAAAAGATAAAAAGATAAAAGATAAAAGCAGACATAAATTAATGAGAAGTACTAGGGCCGAAATAAAACAGTTGTTAGAATGGAACCTGGAAAAAAACGGCCTATGAAATTCAACGCAAGGGCAACAATCTAGCGAGAGACATTGCCATGTATTGGCCCTTTACCTCGTTAACCACGAGCGGTAATCAGACGTGCTGCCTTGCGTCGGGGAAGCAGGAAAACGGCGTGCTGGAGCCACTGAGACAGCATATGGATAAGAAGGCGACGCCGACGCGGGAGAAGGAGGGCGGTGCAGCCTTCCGACGACCTTCGAGTCGCCGCGATGCAGAGAAGTGGCCAGTTGCAGTGGCAGTCGACGCAGTGGAATAGCAACAAGAGGATAAACAAGGAAGCATGGTCGGTGCTGGTGTGGAGAGGGAGGTGTGGGATGTAACTGCAAAAACGGCGCTGGAGATATCACGAAGTGGGATGGAGGAGGAAACGTGGGATGGGATGACTACAATGCCGCTTTTTGGCCGGACACACCCCACGGCAAGACCACGATAGGAGCGTCCTCCATCTTCTCCTATCAGGCTATCAACTCGAAAGGTGCGCCGTTTGCGCTTTCTGTTCTGGTTCCCCGGTCTTGCCATCGCAGCTGTGTTTGCACGTTTGCGCCTTCCTATTTTCGATCCAGACTCGTCAAAAATCCACACTCTCCATCCCCTGAAGCATGACAATAGTCCGTCCTCCCGACCAGTCCTCTCGTCTCTCGTCTCGAATGTGGTCTTGACCCACCAGGAAACTCAGAGTGAAGCGGTTTTTCTTTCGCTGTCTCTTTTGTGGACAAGCGGTTGCAGATGTCGAGCGAAACGACTGCTCGGCGCGGTGGTGCCTGGGCGTGCAACTGTCGCTCATTGGTGGTGCTGCAAATGGCTTTTCTGCGGGCAACCCACCATCACTCCTTCCCCGACGAGTAAATTTACAAGCCCCCAATGCGGCAACTACGCCCGCAATACACCAAACAGGAAAGTGAGATGGAGATGGAGCGGTGAGGCTGCCTCTGTTGAGTTTTCTTTCTTCTACCCCTATCTTTGCATCTTTTGCTGTCGAACTTTGCTTCACCCAATTCCCTCAGTTTTGGAGGCGTCGGCAATCGTTTTGTGTTCCTTTCACGTTCCTTGTCGCGTCCGTCCCAATCGCCCAGAAGACGCCGGTTTCAACGCCTCTAAACATGCCCTGCCAACCGCCGTCTTTTGCGGCCCGCACTCCGCCTCTACCAAGTCCGTTTCTTCCATAATGTGCAACTAAGTGACCTTTTTCACGCACACCGGTTGACTCATGTCTTTTACGCAACTCGTGTCGCCCCTGTCGTAAGTGCCACGCTCATACCGCCTCGAGATTCACTCATGTTGAGCGCCGACATTCGAATACTCACGCCTTCAGCCCACACGACGCGTGTTGCTGACATGCCTAGATTGTATCCATTGCCAGTCCTACAAAGAACGCATTCCGGGCGGTATCAAGTAGGCTAACAGCCTCGGACACAGCGACACGCCCTGTGCACTGAAACCGGCAACCAGAAACATACAGCAATGGACAGTCAACACTGTCCGGTTTTGCATTACAGGAGATAAAAGGCAGGTCTGAATCAACACATCAAAACTATGAAAAACAATGGATATGGCATAAGGAAAACCCGTCTTACCACATGTGGCCGTCTTAACAACCCACCTCCGCTGCAATGAAGCCACATCGTTTTATCTCATCCCATCCGAAGTCTTCTCTTCGCAAACGCGCGGCGCACTGGTATGCCCTTTTTTTTTGCGTGTCTGTGACTCCAAGCCGAACAGATCCTTCGCTTGCATAAGAACAACGGCTCTAGATTTCAGTTGGTGAGATACTCGCATCGACAAAGGGTTGAGGCAGTTCCTCGTTGCCTCGCTGCCTGGCTTCCGTGCCGTCCCTGCCCTGGCCTGTACCTGAATGGTAGCGGTTAACCGCCCCACGTATGCAGCTAAGGTTACTGGCTCAAGGAACATGTCGTTCAACGGACAAAGCTGGGCCAGGCCGAGCCAGAAAATACAACGCGGCGCTGATCACATCATTATCACCTCGATCGCTGCTTTCACCGTCTCTTTGTACAGAAGTACGTTTCCAGGCTCCACCAAGCCAGACCTCCAAGTACCACCACCCGCCCCACCTACGACCGAATAATATGCACAATGTACAACATACTTGGGCAGCTGCTCTGTACGCCACCCGTTGAGAGCATAGATACCATTGACCTTCGGAACTAAGCTTTCCCTGGCCTGTCACTACTTTGTATCCAGCTTTGCCACGGTCTGGTTTTCTCTCCTACTGCTGTCATCCACCAGTGTGCGTGGGAGGGAACCACAACCACATTGCTATCAACAACACAATCGAATATGAGTTCCACATCATGAACACCATACCACATTGTACAAGTATACGTCACTCGCGTACAGTGGGGCGTCACTGGCACTCACATTATTTCGAACCTGGTCCGGCCAGAACATAGAAGCGTCTACCATAGTTTCTGGTGTGCTCCCCGCCCGCGATGCCAACGGCCATGGCATGAACTTTTCCCGGGATTACTTGACTCTTGTCTAACATGAAACAAGGCAAAATGTTTTGAGCCTCGCCTTCTTTCTCGAACCCGAGATATAACTGCATTTTCCACTGTCACCGCTTGTCTTTCTCTCGCCAGTGGCCAGGTGAAGAACAAAATCACATATCGCTTTGTGATGGCCTTTTATGGTGTTTACGAGGCACTTTGCGTTCATTTTTCAACTCCTTGTGTGGCACACTCCTGCAGTTCTTCTGCCTCGCTTCTTCTCCTCGTTTCACGGCATAATCTGGTTGTTTGACAGCTGTCTTGCTGATGTGCATTGATACTGAATACTTCTGTCGTTTGCCGTGAGGAATGAAAAAGTCTAAACTTCCCTCTGGTATCGAAAGCTAACTGAGGGAGCAAAGTCGGGAGCTGTCTGGGAGGATCACACTTCAGAACTCTCGACACAGTGTTGTTCTAGACCTCAATTTTAGGCTGCTGACAAGCATACGATATTTATGTATATTTTATTTGGCGTACATCAGAAATACTTCAGACTTGGACAATTCTTTTTCACACATGCACTTCCTCTCATCCGTCGCACTCTTGGACCGTGCGACAACGCACCTGTATTTTGTACCTTCGCGCGGACAGCTAATGCATGTCTCATATGTTACCTGCGGGACATAAAGAGGATTTTGATTTGCATTCAGACTGTTTCATACTCGAAATACTTCGCCGCCTGTCCAGCCCACGGCCTTCTGGCTTATATGCACTGCAACATACGGTGGCTGTTCTCTGGCCGCCGGCAACGAGACCCGCCGACCTGCATCGGCTACTTGTTTATTCTATTCTCGGATTAAAATCCGGAACTATTTCCACTCATGCCCAACGCAAGTCCAGACGCGGCCCATGGCAGTGCCAGGTCAGGATGCCTGATTCACTCATCCATTTGGAAGAAACTTCCGGTGCCCTGTCATAATTGACGGCATCTGAGATGCATCTTGTTGGTGTGTGCCTTGCTCTTATGCCGCACCAATATGCATCAGCAGGAATGCTTCTCGATGAACAAGTCAGACAAAGAATATCCTTTTTTTTTAAAAAAATCTCCGGCAGGTTAGTATTCGGCCAGGAAGCCTCGACCATCATTCATTCTATCGAATACCGGAATGTGCCTTGGCAACAAGCTCGCGATACGGCTGATGCACCCCTTCTTGTCCTCTTGCAGCCTACCGCAGCAGTTTGTTTTTCAATCTGTTTTAACGCGTCATCGGAAAACGTTCAAGACAACATCTAGAACCTCGTCGTCGGACATCACATATTTCTACATCTATCCATCACACTTTCCATGTTGTCATGAGCAGAGGACGGCTGAGTAGTGAAGCGGGAGCAAGCGGAGCCCAATGCATCTGGTGCATTCAGAGTGCAGCAATCGTGCATCCGTGCTGCAGGGCGTTAGTGTGCTTCCTTTCCACGCATATTCCACCGTTCGCCCAACCTCGAAATCATAAACAGCAGAGATACGTACAGCTTCCGCCTTTATCTTACACGCTCTACTCTTCGTTATCCTGTAGTACACCGCTTTCCTATGCTCTGCGAGGATTCGGGGTTCAAGTTTTCGGCGTTCTTCTTTGTTTTCTATCAGTGCACTGCCATGGACGTGTTCAGAGCGCATTATTAGTTGCGATTCTGCTGTCATCCATCACACAACGGTTGCAGAAATTCTTACACCGGATGGACGTCCGAAAGGCAGCTCATCGACGTGTGTGCCAATAACAACTATCGAAATTCCCACCTGCTTCATTGCGGCTTCTAGTCAGGGAGAAGCAATTTGTTAGTTGGTGAGACTGTTTTTCTCGTCTCGACTTACACAATTTCGGGTCTGTCAATAGTGGAATAACGGCTGTGCATCTGACGTTTGCCGCCAGGACACTTCCGAAACTAGGTTTGGGCACCAAAACACGACGTATTACAACGTCAGGGTAGACGTTCACCCTCGCAGAAAGAGAACTGATGACAACAAGCAACACAATTCAATGATACGTATGAAGTGGGTATCCATATTAAGACATTGATATATACATTGGGTGTGCAAAATGACAGGACCATGATGAAACAGGGAAATGATATCATTAAGGGTATCGAGGAAAGAACGAAACAAGCCGGCGAGAGCCGAAAGGCAGCAATGACGTGTGAGATATGCAAAACGATGCAGAAAACCAAATCATTGCATAAAACGGGACAAGTATCAAGGTACCGGGGCCATGTTGAGATGGCCGTCGTTGTCGGGGGAAAAACGCGAAAAGAAACACGCACAAACGCTTCAGACAACATGGGTGCACGGAGTACACGAGGAGAGTGCATATTACCAAAACTGGATACGGACAATGGAAAACAACATGTTCTGCAGAACGTGCACAGACACGGCCACGCTCGTCGGCAGCAGCTCCGGCCACACGGCCAGGTCCATCTTGCCCTCCCCGACGACGCTGAGGTCGTAAAAATAGCGAATCAGGCCGGACACGATGAAGGCGGCAACCAGCTCGCAAGCCCACGTAATGCTCGAGGCATACAGCGTAAAGGAAAACGTGTAGCCCGGCCCACCATCGAGGCCGTCGTCAAAGGCAAAGTAGGGGTAGACGTCGCGATTGGGGCCAAAGTGGAGGACAAAGAGGCTGCCCAAAAAGGCGAGCATACTGGCATTCTCGGCGACAAAGCGCACAAAGATGTTGCGCACACAGACCTTTTGAAAGGCGTTGTAGGTCTGAGCGTTGAGGCCGAGGGCGACGAGCAGCCGGTGGGTCCAAGAGGACATGAGCAAGGGGCTGATGACAATCAGGGTGGTGGACGACAGGACTTGCAGCAGGACAAACTGCGAGGGCGAGCGCAGGCGCACGTACAAGGCACGCACGTAGGTCTGGTAGGTGAGCATAAAGTAGAGCTTAAAGACCCAGCCGAGCGGGTAGCTGCCGACGCGCTCACCCTGGCGGCCGCCCAGAATCCACCCGGTCACGGCGTCGAGCAAGAAGACGGTCACAATCCAACCGTAGACGTAGGCAACAGTATAGACGGTGGCGTGCTGCAGTGTGGGAAGGGCGGCTAGGAAGAGTGACGCCGATGCCTCGCCGAGCTCGTATACGAGAAGCGACATGAATAGGGCGCTCATAAGCCACAGGAAACGCACAAAGCTGGTCGGCAGCCAATGGCCTCCTCGGCGAGACGAGGCTACGGCTCCCCCGACTACAGCTGAGGATGAACCAGGGCCAAAGGGAGGCTCAAGTTGGCTGGCAAACGGTGGCAGGGTGGGCAAGGTAGACGATGATGGTCCAAGAATGTCCCCGCCAGGTGTATTTTTTGCAAGACGCGACGGTTTCACGGGCGATGTCTTCGCACTCGCACTTCCTCCGCGGCTGCCACCCAAAAGTGCCGACGTCTCAAGATCGTGTTGGCCGAGAGCGACCTCGGCATGTTCGTGGTGCATGGCCGGCGACGGCGGCGCGCTCTCAGCCCGGCTACGGCGCCCAAAGAGACCCACGCGAAACCGCCCCTTGGGTGTTGAAGAGGTGGCCTCCGCCGCCGCCGTCATGTGGCGCTGGTAGTTCAGTTTCTGCTGTTGCTCTTCACGCCACCGCCGGGGTAGCGTGTCCGCTTCGCCGGCCCACCGCGCCGAAGTAAATATACGCTGTGTATCCGACAAGGCGTGCCGGATCATGCGATGCCGCTCGTGCAGCAGCAGCAGCACAAGAGCCGCAGCCACAGGCATAGCCATTACGGCGAATGTCCACGTCACCCATGCGGTATTGTGGCTGGCCAAGAACTCGGCCGCGGGTACGCTCGTAAATAGCACGGCGGGCATGGCCAGCGAGAACGCAGCCAGCAACGACACACTCAGTGGGAAGCCGAGCGACGACGGCCACCAGTTGAGACTGTAAAGGTTGAACACTTTGGTGATCCAGACGAGTGCCGTGATGTTGTAGGGGCCGTAATACGCAAGCAGGAAGAACCAAAAGTGGATGCGCACACGAGCCTCGCCGTGGCCTGGTGTGCGGTGCTCGCCGCGCTTGCCGTCGTCTGCATCCAGGTTGTCACTTAGTGGGTACTGCGGAAAGGGCAGCGCGCACCAGGCGATGGCAAGAACAGCGGGCACGACGACCAGCAAGGTCCAGCGGCTCCACCAGCGGTCGACGGCACGGCGCACGGTCGCATTCTTGGGTGTCAACCAAAGGTTGCGTAGGTGCCGCCCCGCGCGATAGACCGAGCGACGCACCCAGCGGACAACACGACGGCCACAGTAGCGGGAGATGCGGTAGGTGCGGCGGAGTTTGCGGCGGATGCGGCGGTGTTGGAGCTGCCGTTGGCGCTGGCGGTACTGCTGGCGGCGGATACGTTGGTTCAGGCGGTACCTTTGGGCAGCGGAGGGCCCGAGAGCACTGCTGCGGCGCCGACGGCTGTCGTTGTTGCCCTCGGAGGTGCCTCCCGGTGCCGCGACCGAGCCTCGTCGCTGGTTGCCCCAGGGCAGCCAAGCCCAACGAGGCCAGCGTGCCCGCCGCACGGTGTGGTCAATGACGCCTCGACCTGGCACACTCTTGCCACCCTCGTCTTGGTTGCCAGCCACACCAACAAGATCTCTCGGACCAGAGACCGGTCCACCCAAATCGTCGTCGACGTAGGCGGGTTCGTCCTCATATTCGTTTTCAAGGTCGTCATAATCATGGCCGCTGATATCGTTATCGTCGTCTTCGTCTTCGTCGTCCTCGTCGTACCCATCGTCATATTGTTCTACCTCGTCATCTTCCTCGTCTTCCTCGTCGTCGTCCCCAATACCATCGTAGTACCCAGCCGCCGCAATGGCACCATACCCAGTATTGTTATAGAAGCCGTGGCCAGTGGCAACGCCTGGTGTCCGCTGGCCGCGACCTTTGCCACGACTGCGTCCGCCAAGCCGGCCATACCCAGTATAGCTGCTGTAACCACTCAAACCGCCATCACTCGACGACTCGTATCCGGTCGTGTTCCGCCGGCCAAGCCGTCCACCGCCCGCGGCCGAAAACGGCGACGGCGACCGCGAGGGTAGCCGCGAGACTGGCGCGTTCCAGTACGAGCGGCTGGCGAGGTACGGTGGACGCTGCGTGGGAAGGCCTGGGCCGGCGGGCAGCAGTGGTGGCGGCGTGGCCGCAGCCTCAGATGCAGGCACAACGGCCCGAAACCGGCCGACCAGCAGCGGTGTGGTTTCGGCCCCGCGCAGACGCGGATTGTTCTCGGCACCGGGCGTGAAGGAGAAGAATTCCGGCATTTTGAGAGATGCCGTGGCCTGTATTTCCCTTTCATAAAAAGATGCTACCGTCCAAAGTCCCTTAATCCTCCGCAGTTGGATTACCGTAGGCCAAACATGGTGTGTTGAAGACGGTGTGATTTCCTTATCTTCCGTGTGTCGTTTGCCGTCTGTCGTCGTTTGTCGTCTCGTTTTTGGTTGTCGCAATAAATCTGACCGTGATCGGACTGGTCGGCTGGTTGTCTGCACGTGTGCAGTGTGAGAGGTAATATGGTGTGGGTGATGTGGTGTGGGAAAAAGATAGACATATGCTTGGAAACTGGGAGGCGGGAAAGCACCAGCTGAGCAGATCGTTCGTTCCTGCCCCTTGCGTGGAAACAGCCGCCGTAACCAGACCCTTAATACGACGGTGTTTTCAGTCCAGGTGCACCTTCCCCCACTATCCGCGCACTAGTCTGGCCCGTGAAAGTGGGCCTTGCAAGGCTGGCGCTGTGCAAAGGAAGGCACATGCATCTCATCGAGTTCGAGCCTCGAAATGAGTTTACTTTCATTCCTCGTCGTCACTATCCGCCTGTTGAATCGACCAAACTACTTTCCATTTCTCAAACTATACGTATTTCGAGGTAGCACGAAGTAAAAAATGAACAAAGTGTAAATGGCCGCAAGAGAAAGAACAGGCCCAAATGCACGACCGTAACGCCCTACCACGTGACGTAGTTCGCTACTGTTAGCGCTCCCCAGAGAGTCAAACAAAGCATTAAGTAATACTCCATAGTGGGGCGGTGAACACTGGAAACTACGAAGCTTCACTTCAACCCCTCTGTTTAACATCAAATTCGACTCAAGAACTCGACACCACGAGCGATAAGCAGACCGCTAACCCTCGCCGACTCGATTGCAAGCTGCACTGTTCATCTAAGCACCGTTTCCACATTTCAACCAGGCCTCCGCGCGTTCGCAATGGCCGTGTTACAGGCATAGATCCAGCGCAATCAAGAGACAGCCTCATCCATTTGCTGGGATGACCATCCGCGGCATTTTTTATGCCCGGTTCCTGCCGCAGGAGGGTACGCTCAACGGCTGAATAGGTCGTTTACTAGAATTGTGGAGTCGGCTTCTAACGTCTTTCCAGGCACCAAGATTGTCGCGCAAAGTCCCCCCGGCTGCATCGTACCCGTGGCCGTGGCCGACGAGAGCGACGATGACTTTGACGACCGACACCGTGAGACCGGAGCCGCCTCTGCAACCGCAGCCACAGCCACAGCCACAGCAGCAGCCGGAGAACGGAAGGAGAGTGGCGATTCACTAGTCTCTCCCACATCTACGCGCGCTCTGGTCGGCGACGACAGAGACAATAGCGACAGCGACAGCGGCGATGACGAAGAGGACGATGCCACAATTACCGCAGCGGCTGCGGCAGCAGCTGCGTCGGCCCTGCTCGGGAGCAGCAGCGGCCACACACGCAATACACAATACACTCAACCCGGCACCAGTGGCCTGCCCAAACGCGGCCGCGGCAAGCCACTCGTCGACTTCGAGGTCATGCAAGAATACGTCATCCCGCGCCCGGCCTTCTTCAACCACTATCTAGCCGCCCAGGACCCCAGCGGACGGTACATCGTCCTGGGCCTGCCCGTTGCCATCCGCGACGCCAAGTACGACCGCAACGAATTCATCTTCAACTTCGGCATTGTCGTGGACGCCGGTGACGACCAGGGGCCGTACGAACGAGTTGTGCGTCGCCTTGCGTCAACATTTGCCGAGATGGAGAAGCAGAACCAGTTTCTGAGCCGCGAAGAGCTGCGCGAGCAGCAACGTTCGCGGAGCATGCTGGGACCAAGGACCGTGGCGGGAACGGGAAGTAGAATTGGCGGCATTAGCGAGTCCTGGCTTTCTCGGGGCACCAGGCCCGGCAGTGGCCTGCCCACCAACACCTATCCAGCAAGCCCTGCGGCTGGCATTGGCAGCCATGCATCGGGAACAGGGTCCGAGGCTGGTTCCGGCACACCCGGGTTCCACGCCATGGCCGGCGCGCTAGGAAATACCAAGGCTATCAGCAACATCGACGAGTTTCTCGACCGGCGACGCATTGCTGCACAGTCCCCTCAGACGCGCCCCAATCAACACGGTGGGGCGGGCAGCGGCAGCATTTGGACGGCCAGCACTAGCAAAGTTTCTGGTGCCAGGGCCGGAACAAGCACAAACAACATTGCCGCCAGTGCGACGGCTGCGTCCAATACTGCCATGGCCATGAACGAGCACAATGGCCACAGCCCGTACCACCGGCGGTCCATCCAGAGCCTGCTCGAGATTATCAAGGAAGACCTGAATCTGTATGGCGAGTGCATGATTCCCGTCGACGATGCCAACACCATCAACATGAAGCTGTTCCCGCTGCACCCCAACCCGCCCGCCGTTGAGGGCTGGCACGTTCCGGTCCCCAAGATGCGCCTCGCCGACACCGTCGACCCGTCGTGGGATCTGACCCTTCAGCGAGTCATTGCCCACATGGACGGCGTCTCCGACGTGCGCCGCATCGCCTTTGAGGCCGACATCTCCATGGAGCTGTGCCGCTCTGCTCTGCGCCATCTACTCTACTACGACACCATCTTACTGCTCGACATGTTCTTTTTCGGCTCGTGCTACGCGCCACGACCAGGCATCCACGATTTTGTCGCCAATGTCGGCGGAATCGTGGACGAATGTGCTCGGTATGTGTGTCTGGACAGGCAAAATCACCAGAACTACTACCAGCACGACGAAGACGTTGACGACGACGATGACAACGATGACAACGATGACGACGACGACCTTACCATTGGAGGTCACGGGGGCGGCTCGCGAATCAACATCCATAGACAACGGCCATACAGCGGTCTCTCATCAGATCTTGGCCATGGCCTCGATCACAGTCGTCGTCGCTGGCACGGACTTGACTCTGGCGACAACTCCGACTCCGACGACCGGCACGGCAACGACCACCGCCCGCTGCGTGTCAGCAACTATGACCTCGTCCGCCTCATGACAAGCTTCTGTGTAGGCCGCACCGTCACCGAGTGGCTCAAGAGCCATGCCGATGCCGGCTTTGACGTGCTGCGTTATGTCGACGTGCGCCGCCTCGTCCAGTTTGGCGTTATCAAAGGCTGCCTGTACCGTGTGCACAAGTATGTCGTCTCGAAGCAGTACCTAGCTTCGCTCGTCACGGGACGGTCCGCCCCTGACCCCATTCCGCGCCACGGCTACCGACCCAACTACAGCCGCGGCCACGACGAGCAGCAGCCACCGCTCCATCACGGCACCGCCAAAGACCCACTGCAAAGGTACACCGATGGACACCACCATTTTGACCAGATCATCACAGAGCAGAACGTGACCGAGGTCGAGCTGATTGAGCGGTTGAAACGGCTACCTCTGCCTGCCGGCGATCTGAAGATCTTGTATCGGTAGACGTGGGCTGCATATTGCAATGGTGATAGAGCATGTAAAGTATATACCAGGTCGGCGTTAGTAGCATCGTAAATAGCGTGTACAGTTTTATTTTGTTTTATTTCAATTTACAGAACGCCTACAGTGCCGTCTATAGTTGGTGTGTTGTACATATCTAACAGATGAAACAAGAAAGTGGCATGCGCTCCATGTTCATAAAGAGTGGTGTCATACAAAGCCGATCCGCCATTCGTCTCGCCGCCGTCATTAAAAGCTGGCCGTATCGTTGCCGCCGTTGCCGCCGTTGCGCCGCGCCTTTTCGGATTGCCGAGCGCGCTCGCGCTTGATGTCTGCCTCCAGGCTGCGCACCTGCGCCGGTTTCTCGTCGGGGAACACCAAACGGCCGTCGTCGGCACTGTCGGCACCGTCGGCACCGTCGGCACCGTCAGCTTCGAATGTCGCCATAAACGCCTGCTTCTCAGTGCCTGTGAGTCGGCGGTCCTTGTTCTTGCCGCCGTAGCCCGCCTTTGACGCCGACTTCTGCTCGTCCTCGGCCAAGTCCTCACGTAGCGACTTGAGCTGTTCCCGCAGCTGCCGCACTTTACCCGTATATGGCTGGCCCGGGTACGTGCGGCCCGAATCGGCCCACTCCTCGTCGCTGACAATCTCAATCACGCGCAGGTTGTGCTGCCCGCGGCGCAACACCATGTACTTGTCATCGATGATAAAGTTCTTGGTGTCCTCGGGGTACCACAGGTGCACAGGCGTAAAGTCGAGCTGCGTCAGCGGCATGCCCTTGTTCACGTGCGCCGCTTGGCCCGGTGACGCGCCGACGTAGGCGCCTTTTTGGATCGCCACGCGGTTGCCCTCGGACACACTGCCGACCAGGCCGGCTGCATACAGGATGCGCGCGACCTTGCCGGCCTCGAAGAGCGACCGCGGCAGCTGGATGTCGGCCTTGGGCGCGGTGTTCAGTGTCACGGGGTGTTTGCCGTCAGGTGCTCCGCCTTGTCCTGCGGCCGCTGCCTCCAGACTGGCACCGTCCTGCTTCTTGCCATAGGTAGCGAGGTGCCTGTCGCGCGTCTCGTTGGCCTCGGCCGTGCCGTGCACGAGCGCCACAACTTCGTACGCCAAGGCGTGCTGAGCGACGCGCTTGCTCGGGTCCGCTGTGTGCTCGGCCATGATGCCCGTAATGTGCTCCAAGGGCATGAACGTAAAGAGGCGCAGCAGGTGCTCGACGTCGGCATCGGGGCGCCGCACAAAGTAGCCGTACAGGTCAAAGCTGGCCGTCCGGAATTTGTCCAGCCAGATGGCGTTGCCAGCGCTCTTCCCGAACTTGGCGCCCGCGCTGTCGGTCAAGAGCGGCACGGTGAAACCGACGGGGTCGTGCATGAGCCCCGACGGCAGCTGCTGGGCCGGGTTGGGCTCGGAGGCACGGATGATCTTGAAGGCGTCGGCTCCCGTGACAATGTTGCCGTACTGGTCGGAGCCGCCGATCTGCATCTGCACGCCCTGCTGGACATACATGTGCCACCAGTCCCATGCCTGCATCAGCGGGTATGTGAACTCGGCAAAGGACATGCCGTCGCCCTGCGTCAGCTTGCGCTTGACCGAGTCGCGCGACAGCATGGGCCCAATGCGCAGGCCCGCGCCCAGCCGCTGCAGCACCTCGAGCAGTGGCAGCTTGTTCCACCAGTGCCCGTTCTGCAGCACGCCTCGACGCCACGCCCAGGTCTTGACATAGCCGTACCGGCGCGCCTGCTCCTCGACGTTGGTCCACAGCTTCTTGAGCTGGAAGTGGATCTTGACCATGTTCATGGCCACAACGGCATTCTTCATCTCGTCGCGGCTCTTCAGGCGGTCCGTCGGGTCGCCAATCTTGGCCGTGGCGCCGCCAATCAGCGTGACGGCGCGGTAGCCGTTCATGTACATCCAAAAGAGCGGCATGAGCGGCAGCAGGTGGCCGACGTGCAGCGACGGGGCTGTGGGGTCGATGCCGACGTAGGCGCCGATGCGCTTTTCTGTGAGGAGTTTGCGGATATCTTCGCGGGTTCTGTGCGCACTTTGTCAGAAACGCCCTAGCCACGCGCAATTTTCGTCCCTTCCACAGCCACTTACCCTGCCACATCCTTGACGTATCCGCGCTCTTCAAAGACATCCCACATGGCCTTGGCCTCGCCGGCCTCAATCTTCAGTGCCCTCTCTTTCCATTCGTCGTCGGCCTCCTTGATCTTCGCCGTGTACTTGGGCCCGTATTTGGCAAATGCCTTGCCGGTCATTTGCCGTCTCTGCTGTGCTTGTACTGGTTGCCTTCGCCGCTGCTGTGTCAGAATAAGCTGTCGGGCGCATCGCCGGCAGATCTCGGCGCCGGGCGACGGCCACCCCCGAACAACGGCCGGGAGCGACATTGTCAGTGTCAGTAGCCGGCTGGAGGCAAAGTGTGATGCCGGATATGGTGTGTCCCTCTGTCAGCCCATGTACTGCACGATTTCGCCCGCTTCCCCTATTCTGTAGGCAAATTGGCGTGTATCGCGTGTTCTGCGTCGCTTTTGGTCTTTCGTCAGATGTGTATTCCGTCCCAGCAAACAGCTCCTAACCAAAGCTTCAACTTTTTAAAGCGGGTCCTTGTAGCTTCTCACCACTTCATTGGCTCGCGCGTGGCTTTGGCATGTGCTTCGGAGAAACCATATCGCGGCCCCGCCGTCGCTCCTTCCCCCATTCTCCTTCTTCCCATTCCCAGATGTTCTCCGAGCCTTTCCCCACCTTCCGAACCCACACGGGCCAATCAAGCATGTGCGAATTGCGATTCTCATCAGTCATCCTCGGGCCAAGTGCAAGTGCAAGTGCAGGCGTGCCTGTTTTCCTATGAATCTCGGCTTCCGGCTTCTTCCCTTTTCGCCTACCCAAATCCCAATCGTCATTGCGTTTTCTCCAACGCATCCAATACAACGCAAACACGACACGGGCTTTTCTTGATTACGACCACGACGACCGTCCATTGACATCGCCGCTCCGTCCAATTCACAATCCTCTTTTCCTTGTCACCCTTTCCGCCATTCCCCTCCTCTTCCCATCAACATCGTCACATCTTCGCCATGGCCTCCATCGCGCGCACTTCTCTGCTCCGACAGGCCGCCACCGCGTCCCGGATGGCCTCTGTCCGTCCCGCCTTCCAGCAGCAACCCCTCTTCCAGACCACCGCCCGGATAGCCGCGTTCCACGCCTCGAGTAGACGGAACTTGCTGCCGCCACCGAAGCGTATGTGCCTGTCCTGAATCCGGCGCATGTGATCGACCGGAGCAAGCCTGTGCTACGTGCACTGTTACTTTGCAACGCATTCATGTACAGACCATATACAAGTTGCATGTTATACATGTTCTCGCTAACACCTTCCCCTTGCAGAGGTCGTCATCGGTGGTGTCAACGATGCCGCCCCCGTCCCGGCGCCCAACCCCAGCCACGGCTCCTACCACTGGACCTTTGAACGCCTCGTCGCCGCCGGCATCGTGCCCCTGACCGTCGTGCCCTTTGCCGCCGGCTCGCTCAACCCCACCACCGACGCCGTCCTGTGCGCCCTGCTGCTCGTCCACTCGCACCTCGGCCTCCAGGTCCTCGTCACTGACTACATCCCCGAGAAGCGCTTCCCAACGGCGCGCAAGGCCGCCTCGTGGGGGCTCAACGCTGTCACGGCCCTCGTCGGCCTGGGCCTGTACGAGTTCGAGACGAACGATGTCGGCGTCACAGAGCTTGTCAGCAAGCTGTGGCACGCATAAGGATGCATCGGTAGAAATGTCGTACGGTGGATCCCAGCAGTTTAAATAAAAGAGAAGGATTACAAAAACAATATAAAAACTTGAAAAGCTAGGAAAACTCGACAAAACGACAGGCGCTCGAGAACGGAAGGCATCATTACTGGCATTTCTTATGTGGAAAACCCCGGCCGAGATGTTTGCTGTTCTGGGACTTCTTTTTGTGTAAATATAACCAAACGAACTTTTTTTTTGTGTTTGTGGCAAATAGGCAGACGGTCATTTTATTTATTCAAAATAATTCATAACAAATCTTTCAAAAAATACGACACGTGAGTTGGAAGATGCAGATCGCAAAGATGCCTTCTGAATATTAACCCCCTTCATCAACTGCCAATGTCGTGTCTCTGATGGCAACTTCGGCTTGACAAGATCCAGAGGCGACGTTGGTATTGTGAAAGGGAAGAAGCCGCAGTGTCTGGTCTGTTCCTCCTAGGTTGATTCTGAGCGGTTTGAGATCGAGAAGTTACGGCAGTTGATAAAGAACGAGTCTGTTCAACTATCATGCTGTTGACATTGGCGGTTCACAGTTTAAGGTCATTGCTCAAGGACAAACATGAGTGTGCAGTGTCTTGTTGGAATACACTTCGTGTTTTGGTGGAAAACCACAATGGATTATAAAATGGCGATACGTATCGAGTCAAACGCAGTATTAAGGTCACGCTCCTAGTATGTTTGAGTATTGTAACCTGCCGGGAGCCGATACAACCTGTATGTTTGTAATGCTTACGATGGCCTGTCGTTATTGTTCGAGATACGGATATGTCACCTTGAGAAGATCCTTGTCATTCGACTACCGAGGCTCGAGGTGGGTATTACGTCGTAATTACTACGGATGAAATCTCGCAAATACGGTGTTTTGGCCGGGATATGGCCTATTATCTTAGACAGATGAAGGGAACGGCCGGTTCGAGATTGGAGACGGGATGATGAAACTGATAGCACAAAGAATATAAGAAGGCAGCAGGGAATGTAATTCGTAAAGGAACAACAATTGCCATTGATACAGCACGAAACTGATACATGACCCGGCCGTTCCCTTCAACTAACTTCAAATGGAGCAAAATCTCCGGTAAGCGTACTTGACCTTAACCATAATAAAAATTACTAGACAAACAGAGACAACGTCGGCGCAAAGGAGGGCTCGCGGTAGCCGGTCCCTTGAAATTGGGTCACTCACAAACTATTTCTACTACATTGTAAGCGGCCTTGTCAACAACTTCTTAAGTGAAAGCATACGGTGCCAGAATCCTGCAGCACAGTCTCACACCCGATTATTGGACACGGCAGATCCGCACCTTCCCGTCATTCCCGACGTTCCCGCTCGGCACTGAGGTTGGTTGAAACTGTACTTTCCATTACAAAGCCATTTGTGCCAGGAGTATCTAACAATGCACAATGACTATTTATGAGAGACTGCAAGGCTCAATGAATATCATATTACAACAGATAAAGAATATAGATTACACTCTCTCAATGTTCTGTATGCCGTACGCGGACGAAGAAAATAAAGACGCTCGAAACATATGTAAAAGAAAAAGAAACTATGGGTGGCTGCGAAAGGACAAGCCACCAACACACGAAGCCTAAACGGACGGCAAAAGGTAGAATGTCCCGGGACCCTGGTTCATTATGTGACATTAGAAGCGGACGAACGTAACCTGGTCCGTGTCTTGGCGACTTGCGGATAGCACAACTTTCCTGGGATTGCTGAATTGGGGTTTTTGCACCGAAGCAAATCGTTAAAAACAGAGCGTCGTAAAATGCAAGATAAGAGAAACAATACAAGGTCAGGAAACAACCCTGGCCAACTCCCGGAAGCTTGACCCAAGAGTGGACAACGGCTTGCGGAAAGTGTACGCGTAAGAATACGACCGAGCCTCCCCTGGCTTTCCGCAACACATGCTTCGTCAGATGTTTTCTATGGAATTGTTTTAGAAGTGCAGAAACAGAGGTGCTCTTCCCCGTCACACTCGATCCTGTCCTCTCCCTGCAGCACCTGTCGGGACCGATCCCCGGCGTAGCATTTTGTCTAACAAGGGGCGCTCGACCGGTGAGCGACAAGTGCGTCTTGCGCCCACGAGGTGCGTCCTGCGAGGTAGGTAGTTGCAGGAAAAAAGGACAGAATGCCAATATCCCCCCACGAGGGCCGGGTTTGGGTGATCTGCGAAACATGGAGCGAGAGATACTTTTGTTTCTCCTCTTTCTCACCGCAACATCCACTTGGGCGCGATGCAACCCTCACTGACTTCACCGGCCCCCTCGCCTCGACGAATTAATTCTTTTGTACGAAATAAATATAAATGGTTCATTAATAGGGAATAAAACAGTACTTGCTGAGTAAATCGTAGAGCTTACAATACCCTCATGGTTTGTTCGTGGAACTACGCAGGCCAGAGAAGAAAACTCTGTATACAACAGAGCTCCAAATTGAAGGCAACCCTCCTTGGGAAACTGCCCCGAATTATCACTGCCACTACCGTGCTGTGTGCATGAACTAGGATGCAGAGGTGGGGCAATAATACAAAGGAGAGAGGGAAACAAAAACCAGAGATGCTAAGCGGACGGACCACGAGCCGTGTGGATTGGCATGTCGTCTACAAAGGGAAATGCCACAACACGGAATATTCCGTCATCTACAGAGTAATAAATCGTATACGTCGCCAACATGAACAGGCCGACATCGTGATTACATGACAATTCACAGCCGGGCCAGCTGCCTTGGATGAGTCGTGGACAGCGATTTCAAGGATTTAAATTAGGAGGCGATATTCGAGTTTCTTGGGTGTACCGCGGAGTACCGTACGTAGACAGCCCAAGGCGCACAAAAAAAACAATCGGGCGTAGGACAAAGCGATCCCCAGACTGAGCGACCCAGTAGGGCGACCCAGCAGAGATATTCTCTCCGGCCTCTGAGACGATGCGAGCGGAACGAACAAACGAGCCAACCAGGGCAGCGGGTCCTACGCCACCAACAGCTCCCTACTACGGCCTGTTCGTCTCGCTTAACATGGTGCAGTCAACAGGCCCCAAGTATTGTCGTTAGCGTGCATGACAAGGTGCCGGGACGAGCTTGCTGGGACGAGCTTGCTGGGACGAGCTTGAGTTTGCTGGTTGGGAGGATGGAAGAGCAGGCCAAACACAAGAGCGGGACGTTCGGCGCGTCGATGAAGACGGAGAGGAAAGCGGGAATGACGGCCGTTGAAGCTTGAAGAGCGGTTGGGAGCGAGGCTTTTAGAAAGAGAGGTTGATCTCCAGCAAATTACGGGTACAGCAAAACGGGCAGTATCCCGGAACGGTAAGGTGAAAGCATGGGAGAAGTGGAAAAAGGATGGTAGACGGAGACGAACGCGCGTAATATGCCTGATGCAAGCAAGTGATTGAGCATCGAGGGGGCGTCAGACGGAAATGAAGAGAAGTACAATGCATGGAGCAGGGAAAGAAACGAAAGAAGGAGGCACGAAGAGATTATGAGAAAGAAACCGAAGAAAGAGGGGCCAGGGGGCCCCGACAACAGGGACCGGGGCGCCGATCGCTGGGCCGGGCGTGGCCAGACGCCTGGGAACCTGACAAACGCGATGAAGAGCATCTGTCGGCTAAGCGAAGTGAGCAGAAAAGGAAATAGATAGGCGGTCAGAGACAAAACGAAACAGCGAAACAGCGAAACAGCGAAACAACGACGCAACAACGCAACGACACAGCGTCACAGCGTCAAACGCGAGTGCACAGACACGAACCAATCTCGCCGGTCGTAGACAAAGAAACACCAGGCAACACAGAAGACAAAGACACAAAGACACAAAGACAAGACAGCCACCGCCAGATGTCAAACTGTGCGACGTGGCGTCACTGTGATACGCCAGCGCCGTTGATCCCTCAGTGGCTTGAGATGTCCTGTCCTCGGCACTCGTGCTCTATTCAATGTCTGCCCACAAAAGGGGTCCTGTTTGTTTCCACTCTCAGGCCTGTGTCCGCCAGAAAGCCCACGCCTTGGACAGTTCTGGTCCCTGGAGTTTGCATTATGCAGCGAGACTGATTGGGATGTACGGTGTTGCGGAGTATCTTGTATCTTCCTTGTCCATTCGTTCCCTCCGTCGTAGCTTTCTGTCTTGTCCTGTGAGATGTAATTACGGGGTACGACATAGTGATCCATTCTATCGGGCCCTTTCGTTCTGGGATGGATTCGTTTCGACGCCTGTTGGCGCCTTTTTGACGCCTTTTTTTTTATGGGGCCCGCCCCTAACCACCCGCACCCAAACACTCGGTAACCAGCCCATTTGGCCCCCTCTTTCTCCCTGGGGCCTCTCCCACCAGGCCGGTAACCAACTGCGATATGTCGACCTTCTCGCCACCAACATCACATCGTGTCTGCTGGTGTCCTGCTACCGGGTTCCCTATTGCACAATCACCTTTTACGTCTTTCTGTTCTCTTCATGTAGTGCCATTCTGTTTAAAACTGTGTACGGACGCTATTGGTTTTTTGCCGATTCGCAAAGGGGAGCAGCTCACTATCCACACCATATTACTGTTTTGCGTGTGAAGCAGACGCCTCTATTATTCGCCCAGGAGCTCCTCTGTTGTTTTCTCTTTTCTCTCGTCGTCTCTCGTCTTTCTTGTCTCTTTTCTCTCTTCTCCTCTCTTCTCTTCTTTGCCTGTTCTCTGCTACTTTCTCTCATCACTTATTTCTCTTGTCTACTATATTTCTCTTCCATTGCCCTTTTTTTTTCTTCATTCGTAACTTTCTTTTGTTCTTCCTCTCTTTTCACTTTTCACTTTCTCGTCCTTCTTCCCTTTCTTTGTTTCTCTAGCCCCCGACCATCGTCTCACCTCACACCCACACAATGGCTTCGGTGTCCTCAGGCCAGGCCTCGACACCCATCGAGTTGGCCGACGAGCCGCCCGAGAGTGACGAGTTCGACCCCGTCGCCGACTGGGATGATCTCAACTTGCCGCCGCGAGATGCCGCCACCGGTGTCTGGCAGCATGTCTACGAGAATGGCCGCCGCTATCACCTTTATAAATACGGCCGCTATCCCATTCCCAACGACGACGCGGAGCAGCAGCGCGAGGACATGAAACATGCCATGATGCTCGAGCTGACGAACGGCAGACTGTACTTTGCGCCCATTGGCGACAACCCGCAAAAGATTCTCGACATTGGCACGGGCACGGGCATCTGGGCCGTCGAGATGGGAGACAAGTTCCCCAACGCCGAGACGATATTGGGCACAGATTTGTCGCCCATCCAGCCCGAGTGGCTGCCGGAAAACGTACGCTTCATGATTGATGACTGCGAAGCCGACTGGGCCAACGGCTCCGACTGGGACTTTGTGCACCTGCGCCAGCTCGTCGGCTTGGTCACAAAGCCGGACGATGTCGTCCGCAACATTTTCACCCATCTCAGGCCGGGCGGCTGGATCGAGATCCAGGAACTGCACGCGTACCCCTTTTGCGACGACGGCTCCATGGAGGAGCCCGCCGAAGATGGCAGCGGCGGCGACCCCGTGGCCGCCTTCTATGACTTGCTCCGCGATGCCTTTGACCTGCGCGGCATGAACCACGACAAGGCACGCGCCATGCGGGGCCGCTGCAGCGTGCCGGCTTCACCAACATCCATCTCAAGAAGCTCAAGGTGCCCCTGGGACCCTGGGCGAAGGACAAGACGCTGCGTCTCATTGGCAACTACTGCAAGACGGCCGTGCTCGATGTGCTGCCGACCGTGCTGGCCCGGCCCATGGACGAGCTCGATCTGACGCCCGTGGCCAAGCAGGTCTGGGCGGCCAAGGTGCGCCAGAGTCTGGAGGACACGAGCATCCACCGCCATTTCCACTTTTACTTTTGGTATGCACAGAAGCCGTGTGGTGATGGCACCGAGGCAGGAGACGGAACGGGAAAGACAGAACAAGGCAACGAAACGGAGCCACAGAAAGGACAACAGAAAAAGGAAGATCGATAACAGGAAGAGAAAAGGGAAAAATCCCAACATCCAGTACATATACCCCAAAGATACCCTCTACAAAGAAATAGACAATCCCATCAATCCCATCGATCTGTAACAGCACGTCTGGAGTCACATGGAGTCGCTGTAGTTGACAGCTGCTGGGCTAGCAAATTTGTAGAGAAGACGAGCAGACGAGCAGCATTCTACATTCTGAACTGGAACCAAACCAGTTCGTTTCAAATTAAAAATAAATTAATAACAAAAAAAAAAACACGATAAATCGGTGAGGCACTGTGCTGTGGTACAATGCCCAGCGAAACATTAGCGCTTGTGTCGCTGTGAGGAAGCCGTCGGCATTAAAGATTACGTAACACTCGCCACCACCCAAAAGGTGTACGGGCCGCCGCCTGTTTGCGGACGCGAAAGGCTCAAGAACAAAGCTCTCCAGCTTTCGTGGAGCTGTGTGTGGAGAATTCAACTGCGCTCCAAAAAGAACAAAACCGCAACCTCACGACAATTGCAACGAACCAACGCCCAAATATTGCGACACTACTCCCATTATCTTACGAATCGCACTTTACAAGACCATCACTCACCACACGCAAACCATGGCTGCTGCCGTCCAGCGGCCAGGCGCAAGTGCCGCGCCGAACGAGTCGCCCTTGCAAGCCGCCACCAACCCGTCCGGCCGCCTCGCTGCCGGCATGCTTGTCCGCGGCGCCGGCAGTGCTCCGTCCCACTACGCCTTTGCTTTCACGCCCTTCCTCCAGACCACATACAAACACGGCCTGCCCGCCGACCGCCCCGTCTGCCGTGCCTACAGCACTACCGGATCCTGTCCGCTGGGCTCGCGCTGCCCGGACCGCCACCTCGCACCGGCCGCGGCCGCTGCCGCGATTGCTGCCGGCGCCACCTACACGCCCATCGGCGGATCCGGAAGCAGCCAGCACCACAGCGGCGGCCGCGACCAGGGCGGCTTCAACTCCCTCGTCTGCAAGCACTGGCTGCGCGGCCTCTGCAAGAAGGGCGAGGGCTGCGAGTTCTTGCACGAGTACAACCTGCGCAAGATGCCCGAGTGCAACTTCTTTTTGCGCAACGGCTACTGCAGCAACGGCGACGAGTGCCTCTACCTCCACATCGACCCCCGCAGCAAACTGCCGCCCTGCCCAGACTACGACAACCGCGGCTTCTGCGCGCTGGGCCCCACGTGCCCCAAGAAGCACGTCCGCCGCAAGGCCATTTGCCCCTACTTTTTGGCCGGCTTCTGCCCCGACGGCATGCGCGTCTGCAAAGAGGGCGCGCACCCCAAGTGGACGTCCGTGGCGATTGTCGCGCCGCAGGTCGCCGCCGAAAAGGCAGCAGCCGAGGCTGCGGCAGCCGAGGCGGCCCTGCGCGGCGAGACGCTCGACGAGAGCGGCCAGCCCGGGTCACCGTATGCCGGAGGCGACGATTACAGCATGGGCGGCACCAACGACCACCTCCAACACGATACGGACAGCCACAATCAACACCAGAACCAGTACCAACACCAATACCAACATTATGGCGGTGCCGACGATGCCAGCAGTATTGCAGGCAGCGACCGGACATCACGGGGCGACCACCGTGGCGGGTTCCGGGACCGAGGCCGCGGCGGCCGTTGGCGTGGCCGCGGCGCTGGTGGGCGTGGTTTCCGTGGACGGGGACGAGGGGATCATTAATGCGTTGCGAGGAAAGGGTTGCGAAAGCTATCTATATTGTACGCGTTTGTGGGCTAATTTTGTGTTATTTTGTGAACCATCATTTTTATCAAAAGACGGTAAACTTTGTCTCCATTGTATATGTATGTACGGTTTGGTACTTTCTCAGCAAGCGAATCATTTGCAACAGAAATAATGGAAAAGGCGAGGAAAGGCAGTATGCAGGACGCCACACACGAAATGTAGGAGAATAAAAGGTTCCATTAAAGGGGAGAGTATATGAAAAAAAGCATCCTCTGTAAATAATTTACAGAACATGCTTCCCAAAAATAAGAATGAATGTCTAAATAAGAGATCGTTTAATGGTCGAACCAATATGGTTGGACTTAATATTGTGCCTACCCTGTGTCGTATTCGTTTTCAGATGTTGCGTCGTAGAGTCGTTATCGAACAGCTTGTGCATGTCCCGTAATAGTTGTGTTTGTCAACCGTATATCACCGTAGATGAAATCAGTCCCCCATTTACTGCCAGATGTGCGAGTCGCCCACCTCCGAGCCCACAGCAATCACACCATTGGCCGCCCCTCGCTTGCTGCGGCGGCCGGGCGACGGACTGTCGCTGTTGTTGGACACCACCGATGACGTTGCAGTTGGCGGAATCGGCGCCTGGTACCAGGCGCTCAGGTCCTCCACCTTGCGCACGCCCATCATCCACGCCACCAGGCCCCGCGGCACAAAGCTGCCCACGAACCCGTACAAGTCCGCACCCAGGCCAACCCGCACAATCGCGTTCGTGTTGGACCCGTCCAGTACGTCAAACACGGCATGATGCAGGTCGTGCATCGACGTACCGCGCACACCACGGATCGCGCGACCACTGCCGAGCGCCGACGTGCTCTGCGCCGTAAAGTTACGGCCGTAGACGTGCCGTGCCGGTTCCGACCAAGACAGCGTCTCAGCAGCGGGCAGCGGCATGCGACCGGATATCGAACGGTGCGCTGTAACGCTCCGTGCGGGTGCAAACCCGGTGAAATCAAAGGTACCGAGTTGGATGTGTGTCACGGGGATGGCCAGCGGCCGCAGCTCGGCGGCAAGTACTTCCGTGAAGGCCGTCAGGGCCGAACAGACGGTGGACTCGGGCGCGTGGAACGGCGGGTTGACAGAGGAAATGATAGAAGGTGTAAAGACGAGCACCTTGGGCGGCGTCGGCGTCTTCTCCTTCTTTTCCTGAGACGCACTCGCGCTGGCCTTTTGGCGGATCTTGGCTAATGAGAGGCCAGAAGCGGCGGCCAGGATCGACGGCGGCTTGTCGCCGGGCTGCAAGGCCGTGCGTGCCGTTAGGAGAGGCAGGAATGCTTGAATTGAGAGGATCGGGTGAAGGAGGTGCGTGTTGAAGAGGTCGGCGAAGTTGGCGGGCGGGATTGTGGCGATGGGCGATGTCTGGTAGTTGAGCGAGGGAATGAGGATAATGCCGGTGAGCTGAAGGTGGCTGCGCTTCGCACCGGGGACCGCGGCATGGGGTGCATGGAGGTAGAGCGCGAAGCGCTCGAGGGCAGCGCTGGCGGCCGCAGTCTATATGAACGGTTAGAAAGCGGTGTACACAAAAGCGGGAGACAGCATCCAGAACGCGACTTGAGACATACGTCGGTAATATCAATCGACAGTGGTTTGATGTCGGGCCGCGACATGTGGCGGACGGCCTGTTCGTCTTCGGCAGAGCCGCACACAATGTACACCATATAGCCCCGACGCTCCATATCGAGGGCAAGCGACTGCGTCACAGGCAACGCAGGTGATGCAGCAATGACCACCACCTCACACCGAGCACCGTTCTTGGCCCGCTTTGCCCGCCGGTATTTCCGTGCCGATATTGATCGCCGCACAGCTCGGTAAGACAGTGTGCCGGCGAACAACACGGCTACGGTCGCCAGGATCTTGTGGCGCACCAGCCAGTCCTGAACACGCTCGTAGAAGCTCATGTCGGCTTTCGAGGTAAGCTCCATGGCGGTGGAACTCCGCGGCTTCGGCAGGTAGACCTTGACCTGTTCAGGAATCCACGGGGCGGAAGCCAGCTGCTCACGCAGCATGTCGGCAGCTCTGTCGAAGTTGCTGTCGACATACTGTGCTATCTCACCCGAGTATCGCCGGACTTCGCTCGAGACATTTGTGAGCTACATGTATCGACATATTAGCACAGACCCGAGGAAATGACGATCGAAAGGTATATTTTCGTGATTGTTGCATAGTACGCACCATGTCCATATACGGTTTGTTATCGTCGCTCGACATGTTGGCAGGTTTATCGTCGAACTACGGGGAGATGAGAGAAGAGAGAGGGCGGTTAGGGGGAGCGTGGTCGGGGGGTCAGGGAGAAATCATCGGCCAGCTGAACCGTGGATGAGCCGGTTGTGTCGTTGGTGTCGCTAATCGTCGCCGTCGCCTTCATGAAAGTCCAAAGACGTTTCGCTTCGAGAAGAAGAGGAGGTTCGTCGAGGAAGAGAGGACGGAAAGGCGGTGGACGTGAAAAACGGGCTCTACGAAGGGAGTGTTCCGGGGTTGGGCAGAAAAAAAAAGGAAATAAAAAAACAGCGTAAAGAGGATGCAGCACAGTACAGCGAAAGAGGGAAGGGGCGATCCACAATCCACATGCCTGCAGCGCGCCAGGCAAGGGTTTGCGTTATCGATAGAGGAAGGAACCGCCGTCTGCAATTTAAAGCGAGCAAACGTGAGGAAGGCACGAACCAACGGACGAGAGGTCCTGTGGCAATTGGTGCAATCACAAAGCCCAAAACGTCATTTGTTGCTGCTAAGGAGTTGTCCACTCCACTTTATTCTCCAGCTAGCGCAGCGCTGAAAGGTTTGTGCTCTAGGGTCTGAACTATCCCTACCAAATAGCGTTTCTCCATATAATTACTGCTTCATTGATCTCTTGGTTTTTTGCCTCACCTCATGCACACCTTCACTCTTACAGTTTCCGCGCCTGGACGCGCAGACGCACGTACTGCATGGTATGCGATCCCTTGGGCGTCCGTGTCGTGTACTCCAGCACCTCGACAATCTCGCGTGTGCACGCCTCGCGCTCCGCCTCAGGAACCGCATCCAAGAACGGCCGCGCCATCAGCCGGATCCAGCCATCGATGCCGCCGGCATCCGCGGGCGTCTCGCGCCACTCGCGCTCAATCTTCTCGACCTTCCAGCCGCCGACGCGGTTCTCCAGAATATCGCGCGCCCACGCTTCGTCGGGGAAGAACCACGGGTTTGCCTTCTTGGCCGCCTCCAAGCCGATGCGACGGCTGACGCTCGACACGACGCCCGTGACGAGCTCCGTAACGTTGCCGAGGCCGCCCATCTCAAAGACGAAGACGCCGCCGGGCTGCAGTGCGTTCTGGACGCCGTGGAAGAACTGCTCGTGCTTGGCGGTGTTGCTGAGGATCCAATGCATGGCCGCATTGGAAAAGGCCTTGTTAAACTGTCCCTTTTGCAGCTCCGGCTTGTCCACAATATCGTTTGCATCGTAGACTAGACGGCGGGGCGGTGTGTTAGCAGTGTGAGAGACAAGTGACTGTTTGGATGCGTGAGACAGTTTCACACAGTGACTCCACATGCCTTCAAATGTGCTGTTTGTGTAGCCAGCAGCCTCGACAGCTTTTTGTGAGGTCTCGATCAGAGACGGCGAGCTGTCCACGCCGTGCAGGCGGCCGGTGCCCTTGGATAGGATCTCGGCAAACTGCAAGTCAAGGACGCCGTCTAGGGATTGTTAATATGGATCACAGTCGTTGGGCAAATGACGAAATACACACCACCGCAGCCGAGATCCAGAATCACGTCGTCCTTTTGCACATCGAGCCAGCCGATGACCTTGCCCACCAGCTTGGGGACAAACGAGGCGGCATTTTGGTACTTCTATAAGTGTGTCAGCAGTTATTTACAAAACCAGCAACAAACGACAGCACGACATGATAACCGGGAAGAAGCCTGCCTCGGTGGACCAAATGTCCTTCTTTTCGGATGCCATTTTGATGGAGTGATTTTAACGGGTGTATGGCAAAGACGTAGTATGGGGTCAACATAAATCTGAGATAGGACAAGACTGGGATAGGTGTCAAGAATGAGCAGTAAAGGGGGATTGTTTACAGACAGCTTTATATATCTGTAATTGCTCAGCATCAGAAAGTGAAAGCCCCGCTTTTGGTGATGGCCTGGTTACAAACTCCGGCCATGATGATGAATTGCTAGGTCCGATTTCGGAGATCCGTGTTAGTCGACTGACACTGTTGACTATTTACAAAGTAGTACGGTAGGCCACACGATGTGTCTGAATTACGACCAAAAGGCGACCCTTGCAATCACGCTGCAGGTTATACGACATGTTTTGGCCGCTACATACGTTGACGGATATGGAGCATGGAAGAGTATTGATATGCGAGCGAATACGACGTAACAATGCATCATTGTTTCGTTAAACTCGCAAAATAAAACAAAAGCTAACTGCAATATCATACTTTCTCCATGCATCTCCATGCTCAGTCCAGGCTCAAGAGCTCGTACTTGGCATCTCCAAGGGCATCTTCGACCCGCTTCATAGCAGCTAGTACCTTCTCCTCCTCCAGTCGGCGACCTACCACTTGCACACCCACCGGCAGGCCGTGCATGGCGACGGAGTCATAATGCTTCATGGCGCCCTGTGCAACCCCATTCAGCTTGCGAAGTGAAAAGTCTGAAGGAAGGGCGTCTTCTTTGGCATCTACCCGAGTAACGGGCAAGACTCCGGCCGTGTAGTCGAGCTGTACATATGGTGTTAGTGTGGGAGCGATATCGGCCGTCAAATGGATTGGCAACATGTAAGACAGCGACACCTCGGGGCTGCTGAACCTGAGATGACCACTCATAATAAAATAAATAGGAAGCAGAAAATTTTAAAAAGAGCCAGAAAAGAGGAGGTGCATACCAAATTAAAAAGGAACGTGTAACCACAGCTGCTGACCGCGTCATGCATGGCATCGTGTGGTAGCGCCGGGGTCGCATTTGGAGGCGTCAACAAAACATCAAACTTGGTCGAGTCCCACCACTTAAACCAGCGTGCGCGGTAAGCCTCGCGCTGGGCGACGAGTTTCCAGTTTTCAAACGCACTCTTCGGACCCCAGTCACGCACCAGGCCGGCCCAGATAGGATCCCGCCGCACGTACCGCACCCAGGCGTAGTACATATAGCGGAATAGCGAGGGCAGCTTAGCCAGGAATAACAGCTGCTTAGCACCAGCGTCGAGCCACTCACCCGGCCGACGCGCAACCTCAAACATCTGGCAGCCGTCTGCGTTGAGGAGCAGGGACGCGAGGCGTAGTCCTTCGTAAGCATCAGGCGGCGGGTTCGGCTCGTTCTGGCCGACCATGGTGACGCTGTGGCCAGCCACCTGCAGTGCATCGACCACCGTCTCGACAGCCCGGCGGCAGGCAGGACTCGGGTCAACCACACCATCACTCATCATGACACCAACGCGCAGCTTGCGTGACGGCGACGAGATGTCGTCCTCGGTCTTCTGGTCCCAGGTAATGCGATGGACCGAGTAGTCGTACCGCCATGGCTCCATCTGAATCAAGGTCCGTGTAAAGTACGTCAAGTCAGCGAGGGTCCGTGCCATGGGGCTGTAAACACTCGGCACACCCTCTTGGCCGGGCATACTGGTGCGAAAAGCCATCTTGGGCCAGCGGCCCGTCGAGCAACGCACACTGTAGCAGCCCGCCCAGTGTGCCGGCAGCCGGACGCTACCCGCCACATCGCTGCCAATGCCAATACGGCTGCCGCCGGCTGCCAGTAACGCCGACTCACCGCCCGTAGAACCGCCGGGCGAGTACTTAGCGTTGTGCGGGTTCGTACAGCGACCCCACACATCGTTGGTCGACTCAAAGCTGAGGAGGGTGATTGGCATGTTGGTCTTGACAAACGGCACGGCGCCTGCCTCCTTGAGCATCACCACGACCGCGCCGTCCTCTTCCTGTTCCTGGTGCGTGAAGCTACTGTATCCTACTGTAGCATCGTAGCCACCGACCACCACCGTGTCCTTGAGACTGACCGGAATGCCCGCCAACGGGCCCTTGAGGTTGATGGTATCCTTGTTCAGCCACTCCTCGGCCGACCCAATCATGACCTCAGTCAGGCAGTTGGTCCTTTCGTGGACCTGTATCGCCGCCTTCCCGTACGAGCGCAGCACATCGACTGCCTTGACGGAGCCATTTTGGACCTCTTTGGCCAGCTCTTCGACCGGCGTATCGAGCGTTGCGCGGTCCTTTGCTGAGAGCGGCGTGTGGTACTCGGCAGGCAGGCTGCGAATGCGCTCGGCGCGCTGGTCCTGCTTGAATTTGCTGTCAAACAATGTGTTAATCCAACTGTAGAATAATAACAACAATAACAATAAGCCATAATCAAGCATTGTGGTGGATCACGTTACCAGTCCCGCTTGTGTTGTAGTCCAAGGAAGGATGACATCGCGATAACACGATGGCTTCTCTGATAAGAGGCAATTCAAAGTTCGGGTTCGTTTTGTTGCGAGAAGTTTCCTTAGCAAAGTTGATCTCCTATTTCTCAATTAATTGGGTTTGTATTGGTAAAAGAGGAGGGAATCAGATTGGGGAAGGAAACGGCGAACAAAAGTCACTTGAGCTCTTGGGCCGGGGCAGCCCCGCACCTGCCTTGTTGATAGTGACACAGGGGATAAGAGGGTGATAAGAGGCACACGGGCGACTTGGGGAGCCGCAAAGCCGCTAGAAGCCGATGCGGTCTTCCCCTGAGGCACCCGCTCGCCGTTGAGCTCTTTCCGTATGCGGAAGGTTTTACCTTTGACCTGCTCATAACGGCTGTCCAAGCCTCCGCTCTTAACAAAGCTAACAAGTTGGAAAGTCCGGGTCGACTCGCCCTTGCCTGTTTTAGTACAATATCGTGTAAGATGCCCACGCCAAGATAAACCGGACGATAGTTCTTGCCGTCAAGTTCGATACAGGTACACTTTTGAGGAAAGAGCACTCCTGCTTGCAACACGTCGTTTGTAGAATGGTGCTTTCCACGATGTTTACAATCTCGTCCCCCTTTTCACCCCCTATTTGTCATGATTGCGTCTTGACTGCATGTTCATGAGTCGTTGCTATTGATTGACTCCCCTTTGCAAGCAGAAGCGCCAAGACAACCACCAAATCCTCTTCTGCTAGAACATCCTTCGAAAAATGAACATGTCTCATACTGCCAGCCGTCACAGAACTATGCAGAAGTGCACCCTTTCGTGCACATGGCGGGAAAAGATTACACAGAGATACTGACACACACTATGCATTTTGTTTTTTTGTACTTCACTACATATGCGAAAGCGACGACGCGGCGAGCACGGAGAGTGTGCAATGCTCACCCACGCGGATGCACCCCTTCATTGGCGGACGTGCCTTGTTCGTTGCAGCAAACTGCGATTTCAAAATTGCGGCCGATAAGCTACAAGGCCTAACTATCTCGCCGAACCAACAAACACGAGAGAAGGGCAGCAATGTTGTTTTGGACAGCACGTGGGACACGGACGCCGTAACGGCCACAAGACGCCACCAACGTCAAAAGACAATCCATTTGCTTTACGTTGGATTTGGTGAATCACCCAAGGGCAGCCAGCGGTGCTCCTAAGTGGTGCCTGTTCTGCGGGGATGCCGACCAGTTTATTTTCCATGCAATCACCAAAATCATGCATTTAATAACTTTCAACTTGTATCTGCGTCGGGTAAGGTATCGACCACGGACTCTCATGCTAGGAATATGATGTATCGTTGGCAATTGTACTAATATCACTGCGTTCGGAGTCCTGAGGATTTCTCTCCAAGATTGTGCCCGCTTTAGTTACCACAAGGCTTAAAATACAACGGCCGATACAAGCAATATGAAACGCGGTTGCACTCAGTCCTCCAACTTCGTGACGGTTTCTCACTACGACTAATAATACGACCAGTCCGAGTCCGTGTTAGTGATTCAAGCTGCGGAGTAGAGATACGGTGACTTTACAGGGGGGTCCCTGCTCTGCGCCTGCAATGCTGCACCTCTGCTTCACGAACATTGAACTTTCTCCGCAGAGATAATCTCTGATGGGCGTATTGACAATTTGAGATCGGTTTGTTAAATGCAGTCACCCGCACTTCGCCTGCTTGAACTCATGATTCGTTTGAGTTAACTATCCTTTCTTTCCAATACATGCAGTTCTTCCTCTTCAAAACCATGGCCCGTTGCGTAGCTTAGTTTGACCCGGAACTTAGCTGGCTTTACAGAGACAATCCTCTCATATCATTTCCCGGCCTGTCGAAAGAAATATCGCCAGCGTACTCCTTTACGCTACTAGCAAGAATGCAAACAACGACTTCTGGCCGGTCTTGTTATTTTGCTCTGTGACGGTAATTTTCGATATTGACTTTGAGCTTTCCTGCTTCAGTCCACGGCGTACGATTTTACGCGGCACATGATTGTCAGTTGACGCGAGTTCAGCTCTGACAAATGGCCCGGCTGCGGTCAAGCCTCGATCGGAGACGACGGAATACGTGGTGCGACCTTCTGCAAAGCCACCCTCCCCACCTAAATGATACGCTCCGTTGTATAAGAATACTCGTTTTAATATGTTGTCTTGGTCCTGTCACCAACAAGTCCTTCCGAGGCTCAGGCCCTTAGTACCTTTTGTGTTGTTCTTCCGTTGGCAAGAGGCAAGGAAAGCCCCTGTGGGTTCTGTTTACCCATCTCACCCTATTCCCCGTGCAAATTACACACACCACGCTCGCTAAGTAGGTTGTGTCAAGCCAGACGTGAAAAGACAGTCCTCGAAATTTCGTTTCCAGTCTGTCGGGTTCCGGACATAGGTCGGCGCTTAATGGTCTCCGTTTGTTGGTTCAACACTGAGCCTAACTCGGCATAATATTCTGTCCGCTACGGTTTGGGCATTCACGGCATCCACATCCACATCCACATCCACCAACAAGTAACCCTCGCATGTTGGATGCCACCAACTTAACGAGAGTTGCTATGTTTCTTTTTTATTTCTTGCTTTACTTCTAGTTCTCTCTCACTAACACGGACGTATAGGCCATCATCACCTGTCCATATCCACGCGTGACTGGGAGTAAGCCATGAGCCAACCTTTGCTCACAACATACGAGTGCGTAAACGAATTGCTTCACATTCGCATGCCGCATGATCCATGCAGATTTTACTGTTTACTCTGTTGGTCAAAGGTACGGGGTTCATTGCTGTGCACTCACGAGGCTGAACAAGGGCGTATTATGCTCCACTTATCCTGGGCCCTGGTGGGCTCAACGACCTCGAACAGCCAGAGAGGCAAAATAGACGACGAAAACCTGCAAACTTTCTTCCGCATGTACATGTTGCTGATTATTCGCCCACGGGCCGAACCACGGATAATCACTTTACACTTTCACTCTAGAAAAGCACTCGCAAAGATATTGCTGATAAATTTTGCCACGGATCTGAACCAGTTTACCAACCTAGGCCAGCACATGTTTCCGGCTGCTCAGCTTGAGCTGTTGGCCCGTTTTGAGATGGATCACGATATAGCCATCTCGCTCCAGCTTGGACATGTTGGCAATCCGTGTCTAGCCTAAACGAGCCAGGACCTCGGTGATGCTATGTTGCATCCAGGGTGGTCGGCAAGTTGGAGGCCCATACTGATATGCCCTCGGGGGATTGTTGTGCTCGGAGGCCCGGGCGAGAAATAGTGAGAGAATTCCACCTTACTCTAGAGCTCGCATTTAGAGAAGCCCATCCCGTTTTTCATCAAGAAAAGCATTCGTCATGCTACCTCATCGTGGTTTGTTTGCCCATGATGTTTAGCACTTACTCCGCAACGCAAGTCAGGTATGGCATCCGCTGACGACTACTCGGTTGTGGTCATAATATCTTCTTGTTTCACCGTCAACCTTCGTCAAGCATGCGTAAAGAATATTATGTGCACCGCACAATGCCATTGCAGACTGTTTCCCTTTTCTTCGTCACTGGATAGCGGACTAGAATGGACTGCAGACATAGGTGGGTGGCAATGGTGGCTTCGGATGCGAGCAAGAAAAGCTGTCCAGAGCTTTTCAAGACCGTTTAAGCCAACAGATACGCATGGATTACTGCAGTGTTTGTCAAGGATGCCAATCCGCGTCCTGTTGGTTGCAAGCCACCCTCTTCAATTTTGCCATCTGCCCCTTGTCGCAACTACCCCTGTACTTTCTTGTTTTTTGTTCACCCCCGAGTTGAAATCTCAACGGCAAGCAAACATTTCGTATCCTCCGTGCCTCCTATTCGACAGGTGTGTTTTTAGCCCGGAGCGGTTGCTGATCCAGGGCCTGCTCTTGATTTTTCTCCATACGTCCTCCGTGCCCCCAAAACCTTTCTTTTTATTTATCTTGTTGTTGAAGATTTGCCTGCTTCTTTTATTCTTTCTTGTTCCATATTGATACACTTCTGCATTTCTGTTATTTAGAGACTGTTTATGCAATGCACATACTCGAGATATGAGCTAACAGATACCGTTTTGCGCCTTCAGCTGTCTCTGTTTTGCCACCTGTTTATCACAGCAACTGCTCTTTTTATTTTGTCCGCCTTTCCCCATTCACACTGCGAACTGGGCATGCTTACACACAATACCTGTCTACGTTTCGACACTCAGTGCTAATTGTTCACGACGTTGTTCCACCTTCCACCCACCTCGCACAGCTAAGCCCTTTCTGCGTCTGCTTTGCCTCCTTGTTGCTACTCGTTGCCTCACATCTATTTATGAGACATATGTCCAAAGTCAGTTAATACCAAGCAGCGCCGAATCAACGACTGGAAAAGACGTCGGCTACGCCGGCACAAGCGACTGCCCAACTGACAACCAGCAGGACAAACGCAACCGATACGAAACAACGCAACGAGCATTATACCAGCCTCGGACCGGATAGTCTTTACTGTCTCGTCAAAGAAATGCTATGTCTTCGTTCTTTTGATGTCTCCACTAGGATATGACGCTGCATTAGTTCATGGTATATAATGACCTCTTGCCATTTGTCTTTCCACTTCCATCCCGACCTTCTGCCCCTGTTGCAAGTCGACCTTCAATTACTTCATATATATTCCCCGCTGTGATTTACAGCGTGCAACCTCTTCCCTTTGTCTCTTTCATCGGCTACTCGAAGGATCTGTTACCATAACTTCGCCGATGCGATCACTTACACATCGACACAAAAACAACTTCCAGTCTATGTCTCGGTACTACCGCCGTCAGCCCCATGGTACGTCCTCGCCCCTGCTCTGTTAACGAACACACCATCAGAAAATCCTGCTTTCCCCATTTGAATAAAACATGGCAACTAACACGCATGTTTACCATGGGCCAGTCTGACCCGTCACCGGTTGCGCCTCATACACAGCACTGGCTTCTGCGGCTGCCACCTTACTTTTGGTCGCAGATGTATCTCTACCTCGACTACGTCGACATCTTGAATCTCTCCTCGCTAAACTCTGACTTCTTCGCCGAGGATGTCGTAAAATACCTACCTGAATCTGTTCGCTACACAGCGGTTGCAAAGGTTCATGCCAATTCCGACCCAAAAACACACAGTGCTTGCTACCTCTGTTTCCGCATAAAACCCGTTGAAGAATTCCAACAACCGTACACAATGGCCTCATACGCGCGAGTCTTGCAGCGCAACGAATATACCGGTCAGCGTATCTTCGAGGTGATTTCAGAGCCTTCTCCAGGTTACACAAGCAACATTTTGCAGCCTCCATCCCTCCCAGTGTCACCCGCCACGGTGAGCATGGGTACGGGCATGAGCCCTTTTATCTTGAGCACCGCAGTCAGTCCTTCAGAGCCTGTAGGTTACAGTATCGATATCGGGTTTCGCGGTGGCATCGGCGGTATCGGTAGCCAAGCTGCTTCCGGTTCGTCCAGGGCGGGCCGCTTGCACCGCAGATGGCAACCACAGGCGCCGGGCGCCGAGGTGGGCCAGATTGAGAGCCTCCGCACATACTGCATCCAATGCGCACTGGAGACGCACCTCGCGATTGCCGGTGATGTTGTGGAGCCACGTGTCGGGCCGAGGTTGTGGGTGTGCGCTTGTCAAGTGGCGCGCAGGCAGGACAACGGCCAACGGTGCTTGACTTGCGGCATGAGCCCAGTCTATCGAGATGCAGTGAACCAATAACTGCAGTGACGGATTACGTGGCTAGACTCTACTTGGTGTGTTCGTGGATGACAGCCGCTTTGATTACAACCTGTCCTGTCTTTCTTTCGTCGATGCCCTCTTTACACTGTACTCTCTTACTATACTCGCTCCTGTTCGTATTGCATAGCTAGAAGTGGTTGTTGTTTTCTAGATCGACTGTTGGTTTCCTTATTGTCTTTTTTTCTTCATTAAACATTAGCTGCTTCTGTTTTTTAAGCGAAGAGCGATTGCAAACTCTTGTTACTGTGCGTTCACCCGGAGAGGTGAACTGGTTGGGCAAGAGAAGAGAAGGGACTCTACACATGAAAACCACGAAAGCGGTGACATGACATCCAGCTACTAGCCAAAGTGCACATTGTGCAACGCTGCACTCTTTTGGATTTTTACTATTCCCTGGCCAACGCTGAAAATCCTTCAACTTTCTTCGTTTTGGCCAACTATCGCTCTTATTTTCATATTTGAGTGCATGTTTTGCTTTCCTTACGCACCATTCGTTTTATACTTTTAGACTTTCCATTCCCTGTGCAAATCCAATAGCTTTGAAGCTGCGATTTTGGCTCTGTGTTCTTTTTGTCCCTGTGGCTCCAATACGTATACTGTCAAGTTACTATAAAGTGGTGTCGCGGCAGCGGTCCGTATCGTGGTTGACAGAGGGGAAATGGACGGGATGGACAAGTGAAACAACGGTAACTGCATAGTATAGAAGAAAAGACAAGAAATTAACTGCGTGTAAACTGACCATAGCATAACACAAGCACAGCGCCCGCATGACAGCGCTCAAGCCGCGACGGCAGCCGACAATCTCCCATTCCCGGCCCCCATCACAGATCTGACACACAACAAAAGGCCACCTCATACATCAAGCGGGTCTTACGGAGTGGTTTGTCCTCCTTCGCAATAAGGCAGCTAGGAGACTTGGGGGCCGCACCAGATACAGAGCCGTTGGCCCCGGAGAATCTCAAAAATGAACAAACCACACACACATCAATACAAGTACACATTGTCACTATTGAAACTTTTGTGGGGCCAAGCAGTCACCCGCTTGGGTGACATGATAGAACATGGTTTAGTCCGGGGGCTGAAAGGGCGGCGCGGGCCCGACGGGCGGACGAGAGGCCGGGACAGGGCCTTGTTTCCATGCCCGAAGAGCCCCCGATCCGCTCAAGGCTGCCCCGTCCTCGGTTTCTTGTCCCCCTGTCATCTTCAGCGATAAAACTATGGGTTATACAGATAACAAACAATGGCCAATGCTGGTTCGCGAGGATCGCGCCGTCGCCATTTGTTGATGAGTACGATGTAACCGCTTCTCCGTTTATCGAGTTGGCCGGTGCCCCGTGTGCCCTGTGCGTATTACATGACAGGAATGCGCCTACGGTGCTCCGTCGTACGCCATTGGCTTAACAGAGCAAGGTCACTCCCAGAAAAGCACAGAACCAGTAATGATTACTTACTGTTTGCATTGCAAGCTGATTTTGTATATGTTGTCCAGTTCAAGCGGTTATCTTCGTGGGTCTTTCCCATTTCCCCTAATCACTCTTTCATTACCGCGAGGCAAGCGAGGAATGAAACTCAGCCACTAAGAGCAACAGCCATAAACAGAGTAGATCGGCAACGCACCAATCGCCGCGGCACTTCTTCCCGTTACTTTTTTTCCTGGTGGCCCAGCTTGTACATGTTACTCTCGTACCGCCAGATCTGTGGCGCGGCTCTTGGCAGTAATCGTATTTCGCATTCCGACCCTCCATCCCGCCAGCCCTACGAAGCAATGCCCCGTACTTCGAACACGTTCTCCTTGTGCCATTCGTGCATTTGATGTTTTAATGAGAAAGCCTTGGAGGGCGCCTTGTCCGCGATACGACAGTACGACATACAGTTAGCCTTCTGGGCGACAGACACTGAATAGTGCCGGCGACTAGGTAACACCTCTTATTTTGAAAGAGCGCAATACCATTTTCTTATTCAATTTTACTGTCTCTGTAGTTATTTAACTTCGAATTGACTGCGATGTATCTTGGAGGTCGAAATGCTGATACCTGGGCCTTGCGAGAGTGGGGCTAAAGGAACCCCCTAAGCCACACTAAATCTACGTATTTCGCATATTTCTCGGGCGATAAACCCCAAACGGGCTTAACCAGGCAAGAGTTTGGGCGAATCACGGTCCCGCCGTCACAGTGAGACGTGAACCAGAAGAAAGAACAAAATGGGCGACAAGGTCGAGATTGGGTTTGATGGTTTTCTTGCGTCGACTTCTCTTCCCATATCGTTTGTCTTCCATCTCTCTTTCCTTGTCTGCTGTTCCTTCCACTTCAATGAATTAGTTGACCTTGGAGCGATCCCTTCTCTTATCGCTACTCTTCGCCCTGTAACCGCCCACTCAGCGCGTCACAATGGGTTCCGACGGGAGGACCGTCGGCACGGCAGAGGAGCTCCTGCTGCGCGGCGAGCGCTACCGCGACACGTTTGGCAGGAACGAGATCGAGAGCCTTCCCGTTTTGAGCAACGACGACGACAACGACGACGAGGAAGGCACATCGCAAGCACCTTCCCGGCAGACGTGGCTGCAAAGATGGGGGCTGCGCCGCCCTGCTTGGATGGCCTCCAGACAGCAGCCTCCACGGCACTACCAACCGATTCACATTGGCGACGACAGCGACGACGTCGACGACAATGCCAGCACTCCGTCCGACACGACGACAGATGTTGAGGCCGATGCAGGCGTTGACTACAGCTACAGCGACGAGCCGGCGGCAAGGGCACAGAACAAGCAAAGACAACAAGAACGACGCGACAGTGATGACGACGTTGATGAGGACGACGCTGATGCTGACGCCGCATCCAACCCCCGTCGACGCGTCGCTGGCGCGGCCTGGTACCAAGCCCAACGGCCCGGCAGCGTCATTGCCCTCGTGGCCGTCCTTCTCTTCTTCCTCGTCTTTGCCGCCACGCTGGCCCTCGTGCCCATGTTGCGCCTCGTCGAGGACGCCATCTGCCGCCGGCATTATGGCCTCAACTACGGCGACGATGGCGGCAGCAACTCCACCGTCAGTGTCAACACCCACAAGCAGTTTCTCGAAAACGACTTCACGCGCACCGCCACCAACGGCACCGACGAGCGCCTGTGCAAAGTCGACGCCGTCCAGGCCGAGCTCGCCTGGCTCGGCGGCGTCGTTTCCGTCACCGAGGCCATCTTCGGCCTTCTTGCCTCGTTTCCCTGGGCTCTCTTGTCCGATCGCATCGGCCGCAAGCCCGTCTTCCGCATCTCGTTCATCGGCGCCTCCCTGTCCTTTGGCTGGACGTCGCTCATCCTGCTGCGACGCGACGTTCTGTCCGTCTGGTGGGTCCTGACCTGCGAGCTATTTTTGCTCGTCGGCGGTGGCGCCGGCGTCGCCGTCACTATCTTGCACTCCATCGTCACCGACGTCGTCGTGGGCGACCGCGCGTCTGGATTTATTTGGCTGGCCGTTGGCGCCGTCACTGGCTCAATCATCGGCCCTGGCTGTGCGGCGGTGCTGATGATGACCGGCGGCCCAGACGGCGAGGGCCATTCGGCGTGGCTGCCGATTTGCCTGACGCTGTTTGTTTTGACTCCCATCATTTTGCTCCTGACTGTGTTCTTGCCAGAGACTCTGCCAAAGAAGGTGGCAGCCTCGTCGTCGTCGTCATCGTCGCGGTCGACCGTCACTACGACGTCCTCCATGTCCACCGCCTCGTTCTGGATGGGCACCATTCCCGCCCACCTGCGCGAGACCTTTCAGCAGCTCCTCAAGACGCTGGCCGTCTTGCGCCGGAGCCGCCCTTCGCTGCTCCTGCTGCCGTCCTACTTGTTCCAGCCCGCCATCCAGAGTGTGCAGGGAGGCATCCTCGCCCAGAGCGTCAGCAAACGCTTTGGCTGGTCGCTCGCCCAGACCGGCTATCTCTTTTCCTTCCGTGGCGTCGTCACCGTTGTCGTGCTCATCCTCATTCCGATTATTACCAAGTACATTCTGGTCGGGTCAGTCACGGCCGCCGCGCTCCACACCAACAACAACAAGAAGAAGGCGCGAGGCGGCTGCACGGGTCTTGGTATGTCCGAGGTCCGCAAAGACTTGTTCCTTGCCCGCACCTCGCTTATGTGCCTCATTGTTGGCAACCTGTTGATGGCCACTGGCACATCCTTGTCTACCCTGGTTCTCGGCCTCGTACTCTCCACCTTCGCTGTCGGCTTCGGCTCCGTCTTACGGTCTCTCATTACCCACTTTTTCCTCGAGCAGCAAAAGTCGACTCCGACGAACATTGCAGCTGCTGGTCCAGTCGCGACCACCACTGCCGGCGGCCAAGATGGCCAGGACGACAAAGACAGCAAAGACGACCACACGTCCCGCCTCTACACCCTCACCGGCATGGTGGAGACAGCCGGCTCCGTCTTGGCCGGCCCGATGGTGGCCTGGACCTTCTCGTCGGGTCTTGCCCTTGGCGGCGCCTGGATCGGTCTTCCATTTTTCTATGTCACGGGCCTGTGTGTCGCCGCACTCGTGTGTCTCGTCGTCATTGGCGACGGCAGCCGCGACAGTGCTACCAGCAGCGGTAGTGGTGGCCGCATACGGCTGTCGACGACATCGGATCGGCGCGATAACGACCATGAAGAGGTCGGCAGTGGGCAGATCGCGTTACCGTAGATAGAAATAGAAGAAATAGGGCCGGCGTGTTATTTATGTACTTATTCTTTGGGACTGTTGGGGGAGGCTTTGATATTAGATACCTTATTTTGGCATTTGAGAGTACACTGGGACATTTTAGATTTTCTTTTGTTTTATTTTCGGCATATTAATACATTGTACTTTCCATTCAAATATATGAAACCGTGCTTTTTTTTATTGCGTTCGACAAAACAATTAAGTATAAATATATGTATATACAAACGACGCAATTTAACTCTTTTGCGTATTTAAATATGTAGCCAATGCTGATGGGCATAGTTCATTAGCATCGCTGAAAACCTAAACTCCATTTTCAATTTCAGACAAACCCCGTAATCATCGAAAAGCTTTGATAGTGTAGGCACTTGCTTCATAATTTTGTCTCCTGGTTGGGTTGATCTTGGGCATCAGTATCGTTCGTTCTTGTCCAAATTCGGGTCTGTCCGGCCCTCGAGGGTTCTCTTACATGCGACGCTGTGTGTTTGAAGTTGTCTTGCTTTTCTCCGTTTCTATTTTTTGTGGGCAGCCGAAACCACAAATAATGCCTCTCACGTTATTGACTTATACCTTCAATTTCCGAACAATATTGAATTTTAATGTTACAGATTTGTGCGGTCGGTGGCCGACCTGGACGAGCTGCAAAATATCAAGGTTGTGCTGGTCGCCCCGGGCTACGTGCACACGCCCATGTGGACGGCCGACCCGGTCAAGATGAAGCAGTTTGGCTACAAGCCGTCGATGGCGGTGATGCCCGAAGAGGTGGCGCAGGGCATGGTGGACCTGGTCACCAAGGCGGAGTACGGCGGCGGCGCGTGTCTGCAGGTGGCGGTGGGCGAGCGGCGCACGCTGGGCGTCTGGAACATCCCCGCGCCGGACACGGACGGCGCGCGGGTCAGCAAGGAAGTGCTGGAGCAGAACTACAAGCCGGTGCTGGAGAAGATGCGGAATGTGTAGGCGGGGGGACGGGGGCGTCGATAGGCCCGGGGTGCATGGAGCCGAAGGGTCAAAAATAGAAAACAGCTAAAATAAGCTTGAGTGAGATCTCGGTGACCTCTCGTTTGTAATGCTGCTGCCTGTTTCTGTCATTGTCGATCTTGCATCTCTGCATAAGACGTCGAAGGACGGTGCAGGCCTCCGCAGAAAAGCTTATTTTGAATGTGCCGACGGGCCGTTGAAAACACCATCACGGGTGAGAGTGTGAGATGCAGTGATGGGGCGTGATGGGGGTGTGCTGGTTCGTCGCCTAGCCTTCGGGCAAAACTCGTGTTTAAAAATAAATTAAAAAGGAAACGTGGACTGAGATGCAGGAGAAGGAGACGCGGAGCCAAGGGGCTAACAAGTAGAAAAGGGACGTTGGAGCGGCACGTCTGCATGGAAGCGGCACATTGAATCTGGACAGCGAATGGACGTCTGCTCTCCGCCTGTGTCGCGGGTTTCGAGGTTTTTGTCGTTTCTCCCGTCTGTCGTCTCGGCTCATTTCATTTGAATTGCCAATTTTGTGCGATACGGTGAAAATGCAAACATGGGCACTCCAAAACCGGGGTCTAAGCAAACACAGTGGCATTCTCTGGAGATTGGCTGGGTCCATCATTTTGGCAGAGTGGCATCTTACGTACACGGCGACGACACGCGAGCTTGCGATCGTTACGATCGACAGGGAGTGGAATCAAAAAGGGAAAGGCCAAGAGAAAGGGTACTTTGAGAACAAGGGAGACGCGAGAATGGAAAGAAATGGGAAAGGGGACGACGGGGATCTATGGAGACGAACCTATGAAGTACAGCCACCGTTGTGGAGAGGAGTGGGACGCCGCATCTGAGTGCCGTCGACAGCTTTAGCTGGCGCTAGGCAGCAGAATTAAATTCAACACGAAACGAATTTGGGCTGTGGGAGCACGTTCGACGAGACGTCGATGCAACGAGAGGCGTCTATTGAGTGACTTTGTTGGATCGCTCCCGATCCGTCCCATGTCCTTCGGGTAGTGTAATTATGCGCTGCTCACAGCCGACGTCCCCCTTGGCCCTTTTTCGTCGTCGGGTCCTGGTTGTGGTTGTTTGAATGTGCCGCTTCCCTGTTTCCAACCATTGCCTCGACGCCAATAGCGCACCTCCCAGGAGCCCCTTTGTTACTGGGCAATTGCTGAAAGGCTTGACCTATCCCTGGCCCGCGCCAAGTGTCCACCCGCAACCAAACAAACTCCCGGAGCTGCGCTGCAACGCCACTAACGTCGGGCGCGACGTCATCCACTCCAAACATCTGTACCTTACTGTGCCGAGGACCTTGTTTGGACATGTCATGCAGTGACGGGCGCTTTGTCTCATCACGTTGTTCCTCCTTGCGCGGCACAGTATCTGTTGGGCGGGAGTTGACTGGGATGAGTCGGAGGCGGGCGAGGAGAGCAAAGAAACCGAGGAAAGTGAAACAGACACAAATAAGTCGTGAGATAGAAACCGAGGACAAGCGCAACGATGGAACAACGTTTTGGCGTGAAACTCCGTCAAGAATAAGACACAAAATAAGAGACGGGAGAACTGCAGACAGGTCGAAATACAAGTCGAAGAACAACACGAGATGACAGCCAAAAAAACAGTCGTCGCCCCGTAAAAACTTGGTCGACAAGTGGGCCAAACCTCCCTGAGATCGGCCAGCAAATACAAGGTAGTCGAGACAAGCGAGGCAGGATACTTTTACTTGTTGTGCCCAGCCATCGCGTGGCCTGCAATTGAGCTCGCGTGAGCGTCTTCTATCGCAGACTGACACATTCAGTTGGTCATTGCAATCCCATTGTCCTTCACCTTTTGTTTCTTCCTTTTTTTTTCCTATTTCTCTTCTTCTTCCTCACACCTTAGTAATTTAAGGCTGGCATGCATCTGCGGTCCACGCCATTGCGAGTTCCTTCTTGAGCTGTGCTCCCTCGGCCGTGCGACAATTGCACACCTCGACCCGACCTGACTCGCCTTTCGATCGTGTCTCGACCGTTCTCGACAGTCCTTCCACCCAGTCCACCACTTCTCGGCGACCCCTCTCCTCACACCATGTTCCGCCAGCCATGGCACGATCGCGTGGCATCACGGCGTCGCCTTTTCAAGGTCGCCGTTGCCGTCGGCTTGGTCGGTCTGGTCATGCTTTACCGCAGCCTCTGGTACGACATCTCCTCGCCCGTTCCCTATGTTCCCTGGACACGCACCGACTACGGCGGCACATGGATGAATGGGGCCTATGCAGACGTTGAGGGCGTCACAGCCGCGCCGCCCGCACGCTGGACGCTGCCACCAAACGCGCCCGGCAAGGCCAAACACCAGCGCACGGCGCGCGTGCACGCCCAGCTGATCCTCGAGCAGGCCGAGGCGACGCCCGACCAAAACCACCTGGGATGTCCCGCCCTGAACCACGAACGATACGCCGAGCTGGTGCCGCAGCCTAGCGAGGGGGACGGCAACTCGCACAACTCCCACCGCACCTACTTTTTTTGCACTCGACTTGCGCCGGGTCGTTGGTCTGCTGCCCACGCTGCTGGGCTCTGTCGTCGAAGCCGTGCGCTTCCTGGGCCCCGCCAACTGCGTCGTCTCCATCGTCGAGGGCCACTCGAACGACGGCACCTACGAGACGCTCCTCCTCCTGCAAAACGCCCTCAACGCCATGGGCGCCGTCGTCTACATCCAGAGCACCAGCATCAACCCCCTCTTTGGCGACCGCATCGGCAAGCTCGCCAAGCTGCGCAACCTCGCCCTCGAGCCCATGCACCTCGAGTCGGCCAACATGCACCCCGACCAGAGCGTCATTCTATTTCTCAACGACGTCGCCGCCTGCACCGAAGACCTGCTCGAACTGGCCCTTCAACGGCGTCGCCAGCACGCCGACATGGCCTGCGCCATGGACTACCACCGCCTCGACCGCCAGTACGACTACAAACTGACCTTTTACGACGTCTGGATCTCGCGCACCATGGACGGCGAGGCTTTTATCATGGCCCCACCGGGCCTCGCGCAGTGGCGCTTCGCCGACGACCTGTTTCCGTACGACGACCTCGCGCGTGCACGCTATGCCCAGCGCCGGCCGTTCCAGGTGTTTTCGTGCTGGAACGGCGCCGTCGCTCTCACCGCCCGGCCGTTCTTTGACAAAAAGGTCGAGTTTCGCCGCGCGTACAAGAATGTCGGCGAATGCGGCGCCGGCGAGCCGACCTTGCTGTGCAAAGACATGTGGAGCCAGGGCTACGGCAAGATCGTGGTGGTGCCGTCCGTCAGTCTCGGGTACTCTGTGAACGAAGGGCTCGACGTCAAGGGCAGCATGGGCTACACGGCCAATTGGACGGCCACAGAGGACGCCGGGGGTGACGGCATTGAGCCCATGGCCGTCGACTGGGACCCGCGGCCGCCCACTGTGGTACGCTGCATTCCCAGTTGGCGCAAGCAGTTCTGGCAGGCCTGGGACTTTGGCGTGGGCAAATTGCGCGCGAGCAAAGCGTAGCCGTAATGGGCGGGGCGACGACTAACTCGAGACGACAATTGCATTTCTGGCGTCGGGCGCACATTCATTTGCAGCGTTTACTTTGTACAGGATCAGAATACCATTTTGACTTTTTAAATAGCACTTTTAAGTGGCAACTTTTGCATACCGCTCATTGTTCGAATACCACCACACGCGCCAAGACAGGGCTGAATTCCATGCAATCCCACCGACCGCCCCGCTAACCTGTCCTGACCCCGCGACAGGACCATGAGCTGAATGTTGCCGTGGGTGGGTTTCTATTGAGTGTCGTGGCTCTGATGAAAATAACGTGTGATGTACGTTTCTCATTTGTCCTCGCAGACGTCACGCTCGTCTAATTCCGTATTAAGACACAGCCGCCCCGCCACCTGCCGCCACAATGCTCTGCTCACTTTGTCAGGGCATGTCCCTCCAGCGACTGGTGGACCTCGCCAAGCGCGACTTCCGATCAGGCTTCTTTCCCAGTTCGGACTACTACCACCACCACGCGTCCTTTGCCGAGCTTGAGGCATGCGCCACCGGGACCAACCACAACGGGTGTTACCTCTGTCTGTTGATTGTCGACTGTTTCGCCAGTGCGCAGCACGATGCCAGCAACCCGCTGTGGCCCGTGCCGCCCAAGCCGGGAACGGCAACCCCGGCGGGAGTATCCGCGCCCCATACGGCAGGCGCGACCATGCGCGACGTCGCCCGCAAACTCACTCATTCCGACGTCCGCATCGCCCTTTGTGCCCGGCACGCGGCCACGGGTGCCACGATCCAGCGGGTCCAGATGTTTGATATGTTAGCAGTGCGACTCGGCGACCGGCTCGAGCTGGGCGACCCGCTGCGGGTGCCAGATCTGTTTCTGGTGTTGCGCATCCTCAGTTTCATACAGTCCGCTACGGAATACAAAACGCTCCAGAACAGCCTTCCCGTAGTGGATGGATACCGCATTGGCTGCTCTACGCCAGACAGGCACCTGGGCTCGGCCGGAAACTTCAAGCTAGCCCGCAGCTGGCTCGACGACTGCTCTCAGCACCATAAACACTGCTCAACGACGGCACATACAAAATTGCCACCTCAGCTGCCGACACGCGTAATTGACGTAACCTGCTCGCCAGCCAGGATTGTGCAAGCCGTGGACATTAACAAAGGCCGGCCAGACCATGGGTGTGCCGAGTACGTCGCCCTCAGCCACTGCTGGGGACGGCCGCCCATCAAGACTCTGTTAAAATCGACGACGATCAAGGAATACACGATTGGCATCCCTGAGCAGGACCTGCCTCGCAACTTCCGGGATGCCATCACAGTGACACGCAATCTTGGCGTACCCTACGTGTGGATCGACTCGCTTTGTATCATCCAGGATTCAGTCGACGACTGGCGGTATGAGTCGGTGCGGATGGGCGCGCTGTATAGCCGGGCGACATTCTCGCTGCTGGCCATGGCGGCCGACCAAAGCGGGAAAGGGCTTCTCAATGATGTGCCCTGGTCCATTGTCCCGGCGTGCACTGTGCCCTTCGTCACAGATGCGGGTACAGCCACCCTCCAAGTATCGCCCATCTACCAAGACAGCGAGAACTTGCGTCAGCTCAGCGACACGGCGCCGCTGAGTGTCCGTGGCTGGACCCTGCAAGAAGTTGTGTTTTCGGCACGCATCTTGTTTTACGGCGCCCACCAAATCTACTGGTTCTGCACCGAGGGCGGCTACAAGTCGGCCGAGTCGCTGCCGGACGGCATCTTGTATCCGCACAACAAGTATCCGAGCATCGCGTCGGCCTACTTTGGAGAGGACACCACGGCGACGCCGACACCAGCACCACTGTCGATCGCGTCCGCGCCCACCGTCGCCGCCTCCACCACGGAAGCCATCCTGACCGACTTTTACCACTTCGTCGAGTCGTATGCCCGGCGCACCCTGACCTTTGGCACTGACAAGTTCCCGGCCGTGGCCAGTTTTGCCCAGAATGTGGACCGCGCCATCAAGCGCAGCCAGAGCCAGAGAAGGGGGGGGAGCAAACCGGTCGACTACTCGTACGTGGCCGGCATATGGAGCGGTGACTTTCGGCGCGGCCTGCTGTTCTGCCCCGACGGCATGCACGCCCCGCACGTGCTGCAAACGAACGAAAAGGACGGGCTGTACCGTGCGCCGTCGTGGTCGTGGGCCGTGACGGATGCACCCATCGTCTTTTTGGCCGCGCAGACGCCCTTGACAGGCACGCCGAGTCCACTGAATGCCCAGCTGCTGTCGTGGTCCGCGCGCCCACGCGACCCCAACAACGCGTTTGGTGCCATTGACGGCGCCCGCATCGTCGTCAAGGGACGAGTGTGTCGGCTGCGACGGAGTGCCACGCACTTTATCGGGGCCTATACGTGGGACAAGGACGAAGAACAGGGGTCGGCATGGTTTGACGACCAGCCGAATATGGGTGCCGGGCCCGACTTGCTGTCCACGGCCAATGGCAACTGCATTGTTTTTGATGGAAAAACAGAGGAGGATACCGACGGTGAAGACACGTTCCTTTGCACATATTATGCGCCAGGCACGACAACAGGTGCAGGCAGCAACAAGCAGACGGTGGCGCCAAATGTCAAAGACTATGAGAGGCAAGAGTATACGCTGCTGATGGTCGACCTGGGCCAAGCAGACGACGAAAAGCAGGTGGTGAAGAACAAAGTAGATAGCATTGATGGAGGCAGTAACGACAGCAGTGATGACGACGGCTCCAACGATGACTTTGACGATGATGGCGATTTCGGCGGCGATGAAGACTGGGATATGGCCGAAAAGTTGATTCACTGTCTGATTCTGCGACAAGCAGCAGCCATGGTGTACGAACGCGTCGGTGTCGTCATTCTCGACTGGAAGAGCCGCAGTCGCGTCAACCACTGGCGTGAAGAGACCATGTCACTTGTCTAGACATATGGGAATGTATGTGATGATAGTATATGATGACAACATGACTATAAATGGATGTTTATGCTAGTCTAAACCAAAGCCAATGTGCACTGTATGCAGTGACCATTTCCGGCTGCGCACAGCTGCGGATCAATATAAATGAGAATCAAATGTACAATAACGCCAGTCTTTCCTTGTTTGTCATGACCTTGCGGTCTCTCTTCCCCCTCGTCTCATCATTGTTGCCCCTCTTCCACCAGGTCCTTGCAGAAGAAGCGCATAAATGGGTAATCGGTCGCCGTCTTCTTGCCCAGGGTCCAGTTCTCCACCCGACGGATGTGGTTCTCAAAGATGGGGCTCAGCACCAGGTTCTGGCCGTCGCCCAGGTCCAAAAAGGCACCCGAATCTGTGTACGGCCAGTTTACCGACATGTCGGCGCCCGTTTTGACGCGGAACTCGTCAAACTCAAAGTCCTCTGTGAGCCACGACTTGCTGCGAATGATGGCGTCGCGCGCCTGCGGCCACGTGATGATGTCGACCCACGGCGGGTGCGGGACGGTGCGCTGCAGGTGCGTCGGTTTCAGAAACTCGGGCAGCTTGTCGTAGCTGGACTTGTTGCGGCAGACGAGCCACCGCAGCAAGTGCGACAGCGTGTACATCAAGGCAATGCGTGTCGTGACCGAGCGGACGTTGCTCTTGGCCACGACGTGTGTCGCCAGGGCAAATGTCAGCGGTTTGGACCCGTCGTCGCCCAAATTGGGGTTGAGCAGCGACGAGATGCTGGGAAACTCGGCCTGTGTGAGCTCGCCGGCACCGCCCGACTGCTGCTGCAGCCGCCGGCCTGAATTGGTCGTGTCAAAGATGAAGCGGTCCAGGTCGTTGGCAGGCGCCAGGTGCAGCGGCACCGTCTGCCAGGCGGGGGTCGTGGGCGGTGCCAGGCTGTGTGCAAAGGCCATGGCGCTGCCGTCGCCGGCACCATCGACGTTTGCCAGCATCGGTGGCGACAGCGTCACGTCGTCGTCTGGGGGCGGCATCGGGAACTCAAAGGCAATGTTGCCGAGCTCGCTGTCATGGTGGTTCGGGTCCAGGATCTCGCGCAGGTTGACGGTCCAGATGGAGTCGCTGTGGCTCGCGTCGACGTCGTCGTCGGGGAGCACGCCGGGCAGGCCGCTGCGGTGGGCGACGGGCACGGCAATGGTCGGCATCGACGACAGGGACGACATCGATGTCGTCGACGTGGGGGGAGTGAGGCTGCCGCCGGCTGTGGCCGCCACCAGCTGGCCGCCGCCGCAGACACACGCGGCCGCTTTGGCTTCGGCCGCTTCCAGCGCCGCCGACAACCGCACCACCTCCTGCTCCAGCCACTGCATCCGTGCCTTCTTGCGCCGCTGACAGTGCTGCTGGTTCGCCCGGTCGATGGCCCGCTTGCGTTCGACCTGCGAGTCGGTCAGGTTCGACACCCGCCGCGCCGCCGGGTCCTGTCTGCCCATGGTCAATGATGTGTCCCGTGTCCTTTACGACGTATCGATCAGGCAGGTTGCTGAAGGCCTCGACGACAATCGTCGTCTTTCTGCATATGTCCCGGTTTGTCGTTTGTCGTCTGCTTGATTTGCAATCCAGGCTTGAAGAAAACCCGCATGAATCATGGTGAGAAAGAGGGGGCGGTGCGCACTAGAACGCTTTCGGGCGTTTTTGGAGCATCCTTGGGCCATCCTGGATCGTCTTGGGCCGTCCTGTGCCGTTGTCCCCCAGGACCGCGCGACTGGGGTTTTTCTGGGGGGAAAGGGGGTAACGGGAGAAAAGACCGAACGACTCCGCTTCTCCGCCTTTGACTCCAGGTGCGTGCAGCGGGGGAAGGAGCGACAGTATGAGCCAAAAAGGACTTGTCCCGAATAGGAAGGGCCGCACCCATGGCAATCCACCAATCAGCAGCATCGCAACTCGAGATGTCGTCAATGACAATTGAATCAACTATGGCTTACCCTGAGGGTATGGTGATTCAAAGACGAAAGTCGTTTCGGTTGTTAAAAGAAACAAAAGTATTGGGTGGTGTGTATAGATTTATTTATTCGGTTTTTTTTTTTTTTTTTTTTTTTCCTATTTAATCTGCAAAGTAAAACGCAGAAACATTTTATGCCCGTTCCTATTCCTCAGAGGATTATTTTTGTTGCTTTTGTCGATGCATACGTAAAATATTGAACCATCAAACTAGCAATTATAAAACGCGTTTATAAAACTACTTTACTTTGCCCCCATTGATATCTTACTTCCCTTTTTTCTTACGGGTTTCTGTTCTTTTGTAAACTTACGAAGTAATCTGCAACGAGCATTGTACTTCCTGTGCGCCTCAAACCAGAACGGCATCAAGGAATGCTAATCTTGGCATGGTCGCTCTTCTTGGCAGCTCGTCCGCCAAAGCCCCAGCCGATTTGATGCGCTAATTGGATTTGTGCACCAAGGTCATCGGCCCAAGCCCAGACCAAACCAGGATTTTTCTGGAACATGCGACCTGCTGCAATTAGGTCCAGGGGCACATCGTCTTCCGATTTGCCGCCCGAGATCAGCTCCTCGGCCAGCGTGCCCGTCTTGATGCTGCCGACAGCACTGACGAGAAGTGTGTCGCCCACAGACTTTTTGATCTGCTTCGCAAACGGTGCCTGGTAGCCGGGCCTGCCATTGACCTTTTGGGCAGCGTGGTTGCCGCCACTGGACACGTCCAGCACGTCGACGCCGCGCTTTGCGAACAGGTGCGCCAGCTGCACGCTCTGGTCCACCGTCCAACTGCTGCCCGCGTAGTCCGGGTTCGTGTCCAGCCAGTCGGTGGCGCTGATGCGCACAAAAAGCGGCATCGTCTTGGGAATGACGGCGCGCACCTCGTCGACCAGCTCCAGCGCCAGGCGCGTGCGGTTCTCGAAGCTGCCGCCGTACTTGTCGGTGCGCTTGTTGACGGCGGGCGAGAGGAAGGACGAGACCAGATAGCCGTGTGCGTAATGGAGCTCGATGACGTCGAAGCCCGCCGACACGGCACGGTGTGCTCCGGCGACAAAGTCCTTCTTCAGCTGGGCAATCTCGGCGAGGGACATGCTGCGGGGCGTCGGATAGTGCTCGTTGAACGGCTCATCGCTGGGGCCCACGACGTCGTCGGGCCATCCGCCGACTTCGACTGTCGCCGCGGCCCCGGAACTGAGCCACGGCGCGACGGTCGATGCCTTGCGGCCGGCATGGGCGAGCTGGATGCCGATGAGTGCGTTTTGGCTGTGGGCAAACTGGACGTGCTTGCGCAGCGTGTCGACGTGCGCATCGAGCCAGATGCCGGAATCCTCAGGCGTGATGCGCCCGTTGGCCTGCACCGCAGTGGCTTCGACCATTACGAGACCGGGCTGAGACATGTGTTAGTCGTTAGCGAGGGGCAGTGCTATGATGTCATTGAACGCCAGCGGCGGCGCGAAGCATGGAATGGGGCGTAATTACCCCACGTTGAGCCATGCCACCAAGGTGTGTAATGTGCCACGGGGTGTGGAATCCCTCATGGGCGCTATATTGGCACATGGGGCTCACCCACACACGGTTCGGCAGCTTGATGCTTCGGATTTGGAGCGGCGTGAACAGTTTCGGGAGCGCTGAGCCGTCGGCCGGTGGTATGCCCGTGCCCGCTGGCGGATCCTGCTCTGGCGTGTAAAAGGGCACATTCTTGGCAGCTGGGTTGGGGATCGGGGCCGTGCACTTTTCCTGCTTGGCGAGCGCAGGCGTCTCCGGGCGCGACACGGTAATGCCGTGGTGCGGATGGACGATTCTTTTCTGAAGATAGGCAGCCATGGCGAACGGTGGGTTGGACGTGACTGAAAGACGAATTGATGCGTGGTTGACTTGTCCGATGCTACAGGAGTATGGGCCCCCACAGCTGCTGCCCGTATATATATATATGTACGTAGAATTCTACAGGCAGGTGATTTCATGCTACTCTACGACGTCAAAGCCCGCAAATCGATATATTAATAAGGACCAAACACCGATGCAAGCGTCTGTGGCATCTGCCGTCCGCACCTGGGCCACGATCGACGGCGCTAGAGGCGCCCACACTGGCGAGCAGAGGCCAACGTCGAGCGGCAGAAGTATTAACTGCTTTACCGTCGGAATCTATGATGAATAATGCGGGTAGCAACAAACCTGAAATTCCGAATCGATACAGACCCTCCTGCTTCCGCAACGTCCGCTTCCGCCTCATCCCGGACTACTGACGGTAGACGCCGAGTCTGCTCCTGGGCGCGCACATCCCTCGGTATGGCTGAATAATAATGTAAAAATCAAAAATATTTGTCATACGACGACACGGCGTACGACAACCATGAAGGGCGATTTGTCATCACGTGATTTGTCCCTGATGGTGACGTGATGATGTTCTGACGGTTGGGGGGGGGGGGGGGGGAACGAACAGCAGCAAGACGGCTTAGGTCAGCAGCACTGTCCAACGGCCTCGATGGGTGCGATACATTCACTCGAGAGTGATCTCGCTCCTTCTGGCCACATTGTTATCTACCGTGAGTCGACACGAATATAGGTGGCAAAAAGCGTGCAGAGACGGCGGCCCAGACCAGATGCCGACCAACTCACCGCCAGAGGGCAATGCCGACCTCGGTGAATTTGTGACGCGTCTTGTGGCGCGTTGTGGGCGTGTCTTGCTTTGGATCAGCCAGTAGTGACGTCTGCGAGCCGGCTTGGCGACGTTGATGTGCAAGCCATCGCCAGAGAGAGGTCCGTGAACGGACGACAAGCAAGCAATCGTTGCCCGTGTGAGCCAGAATGCCTTGCCATGACCTGGCCACCAAGCTCGAGGTTGTCGTGTATGCATAAACGTTATCTGTCCAGCCAGCTGCCACAATTGCTTAGAGTTGATCTTGAATACTGGACCATACCAATCCGATTATGCTAGTCTCAACCTCACCAAGGAATCCAATGACTACTTACTGCTCAACATTACCATGGAACGCGACCTGGGGCGTAGTCTCTACGGCGTGCCATGGCATATCAACAGGCCTTTGGGGCGATTTCGGCGGCTGCATCCTCGACGCAGTAGCAGATTCGCGCGATTGGCACCACCCAACGAGTTTGCGTCGGCAGACAGTTCTTACATGCTTGCAGGAGTTGGCAGTAATACATGGCGTCGGGGGTGTTTTGTTTGGTTTTCTTCGAAGCTGGACGTGGCCAAATAGGCGGAGTGCCCTGTCGCCATGGAACAAGCCCGCACTGCGCAAAGACGGGCCAGCATCTTCCAGCGCGCCGGCCCAACCGCGAGCGAAGGTCAAAGACTGAATAATGCGGCTGCGTGGGCGGTGCTCTTGACTCTTAAAGTCTGAAACCTGTACGATTTAAGTCCTGCTCTGCATTGTGCAATACGAAGTAGTGATTTCACACATGAAGAGAAACATTTGCTACAATTCACGCAAATATTGAGTAAGCCTGTCAGCGCAATGTGCAGAAACTCCCCAGGTTTGGACCATTGGTAGCAGCGCTAACTCTGAAAAGCAGCTGTCACATTTTCGTCTCACAGCCCAATTTCCAGTTGCCGTACAACCGGGCGCGAAGTCGCGAACTGAACGTCCAGGCCATTGCCTAGCCATTGCAAAGCGCTCCACTGTTTTAAAGTATCTTAAATTCCAAATATGGGTTTCTAGCCAGGTACACAGTGACAACGGGTGCGTGCCGATCACCCACGGAAATTGTTCCGCTGCCATCACCAACCATTAACAACCAGCCCTGCTCGACCCACCGGTTGCCAGGTTTAACGTCCAACGTCCAATGTCCAAATGTCCTGCCACAGAGACGAAAATAATACACCGGATACATCGTGTCTCGAGGCGCAGTCGCCAACCAACGAATAAAAAGGACGAGCGCGGCTATTCCCTGTCGCGTCTCCCCCGGACTTGGCATTCTTGTTTCCGTCAAGCGGCAAGCGAGCATTGATCGCCGTTCTGCCGTCAGCACTATGTTGTATTGAAGCTCCTTATTCATTTTAACGCAGCTGCGAGCTGCAGTCAACAGACGATGAAAACAAGGTCGTTTGTTGTCTGAGCAGTGTGAACTTTGAGGATACGGCACGTCACAGGGGATGAGACGTATGCGACGGATACGAAAGATGATGGAGGAGAGGAAAGGAGAGCACTGTGTTTTCGTGAAGATTACCTTATCGTCCAATGTATACATATACCGCCTAAAATGTGTATGGACCTTTTGTTGGATGTTTCTTCTCATCGTTTTTCCTTCATCTCATCTATGTTTGCTGCATATCTTCCGATCCTCCAATAGTAACTCAACAAACTCGACTTGCCCAACCATCCACGCACTCCTCCTCCAGTTCCCACCCTTCTCCTCACCAGCAACCAATATGGTCCGCGGTCTCTTTGCTGTTGCAGCTCTGGCTGCCTCTGCCGCCGCCGAGGCGCACGTTACCGCTCTGGCCCGCCGCATTTCCGGCAACCAGCTCAGCTCCGCCCTCGAAAACTTTAGTACAGGGGAGCTTTCTATTGGCGGCGACGGCTCCGGCAATGGTAGCAGTGCCGTTGTCGTGATCAATGGCAGCACCGTCAATGGCGGCACCCAGACGACAGAGACCGAGTCGAGCGCCGCGACACAGAGTGCAGCAGGCGGCTCCAGCCCCACGGCCACGCCCACGGCCACCGACGGCAATGGCAACACCCAGTCGCCGACAAACACCCAGAACGGCGGTACCCCCGCGGCGACCACGTCGAAGTCGGCAGCCGCCGCTTCGCTTGGCCGTGGCAGCGGCATGGGCGCCGGTGGCATCTTTGGCCTGACCTCGGTCGTGGCCGGCCTGGTCGGAGGCGCTACCATCGTCATTGCGGCGGCTCTCTAAATGCACTTTGCCGTCTTTACTCTGTCCTTGTCGTACATACGCACACATCATCATTGGAGAGTATTGAATAGAACTCTCTGTTTCACTTCGTTGCTTCTTTTCTCGCCTGCTTTCTGTTGTATTCACCTCTTCTGTATCTGAAACATGTTTTATCATCGTTTTGCATAGGCCAAATAATTATTCGATTTTCTCAAGTAACTGCACCAATCTTCCTGCGGTTGCACCCATTTTAACTCTTTGAGTGCATTCCGAAAGTGGCCATGTGAGCAATCTAAAAGTTCTACTTTCACAACCTCAGGCTGACGGCAAACACGCTCGAAACTTGATTCACGCAACGAGAGCTCAAAAACAACTGGGAGGATCTAGCACCTCAACTGACTTGGAGCACAGACTGCTTATGCAAGGAATGGGTCGTCGTTATCGGCCGTATTCTTGCCTTTGCCCTTGGTCTTAGCCTTTCCTTGTCGCTTGCCGACGTCTCTGTCAGTGTCGCTGTCACTGTCGATGTTGTCATAGTCGTCGTCGGCGTCATCGTCGTCGTTATCGTCGTCGTTACTCTCTTTCTCCTCGTCCTCTCGGGCAAGCACGGCGGCAGTCGCTTGCGTCGCGAGCGCTTGTGCCGTTTTCTTGTCATCAATGCTGAGGCCGGCCATGACATCGGCCGCGTCAACTCCCCAGAAGAGCTTAGCGTCAGCCGCCGTGAGAATACCGTACTCGCGGGCAAAGACATACAGGATCGAGTTGCGCAAGTACTTGCCGGGACTGCCCCAATAGCTCTTGGCCACGGGCGGGAGGTTGTCAAGGTTAGCCCAGCATTCGTCGATTTCGGCGCGCTGGCGACGCAGAAGAGAGACAATAGCCTTGAAGTAGAGGTATTTCCTGGCAGGGCGGAAACCGTTCAGAAACTTGAGCGGTCGGCGGTGGAGGTCCTCGTATGTCCAGAAAATCGCGTTGCGCTCCCCAAGGTTCCTTGTCAGGAGGTGCAGGACAAACTCGGTCTCCTCAGGGTCATCGCTCGCCGGCAGGATAATGGCCTTGGCTTTATCTAGCAGCTCCTCGTAGCCTTTGCACACGAGCAGGCCGTTCCGCGGATTCCAGATATGATCCTGGCGCTCACCAAATAACGCTTCGGCCGTCTTCGGGCCCACACTAGCATTAACAATGTGAGCCGCCACGACGTCGGGCATGTGGGTGTGCGCAATAGGGCAGTATACGAGCTTGCCGTCGTAGAGTGCGTCGCCGCCATAGGAGCCAACCAGTTTTTTGCGAAACTGGTTCCTCTGCATTTCGGCGCGGGAGGCGCGGACGGTTTTGCGGGCACCCTCAAGCTCCGGGTAACAACGCAAGACAGCGTCGATCATCACCCAGTCTTCGGCCATGTCCCGCTTAATGCCCTCCGACACGATGTCGGTGGCCCAGCCGCTCACCAGCGCGGTGCTCTTGGACCGCAGGACCGACAATGAAATGGCCATGGCTTTTTGTTTGGCGAGGTAAGGCGCCATCTCAGCCTTGTACCGGGCCGTAGGCAGGTTAATGCCGCCCTCCTCCCAGTTTTCTTTGAGAGAGACGATTTTGTTTGTCATGTCCGCATACCTGTCAGCGAGAACTCGCTCATCCTCCTCCATATTTCGAAAAGCGCGGATAATCTTCGCAACGTTTCCATCCTTTTCGGCCTTCTCGTTAGGCGTCTGGGAGCAGAGGGGTGTCTTCTGTATCGCCTCATGCTCGGCCACGTCTTCGGCGGACATGGCTTGGCGTAGAGTGGGTGTCAAAGCCGGAATTTGCATCATGCCCTTTACGGGCGTAACTGGACCCGCGAGCCGAAGGGTGAAACGACTCTGCCGTGTTGTAGCGCGAGTGGTCGTGTCGGTGGCTTCTGGCGAAGCCTTGCTCTGTACATTGTCGACATTAGGATCGCTGGGAAGTTGGGGCTCATTCTTTTCGACGGGAGAGGCAGGGGCGTCTTGGGAGGATCTATTTAGTATCGAGTCAGTAAATTGGCGAGACAAGTAGGGCAAACACACGTTGTTCTTATGCTGCTGTTGTAATCGAGATCCACAGAGGAGGCGTTATGGGTGGTCGTTGCTCCGCTGTAGCTGGGGACAACATACGTCTTGCTGGCCTTTGCGGCCTTCTTCTTGGCGTTTGCCGCCTTCTTCTTGGCCTTTCCGGCCATTGTAGGAGCGTGGATGAGGGAGTCAGGGAACGCAGAGAAAAGATAATGAGGAAGAAATTGACGGGAAGCTTCAAGAATATGGGGTGTGGAAATGAGAAGCTAAGTAGAATGTGGGAGGCTTGTGAAACTGCGAGGAGAGTTGACAGAGGGAATAAGGTTCTGTGTTATAGCTACAAGCATGGTTATTTATGCTCGAACGATACTGGAAACGCGTCGAGAAGATTGTTTTCGTTTTCGTTTTCGTTTTCATTTTCATTTTCATTTTTATTTTATTTTACTTTGTCAAGACAATGTGTCTGGTGACTTTTGAATTCCCGTTTCGGAAGGCACTCGAATTTCGTGTAGCAAAAGAGGAAAGAGGCCGTTCGATGCATCAAACGCGCTGTTGGTTGCTTAGCTGTAGTCGAGACGTAGATGTGTACTCGTGACTGTATTTGACACACTAATGAATTAGGTTCCGCCAACCAGCGTTTGCCGCGTGATTCATGTCGTTCGTTTGTTTAGCTTACTACGTTTGCTTGACTAAAGATCGTGGGTGTTGAGCCTTGTGATCTTCGTGGCTACACAGCTTCATGAAACTTGCTACAGACAATGCCTGATGAGCAGGACAGAAAATAGAATAAATAGAATTAAAAATCCACATTGTATTCCAATGGCCGTTGAACACGAATGAAGCATACCAGAGCATTCATTCACTTAGCATCAGAATTCAAAACAACGCAAAAAGTTCCCACCCTCGTACAGGACATCGAGCAGGCCGTAATTAATGGTGCCGTTGAGCAAAGAGGCAGCGGTCCGGGTGGACAGAGATGGGTGGGTTTTCATCGGCGGGTGGTGTGCCTTTGAGGGTGGCGCGGAAGGAAGGGACCGTGCCAAAGGAAAAGTCGGTTTCGTTGCAGGGCAGGCGTGTCGTCGTGTCTTCCAGACTCGACGGGGCGGGTGACAATCTGCCAGAGTACAGGCTCGGGTGGCGCCGTTTGTGGCCGTGATGTCGCCTCAGTTGTCGTCGTCATCGTGGCGGTGGTCGTAGTCGTCGTGCTCTGAGACTGAGGAATGGCTACAGGGATAGCCGATGTCGTGGCTGAGTCCATTGAGGCATAGGTCTCCTCTTGTGCAGGCACAGCAACAACGCCAGGTTGAGGGCGACGGCCATGTCGATAGCACTGCGGTCGAGGTCCGCGTTACCCCATTCCGCAATGGACAGGACGAGTAAGGCCTGCGTCCGCTCGAGCGACGGTGCACATCTGCGTCAGGGCTTGCGCCTGGACTAAGCCGAGAAGGTAGTCGGTGGCGGCGGTGGGCGAGCTGTAGCGTTGGACCAGGCTCGGGGTGAAGCGCGATGTGATGGCCAACAGACAGCTCAGCAGGAAGTGACTGCTGCAACCATTGTCGCTTTCGTTGCTGGTGCCCGGACGCTATGGCACGAGTCGCTCCAAAAAGAGCGGCCGCGGCAAGAGACCCAGCCCAGCCGTCGACAACCTCGTCGTGCGGTGGCCAGCAGCCGCCGTCGCTGCTGTGTGGTGGCAAACGACGAAGGGTCTGTCCATACTGCCCCGGCCAATGTGACTGTGCCTGTGGCAGTCGCAGCCGTGGGCGTGGCAGCCTTCGGAGCTCGCGGTCGGCATTATGCTCGCCTCTCACTGGAAAGGCACAGCTGGCGGCCGTGTCGGGCCCAGCAGAGACGCAGCCCCGGCATTGCGTCTGGTCTTGGTCTTGTATGCATTAGGAATTTTTGCCGCGGTGGCAGGATGGTTCGGTTATTGGCTGTGGTCGGGGATGTGCTTGTAAGATCCTGATGAGGACAGGGCAACGAGAGTGGTTGCAGTTGACGTTGGCGATGCAGTGGAGCTGGTCGCTGTAAAATTAGGTGAGGTTAGCGCCATGACGAATGGCAGGCGCTACGTCTGACTGCGGGAAACAAGTGCTGTCAATATGCCCCCCAGTGCATAGCAGGTGATTGGCGGGGACGCAACTCCCGTTATGAGCAGCCGTGACACCCGGTATCCGCGCAGTTGGTTTATTTTACCTTATCGTCCGGGACTTGTTAGCGATGCCGCTACCGGATTTAGTACTTTTAGTGGATGGAACGCCACTCGGTTAGCTATGATAACAAAGTAGGTTGTGTATTAAACGCCCTCCTTGTCAGGTATCTTTTGGCGCGTCTTCCATTGTTTACAACCAGAAAGGTGGGCCACTGTACATGTGGCGAGGGCGAATAATGATCAAGGGCAGTGAAGGTTTGAATACGGCACGGTAGACACACTATGGACAGGGCTGTGAAAGCGGCTCTGCGGGCCCGCCAAGGACTCTCTTAATTGAACATGAGTGTCGGCAACAGGCCAGGTTGAACATGGCGATATTACGAATGAAATTCATAAAGCTGTACAGAACAATGAGTTAAAAATTCATACAAAACACGCGAAAAATACATGTCAAATCTCTCTAAATATGGGCGCGCTCCTCTCTCACGTATATGCATAAATATGGCCCGAAGACTCAACCAGACTCCGTAGATGCATCATTGTCACCCTGTTGACTCTCTCACTCTTCCTCTCGTCTCATATGCATTATACTGTCTCAGAGGTCTATGCTCGGCGCTCCTGCTTTGGAAAGAGCTGCATTGACGTCACTCAGCCTCTCTAAAAAGTGCGGCTTGTAGGCTGCGCGCTGCGACTCGGGTGCCGGATGGGCATCGACCACGGCATCCTTGGCCAGGAGCAGCGGAACTGTGATGTGGAACATGAAGGCGACGGTGTCCTCACAGATGCGAATGGGCACGAGGTCCTGCGTCGTCGCACTGACCCACGTCTCGTAGGTCTCGCCATGCGGCATGTAGCTGGCCTCGTAGCTCAGGCCGCCGGCCTCGAGCGAGTGGGCACTGCCGCCGTAGGTCCCATAGAGCAGGCCCATGACCTCGGAGGACATGTTGCGGTGGTAGTAGGGCGGGCGGAAGGTGTTGCTGGTGGGGATCCATTTCGGCGTGAACACGAGCAGGTCAGTCAACGGAACACCGGGGACGGTGGACCGCACGGTCAGGACACTGTAGACGGTCGGGTCGGCCTGGTCGCGCTCGACGTTGGCGACGTTGATAAACTTCTCGGTGGCGTACTTGAACGGCACCAGGTTGCCGCGCCATGCGACGACGTCAAAGGGCGAGTGGTCGAGCTGGGACACAAACAGCTTGCCCAGCAGCTTGTAGACCACCTCCCAGCTCTGCTCGTCAATGTCAAAGGCGGCCACGGGGCTCTCAAAGTCGTTGGGCAGGGCCATGCCGTTGGACCCCATAGGTCCGAGCTCGGGGAGGTCAAAGTGGGCTGCATACACCTCCTGGATGTAGCCGCGCGCGGCCTTGTCCTTGCCCGCGTCAACGTCTGGCAGCTGCACGCGGAACCGCAGCCCGGCCTGCACGACCACAATCTCGCCGGGCCGCACCATGAGCCAGCCCAGCTCCGTCTGGATCTGCAGACGGCCCTGCTGCGGCATGATGAGCAGGTCGCCGTCGTTGTTGCAGAAGGCACGCCGCCCCATGCTGCGGTTCGCCGTGTACATGTGCACCGCCAGTCCCTGCCGCAGACTCGGGTCGCCCTGGCCGCCCACTGTGCGGATGCCCTCGACAAAATCCTTGCTCTCGTTTTCGGCCGGCAGCGCAAACGGATCCCACGCCAGCTGGTCCGGCACCACCGCCACGGCCGGGTTCGTCGCCAGAAAGCTGGCCTGCAGTGCCGGGTTGAGCTGGTCGGCGGCCTGCAGCGGGCCGTGTGCAACGGACGGCCGCACGCGGTACATCCAGACGTGCTGGATGCCCGACCGCGGCAGCACGACAAACGACGAGCCATTGAGCTGTTCCGAGTAGAGGTCGAAGGCACACTTTTGTGGTGTGTTCTGGCCCAGCGGCAAGGCGCCAAGGACGGCCTCGCTGGCGAACCGATTGCCAAAGCCTGTCTGGTAGATGTAGGGGTCGGCGTCGCTGGGTGTCGTGACGTAGCCGCCGCGGGCCATTGCGGAGGCCATGGTGGGGGTACGTGTGTGTGATGGAGGGACAGGAGGGCGTCGTCTGTTGGTCGGGTGAGATTGTTTCAGCCAGGGTAGGTAAACCAAAACCAACAGGCAGGAGAAGGGGTGAGGGACAAAAGAAACAAAAGAGACAGATGAGTTCAAGGTCGAAATGCCATAAATGGTTCGCTCCTCGTGTATATGTAAACCATCGACACCACGCAGCTGAAGCAGCCCAAGAGAGCCCCTGCTGGTTCGGCAGAGACGGCTGGAGGAGGCACGAGGGAAATGAAGACGAACACTAGAGAAAGGCAACGAGGGAAAAAGGGAAAACGGGAACGAGGGAGAGAGGGAGAGAGGGGGAGAGGAAGAGAGGGAGAAAGAAAGAAGGTAATGGGACGCCTCTCGATCCAGGCCAGACGCCGCTGAAGAAGAGGAGGTGCGAGCCAATGTCTCATCCAAGTCCTCGTTCCCCTTCCGGCAGGCAAGAATCCGTACAGAATACCGACAAAACGAGGCAGAGCCAGCACGGGCAGGCGCAACCCCACGGCGATCTCACTGAACGGCCTAAGGGGGTCCCATTGTTTGCCTGCGCGCCCGCTGCTAGCTCGCCGTGGCGGGGCACGCTGGCTTTGGCCAGCGCATTTTGGTGTGCGACATGCGGTGTATTGCGACGTCGTAGTGTTGTATTGGACTGTGTTTTTGGGGCCCTCTGCCGGAACCCTTGCCGGAACTGCTGGCTAGGCCACACCGGTCGAGCCTGCCCACACAGAGCCAAGAGGTTCCCCGTTCGTGCTAGCGTTATCGCCGTAGCCTCTGCAGCTCCTCTGCTGTCCAAGTCCCCAACCCGCACCAAGCTCTCTTGGGCTTCTTGGCTGTTGCCGGCGGCAACGGGATTTGCAGGCAAGTGAAGTGCAGCAGGCCCCTGGCGCCCTCTCACCCTTTTGTCATCGTAGCGATTTTTACGTCAATCTCACAGCCATCACCACTTTTCTCACCGCTGCCCTTGCCAGCAGACTGGCCAGCCACCGTCATGTCATATCTGATCTGCGACGGCGGCAGCATCCTTTACGGAATGTCAAATACCGCTTGAGCGAGAGCAACAGACGACGAGCGGTCGCCAAGGGCCAAGTCAAGCTCGAATCGAGATCGCCACATCAAGCTCAAATAGCAAGCTCGCCGCGCCAAGCGCAACACACCAAGCTCATACAGCAAGCTCATGCAACCAAGCTCGGCACATTTGACAAGTCGATATATTCGCAACGACACCCACCATTCCCCTCCTCAAATCGTGCCAAGACCTTTCCCATGGCCGTAGGCTCAACCATCGTCGCGGGTGTCGCAACCTTGCCGCCCAGCGCGTATGCGTTGCTGCTCGTGCTCGCCCTTGCCGGCGTGGCCGTGCACCGCCAACTTGCTTATCGGCGGCGTCGTGCCGGCCTTCCTCTGCCTCCCGGACCGCCGGCGGAACCTGTCCTGGGTCACCTCCGCGTCATCCCGGCGGCCAACCCCGAGTACACCTACATGCAGTGGAGCAAGGAGTACCAGAGCGACGTGCTCGGCTTCCACATCCTGGGCCAGCCCATCGTCGTGCTCAACAGCGCGCGCGCCGCCATCGATTTGCTGGACAAGCGCGGCGCGAACTACGCTGACCGCCCGCGGTTTGTCCTGTTCGAGGCCATGGGTTTCAAGAAGACGCTAACCTTTTTGCGCATGGGCCCTGCGTTTCGTCTGCACCGTCGCATTCTCCAAAAACGCTTCCAGAAGAGCGCCATCACGGTCGACCAAGACTTGCAGACGCGCGAGACACACCAGATGCTGCGCGGCCTGCTGGCGACACCCGACCAGTGGGAGACGGTGCTGCGCCGTTTCGCGACCGCCGTTGTCCTGGGCATTGGCTTCGGCATCGGCATCCACTCCGACGCGGACCCGTACATCCAGATGGCCGAGGACGCGTCCTATGCCCTGGGCCACGGCGGTGCACCGGCCGGCACGCCCGTTGATTATTTCCCCGGGTTGCGGCTGCTGCCCAACTGGATGGTGGACCGCTCGCTGCGGTTTGCGCGCACATGGCGCTGGGCCATCCGCCAGCTGCACGAGGCGCCATACCACGCCGTCGTGGCCTCTTCGACCGCAACCTCGGCCGACGACGGCGCGCAGGCAAGCAGCCTGATTCACGGCCTGCTGGCGCAGCGGCAGTCGCAGCTGCGCACGGGCGCCCAGCCGGAGTTGAGCGAGGACGACATCAAGGGCGCCGCGGCGGCCGTCTACGCCGCCGGCCAGGACACGACGTGGGCCACGATGATTGTTCTCATTCTCAACCTCATCCGCAACCCAGATGTCCAGCGGAAAGCACAGCGCGTGCTCGACGACGCCCTGGGCGACCGGCTGCCGACGTTTGCCGACCGCACGCGGCCCGAGCTGGAGTACATTGAGCACATTGTCTCGGAGACGCTGCGGTGGTGCCCCGTGTCGCCCGTCGGCGTGCCTCATCGCACCGTCGCCGACGATGAGTACAGGGGCATGTTCATCCCCGCCGGGGCCTATGTGTACGCCAATGCGCGCGCCATCACGCACGACCCAGCCGTCTATACAGATCCGGACGCATTCGTGCCCGAGCGGTACTCCCGTGGTGAGCCGTTGCCCGTTGGCCAGTTCGGCTTTGGACGGCGTGTCTGTGTGGGCCAGCACCTGGCGCAGGCGAGCGTGTGGATTGCGGCAGCCTGTTTATTAAAGAGCTTTACCCTCAAGGCAGCGCCCAACGACGATGGCGACGGACAGACGACGAAGCCCGACTGCGAGGTGAAGCTGACCTACGGTCTGACGAGCCACCCAGAGCGATTTGGCTGCATTTTTGAGCCGCGAGGAGACGTGCAGAGTCTAGTGGACCGGGCGGTTGTTTGAGGGGATGAGTGAATGATGACTGAGTTTTTTAAATAATGATGCGTGGCATTTTCAAAGACGGCAAGATATATTGAATTTCATAGCGATAGTGTATTCATTGATAAATGACAAAGAAAAATATCATGACTGGACATCAGTTGATCAATTCGTAATGAAGCGCGAAACGAAAACATTAAGGCCAAATTTGACAGGGTCAGACCGGCAGGTCGCTGTTAACCTCCTTTAGCCGCTGTATGTCGCTCACTGTACCCTGAACTAAACGAGTGCACCACAGCACTTACACCAACCAGAACGGGCCCGTATCCCAAAGTCTGTTGCCGTTGTCATCCACAAGCTCCTCGCCAGACTGGTCCAACCAATACACGCCTCCGGTGACTGGGTCGACCTTGCGCGTACATCCAAACGGGCTGCTCGTAGAGGTCCCATCTGCCAGTCGCCAATGGGGCTTTCCAGAGAAAAAAGTGCAGCTCTCGGCAAGGGTGTTGTTGATGGGCGTATTGAAACGCCGCATGCCCTGGACCCGCCGAAATCCCTGCACAAGCAGACGGTAGAACGCATAACGAATTGGCGTGCCACCGACATTGTCTCGCGGGAATACCCAGCAGTCAACAGTGCAGTTGGTCAAGATATCCTCTGGCTTCGAGATACGGAACTGTAGCATCAAAAAGGTTGTGTTGTCAAAGCAGAAGATTTGTGGGCAGTTGTATTTGTGTGCGTAGCTAAAATGTTTAAGATAGTATTAGCGTTTATTATAACATATCACGTAAAATAGTAATAAGAGAGGGGGGATATAAACTCCACTGACCCTCTAAGCTCGCGAGAGAACTGTGACTGCACAGAGTCTAGATTTCCTTCCTGCCACGCGACTCGGCGTATGATGTTTCTCTTGAACTCCCCGATTGCTATATTGGGCCTCTCTCGACCACCCTCGAGACCTTGGACAATGTAAGAGAAATCCACCCGTTCGCTCCCGTGTGGTGGCGGATGGTGGCTGGTCTGTGTCACGATTGGGTATCGGTGGAAGGCCGGCAGTAAGACGTTAGACACCTCGTTATGAAACCAAGAGATTCCATCTTCTTCAGAGTAGAGTCGGTACCGTCTAACGTTCGGTCGGTGGGCCTCTTGCTGCATACGAAGGACATCATCGTCATTCTCCGGTGCAAAAACGTCAAAGTTGGCCGTGACCGTGAACATGTCGGCATTCATGTAAGTGTGCATACGTAGCTTCTTTATGGGAAGATAACTGTGTGTCCAGGCCTTATTGCTTTGTGGCATCATAGCAGTAGCTTCATCGACAAATGCTGGGTGCTCGTTGATGAGAGCCCCAACAGTGGTCGCCATGATGGAATGAGGTTGCTTTGACACAAAATGCTCGTGAAAAAGAAAAAAATAAAGGAAAACGAGGAAAATAACAAAGTAGGTACTTCATCGTGATTTCATTTGTATTAGGCAACAGCCGCCCCCAACTCTGCGGAATTGCTGTTGACGTACAGGGAAGGAGCCACCGAATCATATCATATCGTTCTTTTGAATTTCGTCACGTGATGTGGATTACCACTGTCTCAAATTATTGCCGCGTCGCTTCCCCTTTGACGTTCAGAAAGAATGTTACGGCGAGAACAAAATCAACCGCGCAAGGTAGCAACCAAGACTATCGGGGCACAATGGGGCGGCGCGACTCTGACTCCGAAGACTTCGATGAGCCTGTTATCACGTACCCGCGCATGGTCCAGGTACGTTTGTTGGCCGGCAGCTCCCTGACCTCCTCTCGCAGCTAACACGACTTTAGTTCAGGCTCGGTCTAAGCCGGATCCATGCGAAGGCGGACTTGCTCAACAGTGTATTCCCGCACGTCCTCCACCTGACTATTGTTCCGCGGCGTTGGTACGGTCTTGTCCGGCGCTGTACAGCATGGCTGCCGGTGACGTTCCAAGCCGTGGTTCACCGCCTGTGGCCCGGCGCATTTTTGCCCGCGCGTGTGGTCCTTAAAAAACTCTCCCGGCCAACACAATGTCGGACGGAGCTCTTTAACAACGAGATTGCCATATACACACGCCTACGCGCCATCCAGGGTAAAATTATACCCAACTTCTACGGCGAGGCGTCAGTCCGGGAGGACACCGGCGAGCGCAAGCGTGCCATTGTCCTATCTGTCGTCGATGGCGAGCTTGCCAGTCGCCAGACTGTTCCTATCCCTATGGAGGAGTTTAAGCGACGTCTGGGTGTGGCGCATGCAGAGATGTTACGGCATGGTGTTGCATACGATGACGTGCAGCTAAACAACCTGGTGCTGCAGGAAGATAGCAGTGGTGACGGTGGCGGACGAATTGTCTTTCTCGATCTGGAGTATGCATTTCCCAGCGAACCGGAAGAGGCCGAGCGGCGTGCAAGAGCCCTTGTGACCGACTACGGCTATCTCTATCGAGATTGTCTCATGACTTGGCAAAACAGGCAACGGGACGGATGGTGATGTGACCGACAGCATACACTGGAGGAGCTTGAGAACGGCCCACGCTCTTTATTTCCACAGCGTATTGTTTCTTGGTTCTTGTTTCTTGTGTAGCCCGAAATTATCATATTATTTATCTCATGTCTCCGAATCCATCGTGTCCCTCAACGTACCAGATCATTGGGCAGTCCGACTAATTTCATGGATATAGCCCTAGTTGAGCTCGTCATGTTGAGTTCGACAGTCTAGAGATCTTGATCTCAAACACAGAGAGCATCAGCGAATGAAGCAAAAATAATGAAATGAAGTGGTATATACAACGCTCATTATAATAAAATACCCTATAGCCAACCCTTCCTCAACTTGTCGAGTGCTTCCTCTTCTGCGACGACGTCAGCATACTTGCTGTCGAGATCAAACAAGTTGGCGTCCTGGATGGCCTTGGAGCGGTCGCCGCAGGCCGAGGCGACGACCATGGGACGGAAGCCGCTCTGCATGGCGTCGAGGGTCGACGCGCGGACGCAGCCGCTGGTGCTGACGCCGCAGACGACGACGGTGTCGATGCCCTGGACGGCGAGCTCGGTGGCGAGGGTGGTTCCGAAAAAGCCGCTGGCGTAGCGTTTCTTGACGACAATGTCCTTGGGGCGGGGCGTCAAGGTGTCGCTGACAAAGTCGGCGAGGCCCTGCCTGTTGAGCTCGCTGCCCGCCTGCCACACCGCGAGCGTCTTGGCCTTGTGCCAAAAGAGGCCCGCGTCCGCCATGTCCGGCTGGGTGTACTCGACGACGGTCCAGGCGACGGGGCAGCCGCCGTCACGAGCAGCGTTGACCAAGCGCTCGGCACTGGCCGGGACGCCGACGGCGTCTGGGTTGGCGGACAAGTCGAGCGGCGAGCCGGGGGTCCAGTAGGCCTTGCAAATGTCAATCAACAAGAGGGCAGGCCGCTTGCCCCAGCCCATGCGGCGGCCGTAACCCGAGGCAGCATACGACGCGGCGTCCTGGTGGTCGTCCATTGGGCGGAGGCGGTGATTGTGGGTGTGAGGTACGATGGTGTGGCGTGAACAGTGATGAAGGTGTGACGTTGATGCTGTGTGGTGATGTCGTTCACAGGGCTGTAGGTTTAGCGGGCTGCAGTGGTTTTAGTGCTGGAGGCGGGTGTTGTAGCGGTCCACTCTGACAGGTGTCTCGCTGCAGGTGGGGCCTTTAGCGCAAGCAGCCCAAGATACGTGCAAATATCCCGGCAATCGTCCGGCAAGTTAACTGTCCCATTTCCATTTCCTCACATTGTCTTTCGACGCCCACTTCTTGTTATCACCCACCAACTGTTAAGGCAGTCAGGAGGCGTAATCTTTTTATTTTTTATTTTTTTTTAATTTGTTTCATTTTTTCTGAGTTGGTTGGTTTTTATTGGATTTACTGTGTCTGTTGCAAAATTGTACTATATGTTCATTTGTGGCTTTTATTTTCATTATTTGGACCTCCTCCCATTCTTTCACAGTATTGAGACGTCGTTTTAAAGTAACGCACACCACCTTTCACCCATAACCCATACACCCATACCTCCCATGCAGCATGTCCCGCCAGATCTACCAGCCACTGCACCCGGCGGTCCGACCACTGCTTGACCCGCAGTACGTGGCATTCCACGATGCACACATGCAGTATGTGCAGCCAGACGACTCCAAGGTCTGGGATGGCAGTGCGCGGACCAAGCCGTCCTTGCCGCCGGGTACGCTGGATGTGGTCCCAGTGGGGTCGACAGAGGACATTGACGTGCCGGCACTGGACGGCAAAACCACGTTTCCGATGCGTGTGTTCCGGCCGTCTTCATCGTCGCCGTCGGCTTCGTCGACATCGTCGTCGACTGCGCCTCCAATCTTCCTCTGGTGCCACGGTGGCGGCTGGGCGATTGGCAGCGTTGCGAGCGAAAACGACTTTTGCACGCGCGTCTGCGAAGGCGCCGGCGTGATTGTGTGCTCGGTGGGCTACCGTCTGGCACCCGAAGACCGGTTTCCTGCGGCGGCGGACGATGCCTATGCAGCTCTGGCGTATGCATCGTCCGTCGAGGGTGGGCAGCGCATCGGGGGCGACCCGGCACGAGTGGCAGTGGGAGGAACGTCGGCTGGGGCGACGCTGAGCTGTGTCGCTGCTCTGCGGCAGATTGAGGCGCTCGGCAACAGCACCTCCCCGCTCCGGGGCTCCCTCTATATTGTTCCCGTGGTGGACAACACGGCGACGGTCGAGACAGCATGGAAGCCGAACGCAATGACCGCGCCGTGGCTGACACCCGGCCGGATGCTGTGGTACCGGCGAATGTACATGCCCGACGAGAGCGATTGGTCCCACTGGCATGCGTCGCCCAATCTGGCACCGCGTGAACTCCTGGAGAAGCTGCCTCCGGTGTGGGTGGCCGTGTCCGAGCAGGACCTCTTGGCGCCAGAGGGCATAGCCTTTGCCAAGCAGCTGCAGAAGCTAGGCGTAAAGACGGAGCTGCAGGTGCTCAAAGGCTGCACACATTCGGTCCTGGCCTTGGACGGGTGAGTCTGTGTCCCGTTTTCAGTTTCCCGTTGGTGGGCCACACGATTTACTGACTACTACTAAAAAACAACAGAGTCATGGACAAGGGGACGAAGCTGGTTGAGGATGCTATTGAGGCTGTTCGGACGTTTTTCAAATAATGGGACGCGCTGAACTGCATGATTTCATGTAATGCTATATGCGACGTGCTAATGCTATATTTATATCTATTATATGTACGTGGTTATATATACTTTTCTTACATTGATTGTTGTGCTGCACGCCTACTCCCCATCCACCTCCTTCTGTGCAGCAATCTCGCGCGCGCGACGCCATTTGCTGCCTATTTTGATTTCGGCGTACATGAGCGCAAGCATGCTCGCACTCACGAGACCCCAAAAAACATAGGTCCAGCGGTACGAGAGCGTGTTGGTCATCCTGTCGATGACGGCGACCAGCACGGTGGCGAGGAGACACCGGACCAGATTGGTGCAGGCGGTGGCGGACGAGCTGCGAGACTGCAGGACATCAATCATGAGCGTCATGGTGGTGTTCAAGATGGAGATGGAGGTCCACCCGAGGACAAACTGGAGGACCAAGGCGACGGCGATGTGGGCGCGGTACTCGAGGCAGAAGCCCCAGCCAAAGACGGCGGCCGTGAAGACGACCAAGTGGATGGGCATGGTGCGCAACCGGGCGTATTCGCGGGGGAAGTCGGCCGGGTTGGCCAGCGATTCCGGCGGGAACGTTTTCTTGACACGGGCAAAGTCCCAGTCGAGGAATTTGCCGGTCGTCGTGCTGCCGAAAATCATGCCGCCGCCGGTGGCCAGGTAGCACAAGCCGATGGATGTCTCGTCAAGGAACGGGTAGATGGTGGCAAAGGACGACGAGATGGTGGCCGTCACGGTGTAGTTGATGCTGTAGACGACACCGGTGAAGAAGAGCGTCATGGAGATATCCGGGTACAGGAAGATGCCAAAGGGGTTGGCCGACACTTTACGAGCGCTGGCCGGCGTTGGTGGATGGTTTCTGGGCACCGTTTGGCCATGGCGGCCGACAACAGGCACGAGTGGCCGGTAGACGCCCGTCAAGGCCACACTGCCGTTGCCGGCAATGCTGCGCATCGTCTCCGGCAGGAAGAGGATGACCAACAACAGGCAGACGGCGGCCATGACGACCAAGAACCAGAAGATGGACCGCCAGCCCAGCTGTTGGCTGAGGACGCCGCCGATCGCCGGCCCAATGCATGGCGCCAGCATCGGGCCTAGGTTGAAGTACCCAAAGTAGCCGCCGCGCTCTTCGGGCGTGGAAATGTCGCCAATGACGCCGGCACCAAGGGCAATGGTGCTCGCACAGCCGGCGGCCTGCAGCAGACGGAGGACGATCAGCAGCCAAAAGGCCGACGTCGGGCACAAGGCGAGGCCAATGCAGGACGCGATGAGGATGGTGAGGCACACCAAGAAGACGGGCCGTCGGCCGTAGCGGTCGCTCAGCGTGCCCCAGAGCATTGGCGAGACGCCTTGCATCAGCAGGTAGGCGGTGACGGTCTGGTTCATGGCTTCTGTCGAGACGTGGAAGACCTTGGCCAGCGTCGGCAGGGCGGGAAAGTAGATGTTGGCGGGCAGCGGGCTGTACAGGCCCGTGACGGCGACGAGGCCGACCATGACCCATTTCTCGTTGCGGGAGTAGACATGGTAGGGCGGGGGACGTGGTGGTGTAGCAGCCAAGTCTTGCAGGACGCCGTTGGGGGTGAGGGCATTTGGTGACGACACAACGGGCTCCGATGCGATGTCTCCCTTCTCGAGGTCCAGCCTGTCAGTGTCTGTGTTGACGTCGACTGGTGCATGTTGGATTGGTTCTGCCATTATGCGCCATTTCGTGGCGGTTAAGATGTGATTTAAGGGTGATCCTGGTGATCCTGTTGTGATCAGTGGGATTCGAATGGTGATCCGAGATGCAATTGAGCCGGCGACGATGACGGGAAATCAAATAAATAGGAAGACTCAACTCCGCTTCAAGAACACCCGTCGATAATTGTGAATAATTCCAAGCGCATCAAATACCAAACAAAACCAAACAAATGGCCCTTCGCCGAACACGGAGAAAAGCGAAATTTGCAGGGAAAATTAAGCTACATTCCGGTACAGCACGAGTCGAAAGAAGTCGCCGACTCACAGTACATTCGCACCGCAGTGGAGTCGGCAGCCTGCTGCTACAGCCTGCGAGCCTATTTTCAGTGGGCCCGACTGCATCGCCGGCAGTCCTCAATCAGTGGCCGTCCCTCGATATCGTTCTGTGTTATTCCCATTATTCCCATTTTCGCGATGTATGTCGGGCGTAGTATTTTACGATTTCATCCATGTAGTTGTCTCCCATACGAACTCCAACTGGCCAATCAGTTGATGTGGGAAGTTGAACGTAAAGAGTGTGCTATTGCTTCTGCAATCTTGCCTATCTAGTGGATTGGCCCTGTAGGCATTTGCGCCAGTGTGCCATGTCCATTGTCCACTATCAGTTGCCGGAGGCGCTTAACGGCAAGATAAGAATTGACGTTTCCACGCCAAAGGGTCAATGGGCAGTATGGAGGAGGAAAGCCGGCGACTCACCAAACCTCGAAGCGAGTGCCATAGCACCGCGCAATCGGAGCCGGTCCACTATTAGACCCGAGTCCACCAATCGCCAACGGCGGAAACGCCATGTGGTCCACTTTAATGATTGTCGACAATCGCTTTTTTGTTGTCTAATCTTTATCATGTCCTTGTTGAAATCATCTTTTTCTACATCCCATCCGCCCCTGAGATACCAACATCCGTGTTGTTATCCCACGCGACCGACACAGACCGCGTCGCATTTGCTGTTATCGGGCATATATTAGACGGTGCTCGCAGTCAGGGCAATGTCCAGGTTGGGCAGTTAAGTCATCCCATCAACCGAATCTACGGCTTCCGATTCGGACGACATTACGAATTACATTCCCGAGTCGACGCTTTCCGCTCTCCGCGTTCCTCGCCCATCGCCAACGACCCACTCCTCTTTGTCAACTCGCGCCCATCACCCCCATGGACGCCGACGTCGAAGCTTCCGCGCCTCCGCTCAAGTCGGAGAAGGACGCGGCCGATACCCACGATGCGTCCTTGTCGTCCTCTACCGACACCATGGCGGCTGCCGACGACTCCTCGGCCACGGCGCACAAGCCCTGGCACAAGCGCGCCATCGCGTACTTTACGGCCAACACGATGGAAGCGTCTGCGCAGGGCCCGACGCCGCTGGAGAAGCGCACCGACCGCCGCGCGTACACGGGCTTCACGCTGTGGTTCACGCTCAACTGCAACATCCTGCCCATCACGTTTGGCATGCTGGGCCCCGAGTTTGGCTGCTCGCTGCGGGACAGCGCCCTCGTGGCCCTCTTCTTCACGCTGCTGACGGCGCTGGCGCCCGCGTACTTTAGCTCGCTCGGCCCGCAGACGGGCATGCGCCAGATGATGCAGGCGCGCTACTCGTTTGGGCGCTACCTTGTGAGCATCCCCGTGCTGCTCAACATGGCCACGCTGACGGGCTTCTGCGTCATCATGGTCGTCATCGGCGGGCAGTGCCTGACGGCCGTCAGCGGCGGCAGCCTGAGCCCGTACGTGGGCATCGTCGTCATGTCCCTCGTGGCCCTGTTTGTCTCCTTCTGCGGCTACAAGGTGCTGCACCTCTACGAAAAGTACTCGTGGGCGCCGGCCCTGCTGGCCATCGTCGTGGCCACGGGCTGCGGCGGCAAGCACCTCAAGGAGCAGACCGCGGTCGACGCGTCCCCCGCGGCCGCGGTTGTGTCCTTTGGCATGGTCGTGGCGTCGTACATGCTGCCCTGGGCCGCCATCGCGTCTGACTTTTTCACCTACGTCGACCCCCGCGTCCGGCCGCGGACCATTTTCTTGTCCTCGTACGCCGGCCTCGTGCTGTCCACCGTGCCGCTCATGACCCTCGGCGCCGCCATTGCCGGCGCCCTCGCCAACGTCCCGGCCTGGAACGACGGCTACGAGGCCAACATGGTCGGCGGCGTCCTGGACGCGATGCTGCAGCCGGCCGGCGGCTTCGGCCGGTTCATGACCGTCCTGCTGGCCCTGTCGCTGATTGGCAACACCTCGGCCACCTCGTACGCCATCACCGTCAACTTCCCCATGCTCGTGCCCGCCCTGGGCCGCGTCCCCCGCCACCTGTACGCCGTCTTCCTGGCCGCCGTCGTCATCGGTGTCGGCATCGGTGCCTCCAAGGACTTTTACGACAACCTCAACAACTTCATCACGCTCATTGGCTACTGGGCCGCCGCCTTTATCGCGGCCTTTTTGGTCGAGCACCTGTGGTTCCGCCGCGGCGACTGCCGCAACTACAACCCGCAGGACTGGGACAGCGCCAGCCGCCTACCCCTGGGCATCGCAGCCATCGGTGCCGGTCTCTGCAGCGTTGCCCTCATCGTGCCGAGCATGTCGCAGGTCTGGTACGTCGGCCCCATTGCCGAGACGACGGGCGACTTGGGCTTTGAGTTTGCCTTTGTCGTCACCGCCCTGCTCTACGGGCCTTTCCGCCTGCTCGAGAAGAAGCTGTCCGGGCGGTAGTCCACGGAGCATGGCTATGCACACACACATATGTTGCCATCTATTGTACATTTTGTTTATGTTCTATACTTGTATCTTGTTATATATCGAGTCGTCATAGACAAACACACCACTGCCCCCAACCGCCCACGTCTCCTAAATGACATCGGGCAGCGACTGCTCGTACTTCATGTAGTCGGCAATCTCGCTGCACAGCTCGTCTGCCGCGTCCTGGGCGATGGGCGCTATCGGCAGTCGTGGCGCACCGCCGTAGCCGTGGTAGTGATCCAGGACGGCCTTGAAGCCGGGGATGGCGCGCTTGGTCAGGCTCCAGTCGGCTTTGGCCAGTGCTTGTTGCGCGGCACGCGCCTTGGGCAGGTCGCCCTGCACGGCCAAGTTGTACACCTCGACACAGGCGCGGGGGACGACGTTGGCCGCGCCGACAATGGCGCCGGTGCCGCCGACGACGACGGCGGGCAGAATGCAGTCGGCGACGCCGGAAAAGGCAAAGTAGGGAGACGACGAAGGCGACGCCGCTGGTGACACGTCGGACACGGTGGCCGGGAGGTCGCCGATGACCCTCGCCATCTTCCCCACGCTGCCGCACGTAAACTTGGTGCCGACAATGTTTTTGTGTTGCGCCAGCCGCACCAGCGCATCCGAGTCCAGGTCGAACCCGCCCGCCGCCGCCGGGTAGTTGTACAGCACGACCGGCAGCGGGCTCGCGTCGGCCACGAGCGCAAAGAACCGCTCAATGCCCGCGGGGCCCATGCCGCCGCTGCCACCGCCGACAAACGTGGGCGACAGGATCAGGACGGCGTCGGCGCCGGCCGTGGCGGCATCGCTGCAGAGACGGAGAGTGCCGCGGACGGAGTTGGCCGACGTGCCGGCAATGATGGGCACAGACGCAAAGCCGGCGGCGTCCAGCGCCCGCCGTGTAATCGCGACGACGTCGGCGCGCTCGTCGCCATCGAGCAGGGCGGCCTCGCCATTGGAGCCGTTGCAGACGAGGCCCGTGCAGCCTGCGCGGACGAGACGGACGGCGTGCTTAGCAATCGTGGCGGCGTCGAGAGAGTTGGGCGTTTCACTCGAATCCGAACCAGTGGTGGACATAAAGAAGGTCTGTGTCGGGGCGTAGATGCCCGGGACGAGTGAGCGGACCATTGCCGGTGGGTTGTATCGCCAAGATTGTGGGATTCTTGTGAGTACAAGTGTCTGTGGTGGTGATGAGGTAGAACAGTGCCTCGCTCTTCACGATGTTGAATATAAACTACTTTCTTGCTTAAGTGTGCACCATCAACGACTGATTATAAGCCACTGAAAGAGCTCATCACAGCTTGCGATTTCGCGGTCTGTCTTCAAATCCCCGCGTCTCGCCTCAAGGTATAGTATTTGAGCCTTTACGCCGTTGTCGGGGTTTCTTCCTTCTGTTTCTTTTTTTCCTCTCCATTTAATTCTCTCCGCCCGCAACGCGAGAACCGCACGCTCAGACTTCTTACCCCTTTCTTACCATATCCATCATCCATGCTGCCATGGCTCCCATGATGATCATGCTCGCCAGACCAGCAAGCAAGATCGTGCCTGCCGGGGTGCGGCGCCACGCACCCCTGCTGGTACTTCTTTCCTGCAGCGTAGCCGTCGCGTGTAGACGGCACGGGGAGCGGGGGAAGGCGGCGCGCTGGTTGTGTTTACAGTTAGCGGCTCGTTGGTGTGGATGGTGGAGACGGACGACTCCGAATTGGCGGCGCTGCTATGAGGTCCTCCGGCTGTCGAATTGGTCGTCCAACGGAAACCTCGCTCATAGTGGGCTCTCGCCTCTGCCGTCGGTCCTTACTGCTCCGCTGTCTCCGTGGTCGCAGGGTTGGCTTTGGCTGTTGGAGGCACAAATGCCAGAGCTCCGAGTAGAAGACCGTTTAACGAGGTGGATGCATTGAGGTCGTTTGGATGTGTATGGTCTACTTGCTGTGCCTCTATTAAAACATATTCACTCCGTTACTTTTCTGTTCGTTTATCTATTTCGTCTACTGTTTATTATTTGATCATTTTTGTTCTGTGTCTTGTCCATCTGGTTGATTTCTACTTTCCGACTTCAACCAGAAGAATCAGATCAACATTTCCAACATCTCGAACATTCTCCATCCTCTCCTCATCTCAACATCTCCATCGTCACTCTACCCAACATGGGCTCCGTCGCGTCTCCCAGCTTGACGGTGGCCGACGTCACCATCACCGGATTCACTGTCACCGACATCCGCTTCCCGACCTCGCTCGACGGTGTGGGCTCCGATGCCATGCACGTCGGCACCAACGGCTCGCACCCCTACATCCGCCTCGAGACGAACGTCGGCAGCACGCTGGTCGGCGAGGGCATTGCCTTTTCCAACGGCCGCGGCAGCGAGCTGATCTGCATGGCCCTGGGCATCTTTGCGCAGCGCGTCGTCGGCAAGACGATGCACGAGCTGACGCGCAACATGGGCAAGACGTGGCGGTACATGGTGGCCGACAGCCAGTACCGGTGGATCGGGCCCGAAAAGAGCGTGACGCACCTGGCCGTGGCGGGCGTGCTAAATGCCGTGTGGGACCTGTGGGGCAAGATTGTCCAGAAGCCCGTGTGGCAGGTCGTCTGCGACATGACGCCCGAGGAGCTGGTGCAGTGCATCGACTTCCGGTACATCACCGACGCCATCACGCCCGACGAGGCGGTGGCCCTCCTCAAGAAGACCCAGGCCGGCAAAGAGGCTCGTCTCGCCGAGGCGCGCGCCAACACGGCCGTGCCGGCGTACACGACGTCGCCCGGGTGGATGGCCTTTACAGGCGACCGCATGAAGGAGGTGCTGCAGGACACCATCGACCAGGGCTACACCGTCTTCAAGTTCAAGGTCGGCACCAGCGTCGAGGCCGACCGCGCCAAGCTGGCGGCCGTGCGCGACGTCCTGGGCTACGACAAGGGCTACCAGATCATGATCGACGCCAACCAGGTCTGGAGCGTGCCCGAGGCCATTGCCTACATGAAGCAGCTCGTCGAGTTCAGGCCCGTGTTCATCGAGGAGCCCACCAACCCCGACGACGTGCTGGGCCACGCGGCCATCCGCAGGGCGCTCAAGCCCTACGGCGTCGGCGTGGCCACCGGCGAGGCGGCCCAAAACCGCGTCACGTTCAAGCAACTGCTGCAGGCCGAGGCCACGGACGTGTGCCAGATCGACGCAGTGCGGCTCGGCAGCGTCAACGAGTGCCTGGCGGTCATGCTCATGGCGTGCAAGTTTGGCGTGCCCTGCATCCCCCACAACGGCGCCATGGGCCTCACCGAGCTGACGTCGCACCTGTCGACCATTGACTACGTCGCCGTCAGCGGCAACAAGTCCATGCTCGAGAACGCCGACAGCCACCGCGAGAACCTGCGGCACCCCTCCCAGATTGTCAACGCACACTATATCACGCCGCTGGCGCCGGGCTACTCGACGGGCTACACCGACGAGGCCCTCGAGAAGTACACCTACCCGACCGGCTCTTTCTGGCAGAGCGACGTTGGTCTGGAGATTAGTGCTCAACCAACAGGTGGTGAGTTGTAGAGACAGTCGAGGGAGGGGGGAAAGTGTGAGAGATGACATAGATTTCATGGCTAGGCTGGTTGTTTTTGGTTGCTTTTGGTTAAATTAAATTGCATTGAAGTAACTTGATTTGAATTTGAATTATCGCTGTCGTCGTAGTCGTTGGTCTCCTTTTTCGTCGTGCCCCCGTTCTGCAGTTGGCTGTCGCCTACTTTACCTCCCGCCCGTTATACTCGCTCATACCCTCGACAGTATCCTCTGCTTCCTCTGCATATCCTCCAAAATAGACACCACCGCCTCCAAACTCGACATGTGCCAACTGCGAATGTTGCGAATGGCCACCGTCTGCAGCTCGTCAATGTCTGGCACCAAATGCTTCAGCAGGGGACAGAGCGACGACAGCGTGACGACCACCACGGCAGCCAGCGAGCTCAGCGAAAACGTCCACGTGTACTGGCTGGGCCGCTGGATGATGTGGGTGACATTCAAAATGTACGAGCGGCAGGCGTCGATGCACAATGCGGCCTTTTCCCGAATGGACTCGGGGAGCGTGGCGGTCGGCGGCGTGCTGACAATGTACAGCACAAACGGTCGATAAATAATGTGCCGGGCGGCAAAATACCGAATGCGCAGCACCAGCTGGCGGTCGGTGTGGCCCTCGGGCACGGTGTTGAGGAGCGGTCGGTAGGGTTCGGGGATGGACGCGTGCCACAGGTCGAGCTGCCGGCGCAGCTCGTCACAGACCGTCTGCATGGCTGTAATCTCCTCCATGGTGAAATTGTCCGTGGTCATGAGGGCGGCGGACGACAGCCGGAACAGGTGCTGCTTGACGGGGTACAGGCAGTTGTGGATCCGGTTCAGCAGGCGGCGTATCGAGATCTCGGCCAGATAGCACGTGGACTGCAACGGCGACAAGCTGTCGCAGCTGGGCAGGGCCGTCTCGTCGGTCAACTGCTGGAGGCTGCTGCGGGGGAGCTCGAGCTCGGCCAGCCGGTCACACTCGAGCAGAAAACAGGACCAAAACAGGCGCAATAGCGACTCGTACTCGTGCGCAGCCGGCGACTGCTGTATCTGCCGCGCCTCGAGACCCGACAGCTTAAACTGCAGGATGGTCGACGCCGAAAAGATAAGGCGCCAGCTGTGCAGCGGCCGCACAATAAAGGCAAAGTAGTTGCTGGCCAGCACCAGCGCCTGCGCCAGGATCGTGCTGTAGGAAAACGACCAGGCGGACTGCGCGACGAGCGTCGGCAGGGCGTGCTGCATGTAATCCATGCCGGGTGGATTGGTGCGGAAGTCGGCAGCGCCAGGCGCCGACACGGCCACAGCGCCAATGGCCAGGACGACCATGCACAGGGCGTTTTCAATGCTGCTCAGTCCCGCATCCGCGCGAAACCGCGCATACAACGCTCGGAACTCGGCCTCGTCCAACACCGGGTGGCTCTCGTGGGCCATGCTGAAAAAGGCCGACACGAGGTAGTCGGTGACATCGCGGCCCAGTGGCGGCAACGGCCTTGGCTGCGTCGAAAAGGACGTTGCCGCGTCCAGAGCGAGCGGTGGCGGTAGTGGATCTCGTGATTCGAGCAGGAAGAAGAGGTCCGGTGGGTACTCGCCGATCAGTGCCTTCATGGCCGGCAGGCTCAGCAAGTAGCTCGACGACGTCTTGTGCTTGACGGGGATGGTCAGGGGTGGCACGCCGGCCAGGTCCTCGGCGATGTCAATGTTGGTAAGTGGCAGCGGTGTCATGGGCACGCCCATGTGTGACGTGGACAGCGACGCGGACAGCGACGCCAGCGACCGGTCGTCGGGCACGGCTGCGGTGGCGGCATGGTTGGTGCCGTTGTTGCTGCTGTCGCTGCTATTACCAGCAGTTGTTGTAGTTGTTGTTGCAGGCCGCGATGACGTCGTCGCCCCAAACCCTCCTGCCATCGACAGCAGACTGTCCGATTGCGCCTCGAGAAGGGCCTCGATGTCGCGCAGCCGACTCAAGATCTCGCGGCTGCCGCCCGACGTGTCAATGCGCTGCGAGGGCGCATCGTCATACTCGCAGTTGACCTGTGCCTCGATGCAGTTTTGACACGAGGGTTTGCCAGCATTGCATCGACGTTTTCTGAGGAAGAGGCCAAGATGTGTCAGTAGGCGGTGAAAGGAAGGGGTAGCCAACGGAAGGTACATGACAGATGGAAGGTGGCAGAAAAGTGGACTGTCAAGGAAGGAGCGAATCGACACATTCAACTCACCTGTGCCGACAATAGGTGCACGCCAAGGCAACCCTCTTACGGTTGAAGCTCATGCTGCCGGAGAAACGCTGGGAGAGGCAAGGGGAAGACAGTTACAATGATACCGGCTGGGAGTATTGCCGTCAGTATCCGTAGGTCTGTCAACGGCGGGCTGTCGGCAGTCTGCCCGCTTCGTTTGCTGCAATCTACTTTCGTCCCTGTTTGTTTTTGTTGAAAGAAAGTCCAAGTGGCTGCAAAAGAGCATCGGGGAAAGGCGCCAGGTGACACGCGCCTTATACGGAGACCAAGTGCATGCAAAAAGGCAGCAGGACTCTGAAGACGCTGGAAGCTGGGGACAGTCGCCTGAGGGCGCTAACGACTAGTGCCTAATAGCGTTGCCCACACGCTATGGGGGCCAAGTCGCGTGGTCTCGCGTGGACTACCGAATTATGGGGAAGGCAGAAGCCGAGGACGGCGAAGGAGTCGAAGAAGGCGAAGACAAGCGGGCGAAGAAGAAAGAGGCGAGCAAACAGCGAGGATGGGGAGTGGTGGAAGAAGAGTCCGAATAGCGGCAAAACCAGGAGAAGCATAGGGCGTTTGATTCGAGATCTGATGGTGTTCTTAGCGACAATACAAGGCCGTCATTGATACGATTATTTTTGTGCTGGTTTCGCCAACAATGTGACAAAAGGCGAAACTGGATGAATATCGCAAACAGCCATCACAGAGTGAGAAGTCGGTCATGTCGGCAAAAGGCTACTTGGTTTGGTGACACGGCAATAATCACATTATGTTCCAAACAGAGAGAAACAGTCGACACAATCAATTGGAGGTATTGTACACGCTATCTACAGTTGCTACATTCCAAAATACATTCTTGAGAATAGGGAGTGTGAGAGAAGGATGCTCGCTCACGCCTCCTCGACGTGCTTGCTTCTCACCTGTGCCTTCGTGTCTAGCACCTCCTGCCCCAGCTCCGAGGCCTCGGCGGCCGCAATGCGCTCGTTCTCGGCATCGATAAAGACCTGCGGGCGCTTGCGGTTGGTGAGGGCGGGCTTGCCAAAGACAAAGATGGAGGGGTGCGTGATGAAGATCTGGTCCATGTCCTCAAGCGTGCGGCGGGCTGTCTCGGGGTACAGGCAAAAGACAATGGGAAAGTAGGCATAGCAGATGATGGCAAAGATGAGGTAAAAGGCCCAGCCCAGGTTCTTGACGCCGGTGGCGGTGAACTGGGTGACGGCAAACGAGCCGATCCAGTTGGTGGCCGTGGCGGCGGCGGCACCACGGGTCCGCCACGACAGTGAGTTGATTTCCGAGTTGAAGACCCAGGGGACCTTGGCAAAGGACGTGCCGTACGTAAAGTAGTAGAGGAAGAACATGGACGTGGTGACGTTGCCGAGGATGCGCTTCTTGGACGGGTCGTTCTTGGCGCCGAGCAGGGTCAGGGCCGAAATCAGGTAGGTCGAGCCCATGGACACCGATCCGTAGAGCATCAGCTTGCGGCGGCCGACCTTGTCAATCAGCAGCAGACAGACACAGGCCGAGAACAGGTAGATGACGCTGTTGATGGCGGTGAACAGGCGCGCCTTCTTCTCGCTGAAGCCCAGGCTCGTCTCGAGCAGCGTCGGCAGGTAGTAACCGAGGGCGTTGACGCCCGAGAACTGCTGCATCAGCTGCGTGCCGCACGACAGGATGAGGCGGCGCAGGGTCTGGGTCTGGTCGCGGCACAGCAGGACGTCCTTGAGCGGCATCTGGTCGCGGCGCTCGAGGGCCAGGGTCTGCGAGATGTTGAGGAAGGCCGCGGTGACGGCCGGGTCGTGCACCGACACGCTGGGGCCCTCGAGACGCGCCAGGATGGCCAGGGCCTCCTCGTGGCGGTCTTTGAGCACCAGCCAGCGCGGCGACTCGGGCACGAAAAAGAGCATGGGCACGACGACAAGCGGGAAGATGAGCTGCAGGGCGAGCGGCAGGCGCCACTGCAGAGGCCCGCCCTGGAAGTAGATGCCAAAGTTGATCCAGCTCACGAGACAGAAGGCGGCGGTGTTGCACCACGAGCCCAAGGCCACGAGCTTGCCGCGGACCGTCGGCTTGGAGCACTCGGCCTGGAAGACGGGGCAGACGGACGAGGTGACGCCCATGCCGTAGCCATTGATGATGCGGCCGACGATGAGCTGGGGCAGGTCGAACGACGTAATCTGCAGGATGGCACCGATGATGTTGCAGGTCATGCCCAGAATGATGGACCGGCGGCGGCCAAATGTGTCGCCGTACGTAAAGGCGGTGATGGCACCGACAAAGGCGCCCAGGCTAAAGCACGACGAGGTGATGCCGGAGATGTTGGACTTGAGCGTCTGCGGGAACTGCTTCTTGAAGTCGGCGGACACGAGCACACCCGAGAAGACGCCCTGGTCGTAGCCAAACCAGCCGAGACTGATGGCGTTGACAATCGTGATGGCCACCAGCAGCTTGACGCCGCTGAGGCGCTCGTTGAGGGCCGGCATGGTGATGATGTTGTGGGAAATGTAAACAAAAACAAAAGGCAAAGAGGGACGAGAGAAGAGGTCAAACGAGGACAACAGTCTTGCCAGAACGGAAGAGAGGGACTGGAGTTGGGACAAAGGGTGAAGGTGGGAGAAAGAAACGATCGTCAAGACGGCGAGAGAAGACTCATATATAGACGATCGACAATGGAGGTGTGATTGCAACTGGTGCTAGATAGGGTGACAAGGGAGAAGCGAGTAACAGGGAGGAGAGAGGACGGTAAGGTGCGGACACGGCAGACGTGCAGCAACAGCTAACCGAGTTGGTGTGTTAATGGCCTGGGGGTGACACGAGGAAGACAATAGAGAACCTACTCCAGATGAAAGGAACGTAGGAGAATCTACGTCCGTCTATCAAGGCTGGGTGGCATCTCTGGATCCAAGTGAGGAGTGAGGGACGAGAGACGATGCTGATGCCGACTGTGTGCCGAGTGGGACGAAGAAGGAGACGGGTGAAGAAAGACAGACGAAAAAGAAAACAACGAACAGCAATACAAGGGTACAGAATCGACAGGCGAGAACTGGGGAAAACTGGAGACAGACATGGAGACAAGCTGGAGACAAGATGGAGAGGACGGAGACTGGAGAGACACCCGGGGCCAGGCTGGGGAACGGTGCCAGGGCCGTGGCTAGCCTGCAATTTGTTTCCATCTTGGCTTTTTTTTCCTCTTCTCGTTTCCTTGTCCGCCTGGCATGCGCTTCCCTTAGTGTTGGCGCGTCGGGTGTGGGCGGCAGCGCTTGCCGCTGGGACCGGTCACGCCTGCCTTTGTTGGTGGTTCGTACGCCGCTGTTGCCCTCTCCGGAAAGTGGATCCCTCTCCACGTCCGTTTACCCTTGCGACAAGGTCGTGCCTTCCCCGTCTGCCCCTGTTCTCCAATCAATAACAACATACTTCCCAAGGAAGGGACAACCCCACCAGGTGGGAAAGTGGAAGGCATCCACGGATGAGCTCAAACTATCTCCAATAGCTTCTCCGCTTTAACGCCAAGGTCTATCACAGGGTTCCTATCGGACGGCGTAGAAAGTACCACGGTGGCGGCACTGCCAATTCTATAACAACCGGTAACTCTGACAAGGCTCCGCGCATCGGAGAGGATACTGCCAAACTTCTCTTGACAAAGTCAATGTTTCTCAACATTCCACACTTGGCCTTCAATCGACACAGGCTATGACTGCCAACGCTTCCTCAACCTCGACCTTCCCAGCTACCCAACTCACCTTCCCTACTCAAATACAGACAAACACACCATGTCTTCACCGTAGGTGCCCACACCCTCCACCCGTCTCGACTGTCGTGAAGACCCTCTTCACAGCCACAACTGACCTCCTACCAGACAATACGTCCTCGTGACGGGCGCCACGGGCTTCATCGGTGCCCATGTCGTCGATGTCCTCTTGTCCCGCGGTCTGCGCGTCCGCGGCGCCACGCGTTCCGCGGCCAAGGGCGAGGCCATGCGCGCGGCCCGGCCGCAGTACCAAGACAAGCTGGACTTTGTCACGATTGGCGACTTTGGCTCGACCAACGGTGGCGAGCTCGCTGCTGCCGTGAAGGGCGTCGACGGCGTCATCCACGTGGCCAGTCCGTTTACGTACGACACCACCGACAACGAGAAGGAGCTGATTGTCCCGGCCATCAACGGCGTCAAGGCCGTTCTGGCGGCGGCAGCCGCCGCCCCGAACGCGACGGTCAAGAGAGTGGTCGTGACCTCGTCCTTTGCCTCTGTGCTGGATGTCGACCGCAAGGACCGCACGAACGGCGTCTACTTTACATACACGGGCGCTGACTGGAACCCCCTGACCTATGCCGAGGCCGCCGACAAGGCCACGGGCGCGGTGGTGGCCTACCGGGGCAGCAAAAAGTTTGCCGAGCAGGCGGCGTGGGATTTTGTCAGGGAGACGGCGCCGCCGTTCGACCTGGTGGCGCTGTGCCCGCCCATGACGTTCGGCCCCATTGCGCACCCCGTCGCGACAACAGCCGACCTCAACGAGTCGAACGCCATGCTGTGGAAAGTTGCGTCGGGGGCGACGCCGCTGCCGGTGGCGCGCGTGCCGTTCTGGATCGATGTGCGCGACCTGGCGCTGGCCCACGTCGAGGCGTTGCTCAGACCCGCGGCCGGTGGCCAGCGGTACATCCCTGCATCGCCCGAGCGGTTTTCGTACGGCCGGGCGGCACAGATCGTGGTGGACCATTTCGACTGGGCAAAGGCGGCGGTCACGCCGGAAGAGCAGCCCGTGGACGAGTCACACGGCGTCGATGGCGCGACCGCTGCACAGGCCCTCGGTCTCAAGTACAAGACGTTTGAGCAGACGGTGGTCGACCTCATCACGCAAGCAAAGACGATGCCGTCCAAATAGAGGATAGATGGTAGACAGTACATGGTAGATGGCTGTATCAATGATCTATGGCCGCTATTCTCTACTGGATGGCTTCCGCCTCTCATCGTACTTGTTCGCGACAGCCATTGGCTCGTCGCTCGTCGCTTACTCGTTCGCCAGCGCATCCTCAAAATACACAACCATGGCCCCCTCGTGCACCGACTGAGCAAATGTCCGCAGCTCTGCGTGCGCAGTACAGCCTTTGTCGTAATACTGCATGTCCTCGAGCGAGTCAAACACCGAAATGGCCGCAAACGTAAAACCCTGGCTGCGGGCGTCGGCCAGCGCAGGGCCGGCCTTGACGGAGCGGATGTAGGGTGCGCCGTTCTGCCACCAGTTAGTGGTGAGCAGCCAGAGCGAAGCGATGGCCACAAGCCAGCTGGGTGATAGTATCTACTGCCACAATTGAAATAAACTCAGTCTGCCTTTGCAGGACCTACCTTCAACGCTTTGGTCGGCATGGCTCGGTACAGGGAAACGAGTGCCTGCCGGTCCGCCGCCTTGGGGACTTTAAAATATGTGACGCGCGTGATGGCCATTCTGCTTGTATCGCTGTGAGTCAGATTGTCGATGCAGAAAAATAAAACAGGTAGAGATTCGTCGGCAGCATCAGTTTGGTTGCGGGGCCGATAGTGTTCGGATGTATTCCGTCATCGGATCGGATGTAAGCCCGGACGGCACGTGATTCAACACGTGGCATTATACACGACCTTGCTCAATGGCAACGATGGGACATGCCGAAATAACTGTAAGGACGATAAGACACGATGTGGTGGCGTTCATTAAAAGTCGTATAAGTTGCACGGGATGCAATGTTTCAGGTCGTTTGTGGACGTACGGATTATTTGTGGTGTGTTCCACGGCGTTTCAATATCGCGGCCCCTGTGGTATCCTTCTGCCTTTACTGGCATCGACACACTGTTTTGAGGTTTGCCTTCTGCCACCGCACCGTGCCAGACAAAAGTCCTTGTTTCTTTTCCGTCTTCGCTTTTGATTGCAACCCCCCCATAAGCCCATCACGTTCCAGCGTTTAATTGGGTTTCACCGTCGTCTTGTCAGCGCTCCTGTCGCCAATACTCTTCCTTCGTTCAGCTACTGTAACGCTGGTATACTCTTCGGCTCTGTTTCTGTGTCTGATATACATTATTTACTCCTTGCTGGCTCCTTTTCTATAAAAGCAGATGATAGTACTACCGCTGGAAACAACGGCACAGCCCACTTACACACCACATATGACGTCACATTTCTGAGCGGCTGATTCCCGCTTTTAATCTATTCGGCTGCCGTCCGATACAACTCCCGTTGCAGAATTCAATATCGAGTTTCGTTTATTAGTCGAAGTATCGTGTGAGTAGTCAGTTGGCACTCGGGCCGCAAAAAGTTAGGTTGCTCATTTGACAAGATCGCCACGCGAGCAGGACGCAAGGGTGGAGCTACTAGAGGCGACTCGGAACGCTCCGGGGATAGGCGGCATCAACATGCCGTTGGAGACGTTTGTCAACAGTCTGGCGCGGCGGCTAAGCGGGATACCTGTATCGACGCTTTGAAGCTCGTGATGCCAAAAAGAAGAAGGCGGGGAGACATGCACCCGCTAGTAGATAACATAAGAAACAGCGACCGAGCACCGCGACGGAGGAGGCCCTGTGCGGAGTCGTTGCTTTTTGGAGACAAGAAAAAAAAGAAGAAGAAAAAGAAAATCTAGAACATCAGCTCCGCCAAAAATAGCGCTATCGCGGGCGAGAAGGACGGTATATACACTTTGCCAGGTTAATAAGAAGAGTGTATATCCAGCTACATTCACCATTCATTTCCGTCACTCATCGCCATCAGTCTATTCCTTGTCCTCTAACAACCTTGTCACATCATCTTCGTACCTTCACACAACCCCCACCATGTATCCCGACACATTCGAGGGCTTCGCCATTCCGTCGGCCGAGCAGTGGAACCAGCCGAAGCGCATCGAGTTCAAGCCCAAGCCGTTTGGCGACCACGACATCGACATCAAGATCACGGCCTGCGGCGTCTGCGGGTCGGACGTGCACACGGCCACGGGCGGCTGGGGCAACACGCACTGGCCACTGGTGCCGGGCCACGAGATTGTCGGCCACGTGGTGAGCGTCGGCGCGGCCGTGACGAATGCCAAGGTGGGCGACCGCGTCGGCGTCGGCGCGCAGATCTTTGCGTGTCTGGACAAGGCGGCCTGCGGCGCCTGCGCGACGGACAACGAGACGTACTGCCCGCAGCAGCTGGACACGTACGGCAGCGTGTACCCGGACAGTGGGACGCTGGCGCACGGTGGCTACGCGTCGCACATCCGGGCGCACGAGCACTGGGTGTTTCCGATCCCCGCGGCGCTGCCGACGGCGCTGGCGGCGCCGATGCTGTGCGCGGGCCTGACGGCATACTCGCCGCTGGTGCGCAACGGCGCCGGGCCCGGCAAAAAGATTGGCATTCTGGGCCTCGGCGGCATCGGCCACTTTGGCGTGCTGTTCAGCAAGGCCCTGGGCGCGGAGACGTGGGTCCTCTCGCGCAGCGACAAGAAACAGGCCGACGCCAAGGCGCTCGGGGCGGACGGCTTCCTGGCGACGGCCGCGGCCGGGTGGAACGAGGCGCACAAGATGACCTTTGACATGATCCTGTCGACGGCGTCGTCCAACGACGGCTTCGACCTCAGCCCCTACCTGTCGCTGCTCAAGGTGCACGGGCGGTACATTGCCGTGGGCCTGCCCGAGGACGAGGGATGGCAAGTGCGTCCCCAGAGCCTGCTGAGCAACGGGTGTCTGATTGGCAGCAGCCACCTGGGCAGCCGGCGGGAGACGCTGGACATGCTGCAGCTGGCGGCCGACAAGGGCATCAAGAGCTGGGTGGAGACTATCCCCGTCGGCGAGGAGGGTGTTGGCAAAGCTCGTAAGTGAGAGGGCGGAAGGGGTTTATGCTGTATTACTGTTTGTGGAAGCGTGACAACAAACTAACAACATCTAGTGACCCGTCTGCACAACAACGACGTCCGGTACCGCTTCACCCTGGTCGACTACGAAAAGCAATTCCCATAGGAGGGTAGCCGCGTCCCTACGATGATAAAGTGGTTAGAACGGAAAGTTAAAATAGGTAATGTAGGGCCACTGACCGTGTCACAGCGTGTAATTTTATTCTCTGCTTATTGATAGTCTAAAAGAGGAGCCCCGTTGACAGCCGTTTGTGTATTTTCTCGTTCAAAAATAAATAGATATATAACGACTGGTCCTCTGCAGCGACGGCCGCGTATAAATGGAGAACAACGTCCGGCGTCCTCGACATGGCCCTTGCGGTAGGTGAGCTCGTTGGAGACTGTGTAGCTATTTCGGTACCTCCTACGTGTTTTCGCCTATCGGCCTCAATTAAAACCCGATGAAAGTTATTGCATGAACTTGGTTGAAACTTGATAATCTTGATTAATTTTATTATCAACTTAATTAAACATAAAAAATATAAACGGCCAGCAAAGGAAAGAGTGCACACCACCCCAAACACTTAGGCATACTCCTCCGCTGCTACCGCCGGCTTCTCGTCGCTCTCCTGGCGCTGCACGTCGCTGATGCGCGCCAGCTCGTCCATGACGATGGCGTGCGCGCCGCGGACAGGCTTGGTGGCAAACAGGCGGTCCATCTGCTCGAGGGGAATGGCCTTGGTCTCGGGCAGCAGGAGAAAGACAAAGACGGCCGACAGCATCATGAGCGCGGCAAAGAAGAAGTAGACGCCGTAGCCCATCTTGAGGAACATTTGCGGCGTGAAGCGCGAGATCAAAAAGTTCCAGAACCAGTTGTTGGCGGCGGCCGACGCCTGGCCGAGCGAGCGCGTGTTCTGGTCAAACATCTCCGAGTTGATGACCCAGGGCGTGCCGTTCCACGAGGGCGTGTAGACGGCCGTCCACAGGTAAAAGAAGAAGATGGCCGCGACACCGCCCGGGGACATGCCGGCGGAGGAGTCGACCTTGGGAATCACGTCCTTGACGAGGGCACCGATGATCCACATGCAGACGGAGCCGGCAACCGAGCCAAACAGCAGCAGGTTGCGCCGGCCGAGGCGGTCAATCAGGTACAGCAACCACAAGAACGTGATGGCCGTCTTGACGACGCCAAAGATACCCGTCGTCAGGAAGCCCGTGTTGGTGCCCGTGATGCCGAGCGTCTTGAAGACGGTGGGCGAGTAGTAGTTGATGGCGTTGATGCCCGTCGCGTTCTGCCACAAGAACAGCATGCCGCCGAGGAAGAAGCGCCACTGCACGCGGCTCTTCTTGAGCGCGCGGAACGGCTTGAAGAAGCCCGCGCCCACCTCGTCGCGGAACCGCGTCAGATCCTCGTCAATGTAGGCCACCTCCTGCAGCATGTACGTGTCGTCCGCCGGCAGCTGCCGCAGCCAGCACAGGACCTTCATGGCCTCCTCGCGTCGGCCCTTGGAGAACAACCAACGGGGGGACTCGGGCACCCAGAAGCTGCCAATCAGCAGCAGGCCGGCCGGGATCAGCTGCACGCCAAAGGGGATCAGCCATTGGGTGTTGTTGGAGGGCAGGTGCTCGCTGATGCCGTAGTTGATCCAGAAGCCCACCAGGCCACCAACCTGCCAGCCCAGCTCGTACATGCCGACGAGACGGCCGCGGATGGCCGGCGGGGACAGCTCCGAGATGTAGATGGGGACCATGTTGGAGGCGCCGCCAATGCCGAAGCCGGCCAGGAAGCGCGTGCCGACAATCACGTTGAGGCCGCGCTGCGCATTGGCAGCCAGCATGCCGCCGGCGCCGGCAATGAAGAGCACAGAAAACAGCCACAGCGACTTGCGGCGGCCAATGAAGTAGGAAGACGCATAGGCGGCCAGGGAGCCGAAGAAGGCGCCAGCCTGGTAGACGGAAACGATATTGGCGGAAATCAGAGCGCGCTTGGAGGCCGAGTAGGAGTCGAGGTTGAATTCAGCAATGAACGAGGGCAGAGCAATGGTGGTGCCAATAAAGGCCGAGTCGTAGCCGATCATGCACGACGCCCACGACACAACGACCGCACAGGCGTAGATGCGCCAGTTGTAGACGGCGCTGGGCGTCGGCCGGTCCTCGCGGAGTGAGAGGATAGACATGTTGTGGGAGTATGGTGTAGTCAGAGGCCGGCGTATAAGGGAATAAAAAACGAAGAAAGGCCCAATGATGTGGAGAGGAGACCCCGGACTCGATGACGGACGGAAAAGAAGTTGGTTGCAAGACGAAGGCACTGCCCGATATTATATATCTGGATGGGATGGGAATGGGAGACGTGTGCGAGCCAAGGGTCACACGGGGTACGGGGAAGCTAGGAAGAAGACGAGGTGACCTCTGTCCAAGCCAGGGTAGCATGGGACCGGGGTATGGGGAGGATGCGGAGAAGCTTGAGAATGGGAAGAGAAGAAGGGAAGGACGGGCGCGATGGAGGGGAGATGGAAGAAGGGATGGAAGAAGACGGCAACTCGGAATGTGCAAGTTGATTTCAAGTGGTGACGAATGAAAGGACCGCAGACACCGAACCCAGGACTGTGGATAGAGATGGGAAGACAGGAAAAAGAAATACACACAGCTAAAAGAAAGAGGCCATGGAGGAAGAACAGGAATCAGGAATCAGGAATCGGAATTCAATGTGAGAAAAGCGATGGGGAAACGAACGATGCGGCACATCGTTCAGGGAAAACAAAGAAGACGAGAAGAGATGGACGGCACTCAACCGCATGAGCCACAATGCCAATACAACCTCGACGCGCAACCGAATGCTGTGAACGTTCTTCCACACACGGGGCCGGCAGTGCCCAGTTGTGCCGAGTTGTGTCGACTGTGGTGCGGAGATGTGTGGACGAAGAACTGTCAACCACCTGGCCGACCTCAATCCACGATGCTTGGGGGAAAAATTGCGACTGCAGACATCTGGCGCTAGCGGCAGTGCCTGGTGGTTCCTGCGCTTCCTGGCGCTGTCAGGGCCTTGCCAAGCTTGTCTGTCCTACTGCTTTCTTTTTTGTGTTGACTCTAGGGCGTTGTTGGGCCTTCTGGCTTGTCTTTTGTCGACTCCTTGGCCCCGCAAATGTCCCCGGGTCGCAGACAGCTCCCCGGATTTATGGTCCAAGAAGCCCTGAGAGGATAAGAGTTTATCCAAAGTTGGTGTGCATTAGACCAGGGTCCTGGGTGGCAACGTCGTAGCGCGTGTGTTGGTGTGGGTTGTCAAAAAGGCTCAAGAGTCCGGCACTTGGCAGGTGTCAGGCAATTTGGGACATGTGCGTGGGACTTGGCTGGGGTTGGCAATTGGGTGCTAACCAGTGCCAGAATAGACAGCCAGCCACAGAAAGAGCCCCAGCTTTCTCCAGAATCTCCACAGCATCTCCAGATCCCTGAGTGAATGTTTTCCCGGCGGAGGGTATGTCGTGGAGAGCGCGTCGCAAAATCGGGAAGAAAATACACGCAGGCCGAAGACAGAGCGCCAGAAAAGTGTTACGGGAGACAACACTACCAATTCCAGGAATAAGATTGGCCGGCCAGGGTGATATTGATGGGGAAAACGTGGAGTGGGCATGGAAAACGTGGGCAACATGCCCGACTCGTGGCCAACAATCCAATGAGACACGGTGGGTGGGTGCAGGGTCATGACAGCAACAGGCAGACCACTGGGAAGAAGGCCATCCATTTCGTCTGCCAAGTTGGCAGTTTACTGACAAGTCCGCGGACATTTTCCGCATAAGAGACCATCCAGGTTCGGGACATCTGGAGAACGACAAGACTTGACGAACTGGGAAAGAAAGAAACAACGCTGATGACAGTCATCGTTGATGCCAACGGAATCGGAACAATGAAACGGAAAGATGGAAATGAAATGGGAAAAAAAAAGAACACGAACCGACGATGAAGATGGACATCGACGTGAACATGGAAGTGGCATATCTCATCATTACATAAACAGGCTACAAGCCACCAAACTCGCCCATCATGGCGCCCAAATTGTTGTCTATGCCCGGCGCAAAGCCCAGGTTGGCCATAAACTGCGAGCCAATGTCGGCGTCCAGTCGGTCCAGATAGTCAACCGCCGATAGGTCGTCCAATAGCGCTTCATAGTCGAGCGTGCCACCACTGGCACCGGGCGCCCCGTGAAAAGCGCCGTCAAAGTTATCGACAGCCATATTGTCTGGTCCGCCAACCGCGCCGTAGGACGAACCCGTCATGGGATACGTCGCGGCGGTATTGGCGGCATTGGCAGCAACAGCAGCAGTGGCGGCAGTGGCGGCAGTCGGTGACGCGATCGGCAGGGGAGGGAAGCCAAAGGCAGGCGACGGTCCGTTTCCATTGTACATGTTTGCATCTTGTGGCTGCGGCTGCTGTTGTTGAGTAGGCTGCACTGCTTGCAGGGATGTCTCCAAAATGGACAGTCTATGATGGCGTGCCGTTGGTGGTTGCTGTTGCTGCTGATGCTGCGGACGCACAGCTGCAGCTTCAGGGCTCGCAGATTGATAAACAACAGGTGCATTGTTTGCCGTGGTCATAGTTGCTCCGGGGATTCCTTGTCCCGAAGGTGCCAGCTTCTGCCGCAGCATTGCGTTGGGCCGTGGAGTGGTAGCATTTGCCACTGCAGGCAGCTGTTTTTGCGACTGCTGTTGCGATGTCGCAGTATCCTGCCAAACCGCCACAAGAGCATCTCTCAAGGCGCAAAATCGCTGCTGCAGGAGAGGCGGCAACTGCTGAAACAATGGATGCTCGACAACGGTCAGGACACACGGCACCAGTGTGGGCGGTGCGCCAGCAGATCCGAAACGGGCAACAAACTGCTCGAGAACATCGGCCAAGAGATGGGCACGGTTAGGATTGATGCTGCCATTGACGTTGCCGGGCTCGGAGAATGGTGGCAATAATATGTGCATCCAAATAAAGGTGATGCGGAGGATATGGGCCGATGGGACGGCGGCAGATGCTCGGTCGGTCGACCGCACAAAGGCCGAGAAGGGCACATCGGGTCGTATTACACGGTCCAGGGCATCGCCGTAGGGGTTGTCGTTCGTCCCTGCCGCCGTCGCCGCAACCACATCGTTGTAGTCAGAGGGCGAGGGTGCCTGGGAGAGGTTCGTTTGCTGGTGCTGCATACAAGTAAAAAGATCATGCAGCTGGTTGAATGTCGTCAAGGCGTACGCCGGACTGCGCTCTGATGTGGCCCCGCCGTCTTCAAGGCCAAATCCAGCACAAGGTACCCATGGCTGCCACTCATCGAGACCGTCTTCTGGCAGAGCTGGGCAATTGTGTGGGGAGTGAGGAGAGAAGGAGCCCGGGTTTTGATGTGATCGATACGCCTGTTGTTGGTGTTGGTGCTGATGGTTGTGGTTTTGTGGTAGAGATCGCAACGGCCTCAGAGATGACCGCACGATGGCCAAAAAGGCCTCAATGATGCAGCAACCACTCGTGACTGCATCGACAATGCGTCGGCGGATGGCCATGGGGCTATTCTCGCTGACTCGGGATAGGCAGTCGGCGTCCTGCAAAATCTGTCGCGACAAGGCCACAAGCACGCGTGCAGCTGTATGCCGGCGTCGGCCGATGTTGATCAGGGCCAGCAGCAAGAGAGCGCGCGCATGGGGGATCTCAAAGGGTCCGTCGTCGAGCGGGATCATTTGGCGGGCGACGTTGTAGATACGATGTGGCGGCCATGCGAGCGACGGGTCGCAGTGTGTTGTGGAGGGTGTGGCTGTTGACGTTGCTGTTGATGTTGTTGTGTTTGGGTCGGCCTGTTGTTGACTTCGCGACGCCGCATTCTGAAAAGAGGCAAGGGCTAAGACGCTCCAGAGCTCGGCAGTGGCGGCCGACGGAGACGATGGAGTGCCTGACGCAGTCGGCGCCGACGCTGGCTCACCCAGCTCGCGCTCGTACTGGTAGACGGCCTTGAGCAGGTCCTGGCGCTCGAGGATGGGGAACCAGCAGTGGGTATAGGAAAAGTACACATCCAGAAGTTGCCAGTGGTTCGGTGGGAGTGGTACACGGGAGTTGCAGCGTGCATCGTCGGTGTGGCCACCTGTGCCGGACCGCGGTGAGGGGATGGTGTTTTCAGACGGGGACCATGTTATGGCGGATGCAGCAGGCTCCCCGGACAGTGTATCGGGTGCTCTCCCTGGGCCCTCTGGGGAGGTGTCGTCGTCGGAGCCGGCCCTGTCGTCGGACACGGGCCGTGCCACGGCGGTGCTGAAGCCGTCTGTCGACAGCAGCCGGTTGATCTCGCGCCGTGCGCGGCTCTTGTGCCACCGCCGGTGGAGGCGGTTGTGCCTCTCCAGGTCCTTTTGCTGCTGCTGCTGGCTACCCGCCGCGCCGGCCTCGGGGTTGAACAGACGCTGTGCAGCGTCGCCGCCGTGCCGGCCAAACAGGCCGTCCAACGCGTCGGCGCAGCCCGGCACCTCGTCCAGCAGGGACGACAGAGTCAATTCGAGCGTGCGGATGTAACCCGTCTGGACACCGCGCTTTTTGGGGCTTGTCTTGTAGGTGCAAGCGCGGCGCTGGGTGACACACGAGGAGCACTGCGGCTGCGCACCATCGCACTTTTCGCGCATCGCCCGGCACTGGTCGCAAGCACGAGAGACGCGTTGCCGCTTGGGAGCAGGGACCGATGTCGTCGGGCCGGCTGCCGTGGTCGTGGCGGAGGTTGACGAGGCGGCGGGAGAGTTGTCTTGTGCGGGCGGTTGTTGTTGTTGTTGTTGTGATGAGGGCGGAAGAGGAGCCCCTTTAGACAATACTGTATTTGCTGACGCGGCCATGGTTGTGCCTTCCTTTCCTCGTCCTCCTGTTCCTGTTGCTCCTGCCGTTTGCGCCGCTGGTTCAGACGTTCTTTCTGTTTGTGCTGTGCCAGCTGCCGATGTGGCAGCAGCGACAGTCGATCTTGCCGACCGCGTGCCTCGAGACGGCGTGCCTGCGCCGCGGGCAACTTTGGTTCTGCCGGTGCTCTGTTGCATCGCTGCTTCCTCTTCTCCTTTTCCTCTTCCCTCTTCCCTCCTTCCTCGCCGTGGACTCCGGGGTTGTGGATCAGGACCACAACTGCCGTGGATCGGTGCCGACCATCACTACCAAGAGCCGACGCTGTCACTGAAGCCGCTGAAGCCACTGAAGCCACTGGAGCACCAAAGTTCAGAGAAACGCCACCGGGGCTGTCGTCGTCGTCCGCGTAGTCGTCAATCGTTAATTCGACGTATTCAGTGATCGAGGACGGTCCGGAGCTTCATGTAACTCTGGACATGTGCACGTTCAGGCGCATCAAAATCAAAAAGAATGTCAACGTGGCCGTGCAAATCTCGGCCGTCTTACGGAGTCCAATGAATTCTCCAAGCTACAAGCGTCCTTCCCCTCATTCAACGGTTGGGCGCTATAATTTAGGGTACCATACCCCCGTAGTTGCTGTACTTTGGATGCCATTCTTGGAAATCGCTTTTACTACGGCCTCGAAATGGCTCGTTTCTCGCATGCTCGTTTACTCGTGGTTTTCTCGGTGATTCAGTTTCCAGAAATTCTGGGGGAACACTGCTTATTGGGTTATTTCCATTTCCATGTGCGGGGAATCCTGAGAGCACCTGGTATGCGCCGAAAATGCCTGCCGCAGCGAATCGAGGCCGTTGTGTCTGCCGAAACGACAGGGCCTGGCCTGAGATGGAGTTGGAGGTAAATTGGGGAGGGTTGGGGCGTTACAGCATGTTAGTGGAGTTTTAGTACATTTTAGTGGACAATGAGACACCGTTCGGGTGCTCTGTTGGAGTACTCGGAAGAGTCTTTATCCAGAAAAGTCGCCTAACTGACGTTTGAAAGTCTGGGGGCGCGGGGTAGACAAAATCCCTTTGTTCCTGGCCAGAGCTGTAGGCGCTAACCGGACGTGGGTTCAGGGGACGTCCGATGCTGGCGTTGACACACTGCCAATTGTGTACGCCTGTACGCCAGCACACCAACTGGGCTTTGTGGTTGACTCGTTTCCAGTCCGAACCGGACACCTCTACCAGCATCTCGTGATACTCCTGCAGAGAAACGGCCACACATGCTGGCATATGGCAAACATGACCTTTTGCAGACAAAAACACACACGACAAACACTGCAAGCTCCTACAGCTCACGCATATCCATCAATACGTGCCCATGGTCAACATTTCACAGGCCTCTAACGTTGGCAGTGGGGAAAGCAATCGTCGGTTCTTTTCGTCCACATCCTCGTCATTCCCTCTCGTCAGCACAACATCGTCGCCATGGCTTCTGTGCTGAGCGGCGTCAAGCGCTCGTTCGCTGCAGCGTCGGCCGACTGGGACGGTCCTACCGCAGCAACTCGACCACAGACATTGGAGAGCGAGAGTGCAGCAAACGCAAGAGCAACAGCATCGTCGTCGACATCCTCAGTGTCCTCGATATCCTCCACAAAGTCCGCCTCCTCGGCCATGGACACCGCAATTCCAAGGTTACAGCTGCCAGTGGTACATGCAGCCGTGGCCGCAAACCATTCACGAAGTGAGTAGCAGGGAGGCAGGCAGCCAGGCGAACAGACAGAGCATCACCAGAGCATGGCTAACATCCAACACCAATCCTAGACGCATCGTTGCCCTCGCCCACCTCACAGCCGTCCGGCCGACCACACTATGACGCTGACGCCTCCGTCATCCTTACTGGCGTCCGCGGCGCCGGCAAGTCCACTCTCGCCGTGATAGCGTCTACGGCGATGCGCCGCAAGATCGTCGAGGCCGACAAGGTCTTCTCCGAGACCCACGGCCAGCCCAGCGGCGCATTCCAGCGCGAGCACGGCATCCTCGCCTACCGCAAGGCACAGTCTGCTGTCCTGCAGCACATCCTCGAGACGCACCGCCGGGGGGCCATTATTGTGTGCTCGTGGATGGAACGTGACGTCCATGCCCGCCTGGCGCAGTGTGCAGCCACCAACCCCATTGTCCTGATCCTGCGGGACACGGCGGCCATCCAGACGCATCTGCGCGTGTGGGACGACGCGCGCGTCCAGGACCTGGTCACGGCCAGCGGGCCCGTCTTCCGGCGGTGCGCCCGCTTCGAGTTCTTCAACATCTCGGAGACGCCCTCGACCGGCATCAACGAGGCAGCCAGCATGCATGTCACGTACAGTGCCCAGGCCAACTCTGCCTCGATCGCTACCAGCGCCCCGGCGACCGGCACGACCACCCCCGACGAAGACAGCGACGCCCGCGGGCCCGCGCCCTACCTCACCCTCAAGCGCGCAGAGCGCCACTTCCTCAAGTTCCTGTCCCTCATCCTGCCCCGCGGCGCCATCCCCTTCATCGAGTCCGCCTACCCCCTGGCGTCTCTGGCGACCGAGGACCGCCAGTTCACCTATGCCCTCTCTGTTCGCCTGTCCGACTTTGCCGCCGGTGATGTGGACGTCGAGGAGATGGAGGCCGGTGCCGACGCCATCGAGCTGATTGTCGACTGCGTCTCCGCCGCCCGCGACACCGCCTATCCCCGGCTCATCACGCCCCAGCAGGCCAACAACATCAGCCGCATCGTCAGCCACATCCGCCGCAGTACGGTGATTCCCATCATCTACCACGTCGTGCTGCCGGACCCGGATACGGCGGCACAGAACGAAAACCAGTGCAGTGCCTACCTGTCGCACGTGCTGCACGGCCTGCGCCTGGCCCCAGATTACGTCACCGTTGATTTGAGACTGCATGACGCCGAAATTGCCCGCGTGCGAGCCGCCACCTGGTCCTCGCGCATTATCGGGACGGTTGACGTAGAGGGCCCATCCCCGTCTGCGCCGTCTGCGACACCACCTCCCTCGTGGCACGACCCCACCTGGCTGGCCTACTACCGCCGCGCCGTCGACCTTGGCTGCCACGTCGCTCGGCTGACGCGTCGTGCCGTCGAGCTCAGCGACAACTTTGAGGTCTCCCAGTTCATCTACAGCGCCAAGATGTCCTCGTCCTCCTCCTCAACACCGCCCATCCCTCTCATCGCCTACAACACCGGCCCCAAGGGCCGCTTCTCTGCCTGCTTCAACTCCGTCCTCACATCCGTCGTTGCCGAGCCACCAACCTCATCGCCAGCGGCAGCGATTTCTACTGTTATCGGCTCGGCCAATGGCATGGACACCGCCGACACACGGACATCCACCACGCCCACGTCTGACTCCGTCTCACGGCCTGCACGTCTTCCGTCTCCGTCCGACTTTGATTCCTCCTTATCCTCGTCTTCTCTCACCGCCCGCCAGGCCACTATCGCCCTCGCATCTGCCTTTGTCTACGAACCCATGCGCCTCTACGTCTTTGGAGCCTACGTCGACTACAGCGTATCGCCCGCCATGCACCATGCTGCCCTGGCTGCCTGTGGCCTGCCCCACACCTACCGTCCCAACTCCACGGACTCCATGGAGCTCATCAACACTCTGATTCACGACCCGCGCTTTGGCGGCGCCTCCGTCGGTTTGCCGTTCAAGGTGTCGGCCATCCGCCTCACCCACACGCTCAGCAACCACGCCCGTGCCGTCGGCGCCATCAACACCATTGTCCCCATCCGCCAGCTCAAGGCCGACGGCAGCGTCCCCGACTACGGCCAGATTCTGACGACGCGCAACCAGTCGGGCCCCGTGCTCGCCATTTACGGCGAGAACACCGACTGGATCGGCATTCGGGCCTGCATCCGGCGGGGCCTGTCGCCGGCCAATGCGGTCCGGCCAGGCAGCGTCGGCCTCGTGATTGGCGCCGGCGGCATGGCGCGCGCGGCCGTCTATGCGATGCTGCAGCTGGGCGTCAAGCAGATTGTCGTCACGAACCGGACGGTGGCCAATGCCGAGAAGATGGTCGCCCACTTTACGGGCATGCTCGACCGGGGCGAGATGGCGTGGCTGAGCCGCGGCGACGACGCCGACCAGACGCAGGCGCAGACGCAGACGCAGTTCCACGTCATGCGCACGCACGACGACCCCTGGCCCGCCGGCTTCCGGCTGCCCACCATGATCATCTCGTGCATTCCGACGCACCGCATCGGCGCCGTCCCCGCCCCTGACCTCACGCTGCCGCCCGCCTGGTTCGGCAGCCCCACGGGCGGCGTGCTCGTGGAGCTGGCGTACAAGACGCTGCAGACGCCGCTGCTGAACCAAAGCCGCAAGTTGGCCCAGCAGGGGTGGGTCAGCATGGACGGTCTGGACCTGCTGCCCGAGCAGGGGTTTGCGCAGTTTGAGCTGTTTACGGGGCGGCGGGCGCCACGGCGGTTGATGCGGGAGGAGGTGTTTAAGGCGCACAAGGACGACCAGGGACGGTCGAATTTGCCGCAGCTGCAGGGGCGGCTGGACAATATTGTGAACCAGGAGCCGTAGGCCAAGGCTGCCTCAGGCGATGTCCGCCGGGACGATGAGGCCCGCAGGCGATGTTAACTACAAAAATAGAAGACGATGCAGATACCTTGAATACTACGATGCAAAATGAGAGATGAATGCAATTCAAATAACAATGCTACTAGTACATCACTTAATGAATACAAACAATAAATGCCTCTAACTGTCGTTGCCAATGTTGATGGTGCCGAAATGACCAGTCGCAAGTTTACACGTAATAATATGGACGGGACACGATTGTACATGTGTTTAACAATGTGAAGTTGTAATGTACATTGACTCGGCGCGTTCCAGTACACCGAATGACTGCAGTCTATGTCGCAGATGTCTATGGTCGCTATGAATAAAGAAGAGAAAGAAAACACCATACGTCATCTACATCTTGGGCAGCTGCATCAGGTGCGAGGCAACGGCCTTCTTCACCTCCTTGACCGGCAGCTTGTCCAGCGTCCGGCCCGTCCAATAACGGTCCTGCTCCAGCCCCTGGTAGATGAGCGCCTCCGTGCCCAGAATCACCTGCCACCCGGCCCGCTCGGCCAGCGCGCCCAGCTCCGTGTACGGCGACGGGTTGTAGCACATTTCGAGGAGGGCGCCGCCCTTGGGTGCCTTGGCGAGAAACACCTCGGTGATGCGGCGGGCCAGCTTCTCGTCCTCGCGCTGCGGAGGGACGTCGGGCACGCAGCCGACGGCGGCACCCGCAGCGGGCAGGGCCTCAGCCTGCTTGACGGTGGCCACGTGGACGATGTTGTCGGTGCCGAAGCCGGACGCCTGCAGATCCGCAATGACGGCGGCGACCTCGCTGGCGTCGCGGTTCACCAGGTAAATGGCCGTGCATCCGAGGCCCTCGCGCAGCGCGTAGACGGCACTGCGGGCGGCGCCGCCGCCGCCGACAACCAAGCCGGGGCGGCCGCGGATGCGCGCGGCGAGGTCGGCCTCGCTCAGGTTTTGCGTAAACGCGTCCCGCACGCCTACCGTGTCCGTGTTGGCGCCACACAGCAGGCGGCGGCCCGTGGCCGGGTCCTGCTCCAGGTAGATGGTGTTGCACGCGCCGACGGCGGTGGCCTCGGGCGTCAGCTTGTCCAGGTAGGGGAGGATGGTGACCTTGTTGGGCATGGTGACGGACGCGCCGTAGAAGTTGGGCGCGCGCACAAGCTGCAAGAACGTGGCAATGTCGGTCGAGTCAAAGCGGACCTGGCCCCAGTTGATGCCCAGGTTGGCGTAGACGACGTCGTGCAGCATGGGCGACAGCGACGCCGCCAGCTTCTTGCCAAAGAGGTAGCCGTGCTTGTCGAGGTGGCCGACGGCGGGGACGTCCGTCAGTGCAGTAGCGGCGGCTGTGGCTGCTGCCGCCGGCGTCGGTGCTCGTCCTGGTGCCGGTGGCGGTGGTTGTGACTGGGACTCGACCTGGGTCGCCATTTGTGATGTGCGGAGGTTGACGGGGGTAGAGAGGAGAAAGGAAGAGTAGGGAAAGAGAAAGGGACAACGCAAACGTGGCCGATGCAGGTAATGCTGCGTTCGCTCCTACAATTTGTGTCTGTGCTGAGTTTCGTGCCTGTCGGTGCGTTTGCCTCGGTGTTCTCGATGTTCTTTATTGTAGACCTTCCTTTTTGCGTTTGAAATATGTCCTTGTAAATATGTTTGAAATGAAACGTTTATGAAACCCAGTGAGACGATATTTTCTCGAATAGAGAGTAACCCAGATATATCACGACGGGGACGAGCGGCCGATCTCTCGCCTCTCCACGCCCACAAGACAAAGTCGTGATATGGAGTAATTGCTCTGGAGAAGACCAGCAGAAGGGTCCACTGCCTTCGACATTCCTTCTTGGGAGATGAGAACTGTGTGTTTGGTAGCCGGACCGTCGGCTTGCTCCCGTAAAGCGAAATGGGGAAAGGCAAAGCGTATGTGGAAGAACGCTTTCACTGCAAAGTTCGGCGTTGTTACTGTGTCGTCTTTTTGGCTTGGGATCGCCCGGGTTACAGACGGACTGCACTGAAGAAAATACCCCAAAAGCCCGGCAGATGTGCCGTACCTAACTAGGCCCACTGCAGCGGCTAGCAGACCTGAAAAAGTACCTTGATTCCTCTGGTAAACATTCTTCCGGCCGCCACACAAAACGGGTCAACGAACAGCAGCCCAAGAAAATGCGTTGCGAGTCTGACAATAAGTGGGTCCGTCACTTTCGTCTGTGTTAGTTGTTCTCCCTGCCTAATCAGGAAGTTCTTCCTTGCAGCCGTCGTCGCTTACGCCCAGCGGTATTGTGCAGACAGATCAGCGCAACCACCACTGACGCTCTGGATGGTTTGCTTTACGGAGTGCAATGCCATGCTGTGCAAACCTGGCAGAGACCACACCCTCAGCTTTCTTTGACGCACTGTTGACGTCTTTGGTGGTGCAGCCACCAACCTCGAGCAAAGCCCGTGTGTATCCGTATCAAGCCATCCCTCCATCGCTCCTTCCTAGCCACACTTTCGTTAAACGATGTGTGTCGTTGCACATTCGTAGCTGCCGAAACCGATTGTCAGCACGACGTACAGAGCCGTGACTTGCCCGAGACCGTAGAACGTGACTGCCTTTTCTCGTGCATATCTGTATCTGTTCTCTGTCGGCTCCCTCTTTCCTTGATGAATCGCTTGCCTACTGTTATCGTCTGCCCTTTCCTGAATACGTTGATATCAATTACCCCTAAGACTTCTTACTTTGCTGCTTCTGCCTCACTCTTTTACCCTTCTTTCACAATCCCCTCATATCATTGACTCACAAATACACAAGTCGACATCTCCAATCATCCCTCTCCGTACCTCCTTCACACACACACTATGGACTGCAAACTTGCCATCAGCTCCATGTCCCTGGGGCGGTGCTTTGCCGGCCACAGCTTCGAGCACAAGCTCGACATGGCGCGCAAGTATGGCTATCTCGGCATCGAGGTCTTTTACGAGGACCTGGTCGACGTCGCCCACACGCTCGACACGAACGCCACCAACAACGCCGGTGACGCCGCCACCCCGTCGGCCGAGAGCCACCTGGCGGCCGCCCGCTGGATCCGGGCGCAGTGCCAACAGCGGGGCCTGGCCGTCATCAGCCTGCAGCCGTTTATGCACTACGAGGGCCTGCGGGACCGGGCGGAGCACACACGGCGGATCGAGGAGTGGCGGCTGTGGCTGGGCATGGCACAGGCGCTGGGCACGGACCTGGTCCTCGTGCCGTCGACGTTTTTGCCGGCGGACCAGCTGCTGGCGGGCGGTGCCGTCCAAGGCCGCGCGGCCGACCTGGCGGAGCTGGCCGACCTGGCGGCGGCCGTGCACATTCGCGTCTGCTACGAGAGCCTCTGCTGGGGCACGTACGCGCGCACGTGGGAGGACAGCTGGGCGGTCGTGGACGCGGCCAACCGCCGCAACCTGGGTCTGTGCTTGGACACCTTCAACATCGCGGGTGCCATCTACGCGGATCCTGCGGCGCCGAGCGGCAAGGCCGTCGACGCCGAGGCCGCCGTCGCTGCGTCCATGGCCCGTCTGCGGGCGACCGTGCCCCGCGAGCGTGTCTTTCTCGTGCAGCTCGTCGACGCCGAGCGGCTGGATGCACCGCTTGGGCCGGGCCATGTCCTGTACAACGCCGAGCAGCCGTCGCGCATGACCTGGTCGCGCAACTGCCGGCTGTTTTACGGCGAGGAGAAGGCGTACCTGCCGGTACTGCAGATTGCGCGGACAATCTTCCATGGCCTTGGCTACAGCCACGACTGGGTCAGCCTGGAGCTGTTCAACCGGTGTATGTCAGACACGGGAGCGGGCGTGCCGGAGGCGCTGGCACGGCGGGGTGTTCTGTCCTGGCAGCGTCTGCAGCGGGACCTGGCGGCGAGCAGCGCGGCAGACGTGGCATCGAGCGAGACGCCCAAGATCTCGGCGTCATTGTAAAGCAGGGTGACGTGCTCAAACTCGTTTTGCCTTTATGTTGTATTCATGGCTTGCGTTGCTTTTTACCACATAATTTGACTCGCAACAGATGATGTCTCGTAGTCACACCTGTCGCTCTTGATAAAGCAATTTTTCAATCTGCATTACGGTTTTGATGTATCTCGTTCTTCATTCATCTTCTACAGTCGTGTTCCATTCTCCGTTTTCCACCACCACCTATTTGCCCTTCACTTTCAAGTGCTTCGCACAGAACTCAATGGCCGCCGTGTAGCCGTACGCGCCCAAGCCGGCAATCACGGCCGTTGCCTTGTCGTGGAAGTAGCTGTGGTGCCGCCAGGCCTCGCGCGCGTGCACCTGGCTCACGTGCAGCTCGACGAACGGGATGCTGACGCCCAGCAGCGCGTCCCGGATGACGACGCTCGTGTGCGTGAAGCCGCCCGGGTTGATGATGATGGCGTCGACGCGTTTGTGCTCCGCGTGGCCCGCGACGGGCGTCGTCACCAAATGACCGAAGCCGCCGGCCTCTTGGATGCGGTCGACAATGGCACCCTCGTGGTTGGACTGGAAGACCTCGAGCTCGACGCCCAGATCCTGGGCCTGGGCCTGGGCGGCGACCACGACGTCGTTCAAGGTCGTGGTGCCGTAGATCTCGGGCTCGCGGGTGCCGAGCATGTTGAGGTTGGCGCCGTTGATGAGGAGGATGCGGCGGGCCATGGTGGTGGTGGTGGTGGTGGAACGAACGATTGTGTAAGTGGGCAAAGTGTCCACTGGCCGACGTAAGTGACTTGTTATCTTACGGTGACAATATAGCAGCGACCTCGATGCTCATGCCCCCTCATCTCCCGATACCCGTACTCAAGCCCATGACGCTCTTGGTCTCCGTTGCCGGGGGCCGGTTGCATTTGTGAGTTTGTGGAGGTGTGGGGGCGTCAGAGGGAAGATGTTTGTGTAGTTACTGGGTTACACCAGGACCAGGACAGTGGAAGAGTGCTCTTCCGGTAGCTGGGCGCTGCAGCCACTGAAGGCGCTAAAGGATGCGCTATGAAATGGGAGAATTGGGGTGCTCACGCCTCCACACAGGCCGTAGCGTCCCACGTCCGGGAATCGTATCGACTCACCATTTCTTGTCTGGTCGACGCACTCTCAGTTTGAAGACGCAAGGCCGGCCACTCTCTTCAGATATGTCAGATACGTCGGGCACGTCAGTGAAGATCCGCGCGCGGAATTGGATCCATGCGAGGCTGGCTTCGGCTACTGGCGGTCGAGGAAGGCACGGAAGGTACGGAGGGCAGATCGGTGTTCACAACTGAAAGGGCTGCAGTGTAGCTTCCGTCACTACTGCCAAACAAAGTAGGAACAACAGTAACAAATTTTGAGCTCTTTCTGACGTTTGCTGTCAACCTCTTCTCTTGACATTTCACCTTGCCGTTTACTGTCCAATTTGCATTTACCGATTACCGATACACGCATCTTCCTCACCACCACCACAATGGCCGCCTCCTCCTCCAGCATGTCCGATGCTGAGCTCGGCAGCATCTACGAGTTTGCCGTGCAGCTGACCAAAGATGCCGGGCAGCGGCTGGCCGACGGTGCCAAGGCGCGCATGGCTGGCGGCGGCGTGCGTCTCGACACACAGGAAAAGGACAGCTCGGTCGACCTGGTGACGCAGGCCGACGAGGACGTCGAGGCGTTTGTCCGGGCGGCCATCGCCACGCGGTATCCGACGCACCAGTTTCTCGGCGAAGAGTCGTACTCCAAGGGCGCCTCGCGCGACTACCTGGTCGACAGCGCCGCGCCGACGTGGATCGTCGACCCGCTCGACGGCACCGTCAACTACACGCACCTGTTTGCCATGTACTGCGTGTCCATTGGCTTCGTGGTCGGCGGCCGTCCCGTGATTGGCGTCGTCTACGCGCCGATGCTCAACCAGCTTTTCAGTGCGTGCCGCGGCAAGGGTGCCTGGCTCAACGAGACGACGCGGCTGCCGCTGCTGCACAACCCGGTCGTCCCGCCGCTGCCGGCCAACGCGCCCGCGGGCTGCATTTTCAGCTGCGAGTGGGGCAAAGACCGGCGCGACGTGGCGTCCGGCGGCAACCTGGGCCGCAAGGTCGAGAGCTTCGTGACCATGGCCACCGAGCGCAGCGGACGGGGCGGGCTGGGCGGCATGGTGCACGGCGTGCGCAGCCTGGGCAGCGCGGCCATGGATCTGGCGTACACGGCGGCCGGGTCGTTTGACATTTGGTGGGAGGGCGGGTGCTGGGAGTGGGACGTGGCGGCCGGGTTCGCCATCCTGGAAGAGGCCGGCGGGTTGGTGACGACGGCGAACCCGCCGGCGAGTGCCACGGGGGACTACGCGGACGTGGCCGTGGAGGATGCCTACCTGGGCGGGCGCCTGTATTTGGCCATCCGGCCGGCAGGGCCATCGCCGTCATCCGGCAAGGACGTGCCGCCGGAGACGGGCCGGGAAGCCCAGGAGCGTGTGGTCCGCGAAGTGTGGAAGCGCGTGACGGCCCTGGACTACACACGGCCAGGTGTGTGAACGACAATAGGTGGTTTACGAGGTAGACAATCACGGACTCTCAGTTGTTCATTTCGCCGAAGAGAGAAGACTGAGGCTCGCCCACCGGACGGCGACGCTAGGATCGCCTGCAAGTCCCAAGATGGTAACGCCGCTGGCCTCTCCAGGCATCTCGTTCGTGCCAATTTCCGCGCTATTTCCTTCTTCGCACAGTTGCGATCCCCACTCTGTGCTCTTCGGCATGTGTCCAGGCGATGCCATTATGGCCTTTGTGGACGTCGTGGTTGTGCTAGTTTGGGCTGGGTTGGGGTTTTAGTTCTTCCCGGATGGCTGTAACCGGCACCGACAAACGCAACCTAGCAGCCAAGACCCGGCGATGGCGCAATGGGAACAGAGGAAACAACGGTGAAGGAACTTGACGAAATTATGAGCATGAGAGGAGCAGAAAAACTAGCGGAAAATAAACTACAAAAACTACAAAATAAACACACAGTCTACGGAGCGAGCCTTAACCAGCACCTGAATGCACCGACGAGCGAGAGAGGAGCGAGACTGATGTCGTCCAGTTAGACGGACAAAGACTCCACACGAATTTGACTGCATATTGCGGAGAAGGACATGACAAAAGACAGCCAACATAACCGATGAAAAGACAGCACGGCACCGGCGACGACGAAAAGAGCCAGGAAAGGGGAGGCCATGACATCTGAAGACGAGGCATATTCGACAAAATCAAATGAACGCTGTCAACACTGGCACAAGGCAAAAGAATAACAACGATGAACGCCAAGATCGGTTGACAAGAACAACGTCCACCATCAATGGCATACAGAGCCGATAGACATCGTCGGCATGGACACTCCTGTAAATAAAAAGAAAGTCGAAACAAACACTACACCTCAATCACAACCCCAACCACAACCACAAGAACAACAACAGCCGCTCGACGACACACCTCAGGATGCACCATTGACCGAATCCGCGCCGCTGACGCCCGGCCTGCCCCATGACCCGGCCCCCGACGGCGGCTTCCAGGCGTGGCTGCAGGTTGGCGCTGCGTTTCTGTTGTACTGGAACAGCCTGGGGCTGCTCAACGGCTTCGGCGCCTTCCAGACATACTACGAGCAGGGTCTGCTGGCGGACCAGAATGCGTCGGCCATCTCGTGGATCGGGTCGGTCCAGGTGTTTCTGCTGATGGCCGGCGGCTTCTTCTTTGGGCCGCTCTTTGACCTGGGATATGCGCGGTCCATGCTCGTGACGGGCACGTTCCTGCTCGTGTTCGGCTGCATGATGGCCAGCCTGGCCACAACGTACTACCAGGTCTTGCTGGCGCAGGGCTTCTGCATGGGCATCGGGGCGGGATGCCTGTACATCCCGGCCATCACGCTGGTCCCGAGCTACTTTGCACGGCACCGCGCACTGGCCATGGGCGTCGCCAGCATCGGCAGCAGCATGGGCGCCTCGCTGTACCCGCTGATGTTTGCGCGCCTGCAGCCGCGCATCGGCTACGCGTGGACGATGCGCGCCATTGGCGGCGTGGCCCTCGTGCTGTGCAGCGCCGCAACGGCCGTGGCCCAGCCGCGGCTCCGACGGGCGCCCGTCGTCGTTGTCGCTGTCGGCGGCACGAGCGCCGCCCGCTGGAGCCTGGCCGGCCTCCACCATCTCGCCCACGACGCCGCGCTGCTCGACCGCCGCTACCTCATCCAGTGCGTCGCCATCTTCTTCTCCAACCTGGCCTTTTTCCAGCCGCTCTACTACCTCGTGAGCTACGCCGAGGCGCACGGCACGCCGCCGTCCCTCGCCCAGTACCTGCTCGTCATTTTGAACATGGCGGCCATCCCGGGCCGCCTGCTCCCGTCCGTCGTGGCCGACCGCTACGGCGTCATCGCCACCTTTCTGGCCATTTGCGCCGTCACGGCCGCCGTCGACTTCTACTGGATCTCGGTGCAGAACCAGGCCGGCAACCTCGCCTTCGCCGTCCTCTACGGCTTCTTTTCGTCGTCCGTCGTCACCCTCGCCCCCGTCGTCCTCAGCAGCATCACCCACGACCTGTCCACCCTCGGCACGCGCCTCGGCTGTGTCGCCGTCCTCAAGGGCATTTCGTCGCTCATCGGCCCGCCCATTGCCGGCGCCATCCTCGACGCCAGCGGCAGCTATTTGGGCGCGCAGCTGTTTACCGGCACGGCCATGTCGCTGACGGCCGTGTTTACGCTGCTCATGTACCTGACCGTGCGCAAGATGCGGAACACGTCGGCAGTGTAAAGTCTCGGGATCCAGGGAGTCGTTATGTACATAGACTGAGGCGTTGCTAAAGCATCCACTAGAATATACATTTACTGCTATTTTAAGTGGAATTGTATCAAAATTATTTGATTTTTGGACGGTTTTGCCAAACATTTTGGTAAAAAATAAAAAATAGAGTAAAAGATTGCGACTGCAAATATTTATTATGTATTTGCTTATTTTAATTATCCGTTTTACTTTCATAAAAATCACGTATTTACAAGCAATACGTAAAGAAGTGAAATTATTTACCCACTACTTGATAAGTTCCTACTACAGCAAGCAAAGTGTCTACACAACAACTCAGAACATCTCTTAATAACAGCCACTCCTCACCGCACCTACAGAGTCACCACCACCTTCTCGGCCGACACACCGTTGCGCTGCAGGTCCATGGCCGCCTGCAGCGCCTCCAAACCGTGACCCGCCACGCGCGTCCGCGGCGCTGTGACGTACTGCTGTGCCGCCAGCGCCGCCGGTAGAAACCGTCCAAAGACGTCGCGGCCCACAACGCAGTCGTCCTGCAACAGGTCCTTGGTGTCGACAAACTTCGCTTCCACGCCCGTCGACCGTCCCGCCATCGACGTGCGCACGCCCTGCCACAGCGTCGACGCAATAAACGAGGCACGCCCTGTGACGGAGGCGACCTTGGGCGGCACCATGGCGGCGCCGGCCAAGGCGACGAAGCGGCGGCTGCCCGGGAGGCGACCCAGGACGTTCATGCAGAGTTCGACGGAGCCGTCGCCGACCGCCAGCGCACCGACGACCTCCCCGCCCGCCAGCGCCTGGACCAAGTCGTCCTGCAGTGTCTTGCTGCGGTAGTCAAAGACGGCCGCAGCGCCGAGGGCCTTGACGTAGGCGAAATTCTTGGGCGACGCCGTCGTGACGACCTGGTAGCCGGCCTGGGTGGCCAGCTGGATGCCGTTGCAGCCCACGCTGGAGGCGCCGCCGGTCACCAAGACCTTTTTGGTGGAGCTCACAGGCCGGGCAGGGACGGTCGGCAGATCCAGGGCCAAAAACCCGGGGTGGAAGAGACCGTACGCCGCCGTGGCGAGGGTCAGGGGCAGAACGCACGCGTCCGTGTACGCCATCCACGCGGGGATGCGTGCTGCCAGCGGCGGGCGCACGACCGTGTACAGCTGGAACGCGCCCTCCGCCTGCGCGGCGGTGTGCGATGCCGCCAAATCAGGCGCCGCGCTGCAGCCGAGGGCCATGACGCGGTCGCCCACGTGGAAGCCCTCGACGCCCTTGCCGACCTCGACGACTTTGCCCGCCAGATCGCCGCCGGGGACCATGGGGTACTTGATGAACGTCAGGACAAACTGGCCGAGCAGTTGCAGGCACCAGTCGACGGGGTTGATGGCGACGGCATGGTTCTTGACGACGATCTGGCCGGGGCCGGGGGCCGTGTAGGGTGCAGGTCCAACGACGAGCGGGCGTGCGTTGCGGGCCTTGAGCCACGCGGCCTGGTTGACGGGAGGCATTGTTTGGTCCAGCTGTGGAAGAGACAAGGGGTCTCGATGAGGAGGTGAGACATAAAAACACACTATCACGACAAACGAGCAACAAATGCAAGACCCTGGACATCCTGACACTCGTCTTGTTTGCCTCTTCCAAGACAAGCGAGTCTTCTTATCTGCAAACTTGCAGCCATATTGTTGTGGTCGTGCACCAGAACCGACCGAAACAGACCGGAATTCGGAGTCCGCTTTGGACGGTGTTAAGCCTTGACAGCCAACAACGTCCACATATGGCCCCTGCAGCGGGCTCAACAGTTGGGCCATATCCCGAGAGATGAACGTGTTCGACTGGTCAACTTGGACGAGCTCGCAGTCATCGTGCGCCCGAGCGGCCGAGACGGGCAATTTCGTGACATGGTTGTGTGGATGCTGGGATGGCATCAAATCGCGGATGCTCCTCTGCAGAGCGCGGTCAACTGTGACCCTGCCGGCTGTACGACAACATGGCAAGTCATATTCGCAGTCGGAGGAAATTCTTCCCTGTCTTCCCTTTCTTCCCTTCTTCTTCTTTTGTCAACCCTGGCAATGGTTTCGGACATCAATCAATATGAGATCGTCACCATATTTGGTCGCGTTTTGGTGAGGAATTGGCTTCGCACTACTGTCAGCCAAAGCATTACCATGAACAGTAGTCAACAACTACCCTGCCTGCCTGCCAGCTGGCACCAGCTGCAAGTGACCCACTTTTCGTACCCCGCCCTCCCACAAACGACCCAAACTTTTTTCGTGGTGTTCCTTTTCCCAATTTTTTCGCCCAAGGTGTAGTTGTATTTACGGCGACCGATTATCACAGACGACGAACCCCCCGATTCTGATTCACGATTCCACCTTCGTCGACACACCTCCTTGTATCGACACCACAATGGAGTCTCTCTCGCAAATCATCGCCGCTCTGCCGGACGGTGACGGCTGGGGCCCGCCGGTCTCGACCGAGTCGACGCTCAACGGCGTCCCCTATGCGCCGTTCTCCAAGGGCGACAAGCTGGGCCGCATGGCCGACTGGACCGTTGACGGCAAGGACGCTGGCCGCGGCGGCCGCCAGCAATACAATCGCTACAACAGAGGTGAGTCCGCACGAATCCTAGTAGCGTATGGCCTAACATTTGAACACAGCTGACGTTTCCCCCCCACCCCTCAGATCAACAAGTGTACGGTGCCGGTACCGTCTCGCTGTTTTCCGCACCGCCCGCCGAAGACGAGGGCACTTTCTCCGTTGTCAGCAACGTCCGCGACACCGGCAAGACGAGATTTGGCCGCGGTGGCGCCGTGTTCACGCGCGGCGGCCGCGGCGGTGCTGCACGGGGCGGCCGTGGCCAGGACGCTCGCGGCGCGCGCACGGCGCTGACGGCCCGCGGTGGTCGGGTGGGTGGCGCAGCGGGCGGCAGCGCGGCGGGCGGTGCAGCGGGTGCACGGGGCGGTGCGTCGAACCGTGGGCGGCGGTTCGGCTGGAAGGACTACGACAAGCCGCAGCGCAACCGCGACGCGTCGGTCAACATCAAGGCCGACTGGCACCTGATGGAGGAGATTGACTACAACCGGCTCAGCAAGCTGAACCTGGACGCGGACGACGGCGAGGACCTGGACTCGTTTGGGTTCCTGTACTACTACGACCGCGCCTTTGACAAGCCACCGGTGGCCAAGTCGAGCGAGCGCAAGCTGACGGCGCTGGACCGCGCGGCGTACAACGTGACGACGTCGTCGGACCCGGTGATCCAGGAGATGGCCGACAAGGGCGAGGCGACCATCTTTGCGACGGACAGCATCCTGTCGATGCTCATGTGCGCGCCGCGCTCGGTGTACCCGTGGGACCTGGTGATTGTGCGGCAGGGTGGCAAGATTTTCTTGGACAAGCGCGACAACGCGGCGCTGGACATGGTGACGGTCAACGAGAACGCGGCCGACGCGCCGCTCGAGGCGGCCGACGGCAGCAAGGACACGGTCAACCAGCCGGGCGCGCTGGCCGAGGAGGCCACGTACATCAACCACAACTTTGCCAACCAGGTCGTGCTCGAGAGCAACGCCGCCAGCGGCAAGGTGCAGATGGCGCACGCCAACCCCTTCTACAACGCCTCGGAGGAGACGGAGCCGCCGGCGTCCAAGGCCTACAAATACCGCCGCTTCGACCTGTCGACCAACGACGAGGACCCCGTGTACCTGGTGGTGCGCACGGAGCTCGACGCCGTGCAGAAGAACGCGACCAACGGCGAGGACCAGTTTTTGAGCGTCAAGGCGCTCAACGAGTTTGACAGCAAGGCGCAGGGCTCGGGCGGCGCGCTCGACTGGCGCACCAAGCTGGCCACGCAGCGCGGCGCCGTCGTCGCCACCGAGATGAAGAACAACTCGTGCAAGCTCGCCCGCTGGACCGTGCAGAGCATCCTGGCCAAGGCCGACGTCATGAAGGTCGGCTTCGTGTCGCGCGCCAACCCCAAGACCAACGATAAGCACGTGATCCTGGGCGTCGTCGGCTGGAAGCCGCGCGACTTTGCCGGCCAGATGAACCTGAGCCTGTCCAACGGCTGGGGCATCGTGCGCACCATTGCCGACATGTGCCACAAGCAGGGCGACGGCCGCTACGTCCTGGTCAAGGACCCCAACAAGTCCATCCTGCGCCTGTACCAAGTGCCGGCCGGCAGCTTCGACGAGGACGAGGAGGACGAGGAGGACGCCGCCGAGGAGGCGGAGGAGGAGTAGACAGGGACGCGCAGTGGTCTTGCTTTTCCCATTTATGTTCTGTCGTGTCGTCAGTCCTTGCATCTTCGGGATCGGAACGGTCGGGCAAAAAGTTTTTAATTTTCCAAGTCCTTATGTAGAACGTTGTGAATTTACGAGCGTACACGTGAGAATAAGACATGACGGAGCAACAGTGTGGCACACGTGAAAGTGAGGCAGATTGGTATGTGTACGTCGTAGATGGCTGTTGGTTGTGCATTCTGTAGTGGTGATTCGATACAGTGCGCATACAGTGCACAGTGTGAAATATCACTGTTGGGTCCTCTAATAATTGGCGTAGCCATCGACCTTCGACTCCGTCGATTTCTCCATCCACAACGGCACGGCAGCACGTCCACCCACCGTCATGCCCACAACCCCCATAGCGGCCACACCGCCCATCCAGCTGTACGCCGAACTGCTCGTCAACATCCGCCAAGTGTCTGTTTCGGTGTCGTTTGCGGGACCAATCGAGGCGCGGCAGACAACGGCCGAGGTGCTGCCGGATGGCGTGACGTTGCGAGTGCGACGGCGTGGCAAAGACGATGGAGACCAGCAAACTGCCGTGCTGACCCTGCCCGGCCGAGTGGCCGTGACGGCGGCCGGTGCACAGCTTCCCGTACCAGGCCCGGCGCTGGCGTCGGGGTACGTCGCGTGGCGGCTGCCTTTGCAGGGACCGACGACACAAAACGGGCAGACCGACGACACGGATCTGGCGCCGTGGTCAGCACCCGACTTGTCGCTTGGGTCGTCTGTGCGCTGCCGTGGATGTTCTGCCGAACTGGTCGCCGCCCACCGCATCCAGGCGTGGAAAGACCTGCCGAGCGACAACTGGGCGGAGATGATGGAGTTTTGGCACTGTCACAAGCCGGATGTGAAGGAAACGGAAACAGCAGGCGGGCCGGGTGCGGCTGCAAAGAATGGCGTCGACACCGGCACTGGTCTTGCCAACCGTGGGTACGGGGCCAACAGCACCATCTCGGCGGACGCGGGCGTGGGGTTTGTGGACCTGACGACGCTGCTCGTTTCCGAGGTCGACTGTCACGGAGTTTTGGTGAGTCGTTTCTTTCTTCAATTTTGCACTTTTTGTGTTGAGTTGCCGTGTCCCCCATACGTGGGCATCAAGAAGGCGGCCAAGCTGAGCTCTGCTCGTTCGATAGCATGCCCACCGATACAAATGCCCTAGAGCAAACTCTTTGCGGACGGCGTCACCTGCCACCCTTCCATGATTCAGTGTTTCTCATCAGAAGCATCGGCCAGAGAATGACGGCATGGAGGCGCTCGTTCGTTTTCCTCACCATGCCCTCTCTGTGCCCGCCAAACATACAGGGCAATGCACAGGGAGGTGACGAGGGACATGTCACGACGCAAACCCGTCCAAGTGAATGAATGCATACCGCTAACATCCCGCAGTTCTCCGAGTCCACCGTCGACAAGGCCTCGTCTCGTCTCGAGGTACTGTCCACCGTCCAGACCGCCGCCACAAACGCAGCAGCCACGACAGCCAACACGGTCGCCGCTCCACGCGGTCTCAGCGTCTTTTGTGCTGCGTGTCGTGCCCAGGTCGGCTACTTTACTCTACGGCAGCAGTCGATACACCTCTTCAAGTGGCAGGTGCAGGTCGCTACGACTGGCCAGCAAGGGCAGCCCACGATTGCCGACTGTGTAGCAGCAACGCTCGTGGCAACGATCCAGCGGACGGGCTCGTCCAAGTCGCTGATCTTGCCCATCTACGAACTCGAGGGACGTGTTCTGGGAACAGAAGACAGAGAAAATGTTCTCCAAGTCTGGGTGCTCAACGGCAGCATTGTGTATTCATCGGGGAGGTCACGAAGCCCGTCCACCCCCACGCCATCCCGCGCCGTCAAGCTGCTCTACAAGCACATCCCCCGCGCCGAGGCGGATACCATTCTGGAAAGCCTGAATTCGGACGTGCAAGAGATCAACTTGCCGCGAGAGACGATCGGGGCGGTGACCGAGTTGCTGGAGTCAAGCACACAGCTTCTACCAGCACGAGACCGAGATTTTAAAGAATGGAGGATTGGTGTACTGGACCGTTGGGATCCGAGGAGGCAATCCAATGGATAGTAGAGCATAGACACCAACGTACATCATGACAAAAGAAATACAATCAAGGTATTTTGTTCGTAACCGTATGGCCCTGCCAACAGTGTTTACAGTGGATGCCCCTGTATTTCCAGCGGACAAGTCACACCATTGCATCCGCTAATATTATTATTCAGCGAGGGTGCTCCACTTATTCTAGGCACCGCACGACGTCCCAGCTGGGCCAGCCTTGCGAAATGGGAAGCCGCTAGTGGTCAGCCTCTTTCCCCATTTTATTCGTCGTTTCTCAATATCAAACATCAACGCCGCCGACGGGGTAAATAGGGAAATACGGACATTTCACGCTGACGCACCGATATTCCCCAGACTCGCCTGACTCACCTCGGACTAGCGGCATGTGAGACGGTCTCGGCGTCCTACGGCTTCTGCCTGCCTTTTTAGTATTATTCAACTCCTTCTCTCCCGCCATGGACATCCCATTGTCGGCGTACATTGCCGCGGGCAGCTTTACGGTGCCCCTGGACGGCGCTGATATAGTGGCACCGGACCAGTGGCTGATGGTCCAGCCGGAGGACGCCAAGGGCAGCAGTGCTGAAGGTGCGAGCACACTTCCCCATGACACGACGCTGGCCCTCTTGAAGCTGCCGGCGCTAGCGCCCAGCGTCCGCCCACTCCTGCACCGGTGGATCCGGATTGCCTTTCGGGGCGCAAAGACGGCGGACGGTGCAGCTGCGACGTCCCTCGGCATCTGTCGCCTCTACGTTCTACCCGATGACGCGTACCGCCGGCTGGTGCCACGGTCGGACATCAAGGTGCGGCGTGACCTACAACGCCTGCTGAACGGGCTGGACTACGCGGACGCGGGCTGGCGGGGCGTCGCGACGGCGTCGCCCCTCCTTGTGCACGATGCGCGGGTCAGGGTACGGCAGGATGACGACGACGACGACAACGACGACGATGACGGCGGGGCCACGACCCTCCTGCAAATGTTCAACACGATCCCGTCGCCGCAGCCACGGGTCGACCTGGTCCACGACGAGTCGTACCAGCGTGTGATGGATGCACTGATGACGAGCCGGGTGCCCGGGCTGAAGGAGACGACGACGTTGTACGGGCACCAGATGCGGTCGGCGGCGGTGATGCTGCAGAGGGAGCTGCAGCCGGGGCGCGTGGTGGATCCGCGGCTGCTGCGGTTGCGGGAGCAGTCCGAGCAACCCGAGCCAGAGCGAAGTGAGGACCAAAGAAACGAGCGAAGCGAGGACCAAAAAGACAACACTTGGTACTACGACGACGTCACTGGCGAGGTATTGCGAACGGCGCGGCTCTACGACGGCGTGTCGGGCGGCATCCTGGCCGAGGAGATGGGCACCGGCAAGACGCTGATCTGTCTGGCACTGATTTTGGCGACGCGGGCGTTCCCAGCAGAGCTGCCGGGCGTGTACGACCATCGCGTGAGCGAAGCGAGCGAGGACGACAACAGAAGGAAAGGGCCACGGTCGCTGGGCGACATGGCCGCCACGATCGTGTCACGCCAGTCGGTGCCGTGGAAGTTGTACTTGGCCGACACGGAGGCCAACGCAGACGAGTTCCGCCACTGCATCGCGGCCATCCAGCGCAACCCAGCGATGTACGTACTGCCACGCTTCAAGGCGACAGCGCGGGACAGTCCGCGGGCGTCGACGTCGTCGTTTTCTCCGGCGTCGTCGACGCCCATCACGCTGAGCAGCTGCAGCCTGGTGCTGGTCCCTGCCAACCTGGTGCGCCAGTGGGAGGAAGAGATTGCCAAACACACGCAGGGCCTCAACGTGCTCGTCGTGGCCGGTCAACGTGCACCTGTCCCGACGACCGAGCAAATTCTGGAGGCGGACGTCCTGCTGTTCTCGATCCCCCGCTTCGAGAAACTCGTGCACGACCGCGAGGTCACACGTGCCGGCTATGAACTGCGCTCCCCGCTGGCCGCTGTCCACTTTAAGCGAGTCATTGTCGACGAGGGCCACCGCCTGGGTAACGCCAAGATGGGCCGCAAGAGCAACCTGCTGCTAGTCCTGGACTGCCTGCAGGTGTCGGCACGATGGATCGTCACGGGCACGCCGTCGACTGGCCTGTTTGGCGTGGAGCAGCAGCAGTCGGATGGCGTCGAATCCGTGCCCCCCTCGCCGCCCGGGACGCCCTCCACGCCCTCCACGCCCGCCACGGCCGCCGCGCTGCAAGAGCGCAAAGACCTCGAGCGCATTGGCGCCATGGCCAGTCTGTACCTGCGCGTGCGCCCGTGGGCCAACACCATCCGCGAGGTCGGCGGGCATACCACGGTGGGCATGGCCGTCGGCGACGCCCCCGCCGACTGGGCCGTGTATGTCATGCAGCCGCACCACAGCAACCGCAGCAGCGGCGGCCGCCGCGACGGCCTGCGCGCCACCCTCGACTCGCTCATCATTCGGCACCGCACGTCCGAGGTGGGGGCGCTCTTGCCGGCCGTGGACGAGCGCGTCGTCGTGCTGGACGGCTCGTACCAGGACCGGCTGTGTCTCAACCTCTTCTCGATGATGATTGTCTTCAACGCCGTCCAGTCGCAGCGCACCGACCAGGACTACTTTTTCCATCCGCGCCAGCGCGGCGCCCTCCTGCGGCTGCTCAGCAACATCCGCCAGGCCACCTTCTTTGGCGCCAATTTCTATTCGGCCGCCGAGATCGCCACCGCCCTCGAGACGGCCGAGACGTTTCTGGAGGACCGCAAGGTGCCCATCAGCGACGCCGACGAGCAGCTGTTGCGACAGGCCATTACCTTTGGCCACGTCGCCGTCGGCAACCGCTTCAAGCGCCTGGCCGACGCCTGCCACGAAGTGCCCATTTACGTGGCCGACATGCCGGGCGGGGGATCCTTTGCCGCGTCGTGGTCCATTGATGGCGAGGAACCGAGTAGTGAACGTGGTGGTGGAGGTGGAGGGGGCCTCCTCACATGTACGGCCGCACCCATGGTCCGCGCCCTGCAGCAGTACGTCCGCCCGTGCATGGACGCGCCGACGTCACTGCGCGCCATGTTCGACGATGGCCGCTTTGAGCAAAAGGGGCGCGACGTGTTGCGCAAGCAGCAGGAGTCGGCACAGAAGCAGTCAACGTCACGGGCAGGTGGTGGTGTTGCCAACAACGGAAGCACGGCCAGCGGCACCACCGTTGCTTCTGCAAATACTGGGAGCAGCAGCGCGGCACCGGTCAAGGGCGATCCCACGCTCGCCGGCAACACCAAGCTCGGCGAAGACAACCATGCGGGTTCACTCAAGAGACGGTCTTCATCAGGCACGGCCCTGGACCCCATCGCTGTGGACGGCAATGCATCCTCGGCGGACGTGTTTCTCGCGGCGCCCCTGGCCAACACGCGTCTCGTGTCGACGGCGTCGGCCAAGCTGTCGTATCTGCTGGACGCCATTGTGCGCCATCAAGCCGAGGAGCAGATTATTGTCTTCTACGACAACGAGAACGTGGCCTTTTACTTGGCCGAGCATCTGGAGATTTTGCAGATCCAGCACCTGATCTATGCGCGGGGGATTACGGCCGAGCGGAGGGCGCAGTACGTGGCGACATTCAATGGCGATGCGGCGGTGGCGATGGCGACCGGCACGGCGACACCGACGCCAACGTCCTCGCCGTTCCGCGTTCTCTTGATGGACCTCTCGCAGGCCGCGTTCGGCCTCGACATGCGCTCCGCGTCGCGCGTCTACTTTACGTCGCCCGTCCTCAACCCGCAGGTCGAGGCGCAGGCCGTCGGGCGTGTCCGGCGGATCAGCCAGGGGGCCGCCCGGGGTGGTGGCGTGGGCGTCCACGCCAACGGAGAGAGGCGCGTGCTGCATGTCGAAACATTGGTCCTTCGCGACAGCTTGGAGGAGGTGATTGTCGACCGGCGGCACGCGCTGACGCCGGCGGAGCACCGGCGCATCAAGACGCTGCTGGACGACGGGCCCATTTACGAGTGGGTGCGGAATGCACGGGTCGTGCCGATGGCAGGAGACGGGATGGCCGGGGTCGGCGATGGAGCCAGCCACGGCTCGACGAACGCGACGAACAGCGACGTCGCCAACGCGTCCGGTCCGGCCCAGATGGCCCCTCTGCAGACGCCGCAGTTCTTGTTCGGCCGCGGGTCCGGGCGCGTGGTGCACCCCGACGAGGGACTCGTGGTGATGGAGCGGGCGGCCAAAGAGGTCCCGAACCGACCCAAGGTCAACTTCAGCAGCGACAGCACGCTGTCGACCAACGGGCAGCATGAAAACACCGCCAACACCGACGGAGCGCACACCGGCGGGCCGTCGAGCACGACGCCGCACCCCACAGACGGCGACATCGCCTACGAAACACGTAAACCAAAGAAGCGTAAACTGCTGCCCAATGCGCCAGTCAGGTTTGCTTGAAGGAGGGATGCGGTTGCACGACGACGTGGGTAACGTGAAAACAATTTTGCATATTCGTCGTCTTGCTGTTGTGGTCCTACAAACCGCGACCGTGAAGCAGGCCGTGAAGCATGCAGCGAGCGTGTGCCAAAGGAGGTTTTCTGGGTTTCTGGGGACGATCAGCGAAGCCGTTGATCCGTCACGACAGGATACGATGGGATTGCAAAAAAAGGGTATGGTCAGCGGAAGCAAGCACCCCGGACCCAAACCTGGACCCTGAACGGAGCAGTTTATTCCGTGTCAATCCAAAAGACAAGGTGCCAAGCTGACAGTATCTCGACACTATCTGTCTGGTGCCTGGTAATGTCTGTGAGGCGTGTTACACGGTGTCTGCCAGGGCTGAGCCGCCGATGGTGGAAATGAAGGCTGCGAAAAGAGACAGGAGTTGTGGACGTATCGGGATTTTGGCTGGAGTTGCGATTTAGGTTTTGGTTTCTTTCCGTCCGTTCTGCCTTGCTGCCGTTGAAATGGGACGGCGCCACGGATTGCTTTTGGACGCAGTGTATTGCCATTTACGACAGCCTTTTGTTTTTATCTTGTCCGGCCGACCGGCGCCAATATATTTGTGTTACGCACGGGCTGACGGGCAGACTTGTTCTCCCACACCAAGAAGACGATGACAAAAAGACCTCCCTGGCGATGAGATGCAATATTTTCCGCCCTCGGCCTCCCTGGGCTGAGAGATTTGGTGCCTGGCAATGAGCAGACCATCAGACCATCAGACCATCGGACCATCAGGGATAGGCTAATTAGTATCTTCGGACACCGCTTCCCAAGCTCGTCCCTGTCAACGGGCTGAAGAATTTGGGTGTGCGGTGTTGGTGCACGTAACGCGCCGATCCCTTTCATGGTCCCTTGCATGGTGTTTATGGAAAAGTGGGAGCCAAGGAAAGTTGACGACGCAGAAGCAAGGACAGAAAAAAGGACAAACAGCAATTGACTCAAACGGTCAAGACAAACAGCCAACTACAGTTGCGAGACTGTCTCGCCTGTCAGTCGACGGTCGTCGTCGTCGTCGACTCGTCACTCGCCCACGGCAGACCTCCGTTGCACATCGCCCCGCCCGTCCTACACGGAAACGACAAGGACCGAAACGAGGCCGACGGCCCATTGCCGTATTTGGTATGTGCTCTGGCAATAAGCACCGAGTCGTGTGCGTCTTCGTCTTTTCACCCTCCTCGTATCTCGCGTCTCGCGTCTCTCGAGGTGGTAGCACCCGCCATAGGCTCACAGCGGGTCGGTTGTACCAGGGACAGCGGATGAGGGACGCCAATATCGACCTTGTCGTACGGAGCCTGTGGCCAGAGCGGCGATGCTGTGCGGTCCCGCGTTGGTGTTGTTTTGTTTCTACGTTGTTCTGGGTTGGCCAGTCTCGCTCGCGAGAAAGCGACTGTGTTGCGTCGCCAGGCACACCTAGCGACGACTTTGCAGATGGCCAATTCATACGGGCATGAGTTTCTGCTGTGCACGACGCTGTGGTTTTGCGCCGTGCTGCTTTTCCGGAGTGATCTGTGGTGATGCTCTCCCGGGTACAGAAGTACGTATTGGGCCCGTTTCATTGGCTTCCCTACGAGACTGGAATTCCGATAAAGTGGCGTTTTCGCGTAGAGTGCTGCGTTCTGGAGCTCGTTTGAGGAAGGGTTCTGGAAATTTCTCATTTGCCTTTATTCGAGGGACGAGGGAAAGGGTATGGCGTGCAGCTGGGAAGGATCGTCGACAATGTGTCTTGTTTGTGATTTCAGTCGATTTTACAGAACGCAGGGGTGGCAGGCTGGTGGCAGCAAGTGGCAGTGGTGGAGAGGCAGACAGGCAGAGTGGTGAGAGGCCTGCAGACCTGCTAGATTGAAAGGCAAAGTGATCGGCAGCGATCTGGGGACGATCGACAGGACGCATGCCAGCGTTTTGGTGCACACGCTGATGACACTCTCACACCCGACGCGAACGGCACCACGGACTGGCATGCCAACGGAATGTTTCACCATGAGTTTGTCGTGACCGCCAACTGGTGACATCACTGCGGTCCGGTTGGGCAGTCTTGGTGTCCTGTTTGACTGGCTCGACTGGTTCCAGCCATTAAAAAAGACAATCTCGCACGGCACCTGGGCACACATTGCAGTGGATGAGACACAATGGAGCAAACGACGGCCACATCTGTGGGAAACGAGACAGTTGGCAGTAGCGAGGAATGCGGCTAAGAAGGGTAGCTCGGTAGGAGGGAAAAAAGGGAAAGAAGGGGAGGAAGACATAAGAAAGAAAGTGACAGGGCGAGAAAATGTGGAGGACCGGTGGGAGACGAGCTGGGAGACACGGCGGGAACAAGAAATAACGAGAAACGGGAGGCGATCACGAGAGACATACAAGTGTCATGGAGAGCCGGTAATGGAGGTGATGGACAGATGCACAGAGGGCAAGAAAAGGGATTGTCGCGATGGACAAAGACACGCGCCTCGACGAGAGCCTGTTTTCGATGTGGATGTGGATTATACGTCTCGTCGTTTCTTTTCCTCTTGTCCCTTGGTACTTTATTCTGGTCTCTCCTCCCTCGGTACCTTTGTTTCTGTTTCTGTTCTGTTCTTGTTCTGTTCTTGTGTTCTTGTTCTGTTGTTTTCTCTTTTTCTTTTGAGATTCATTTTTTCTGAGTTTCTCTTTTTCTTCTCGTCATCATGACATCGACCATGCCAACAATGCCAACAATGCCAGCGATGCCAGCAACACCCACTGCCGCCGGCCGGAGAGTCCGCCGACAGAACCCGACTGTGCGGCCGTCCGGAACATGGGCATCGACAGCACCCGCATCCCGATTCAAGCCCATGACGATTCGCGTGGTGACATCCGAGGACGAGGCCAGCAGCAGCAGCGACGAGAGCGACCTCACGGATCACGATGTCGACATGGACGGCTTCGACGACGACGATGTCTTTATGCCCATTGTTCAAGCCACGGCCACGGCCGTGCCGGTCAAGACACAACGGGCACAGGCTGCGAGGACGGTCCGGAAGACGGCCAAGCCGGTGTTGTCAGGGGCAATGTCGACGACAACAGGCAGCAGGAGCCGCAATGGCACGGCTTGTCCACAGGAAGAGGCCTTTCCGCCAGCATTGGTTGCGTGAGTTACTTTTGTTTTCTTTATTATTTTCCTTTACTCATGATGTCCCCTTCTGCTTCGTCGTTTGATTTGTTTTCTCTTTACCTCTGCCTGAAGTCCAGGCCTGTCCGATTCGTACATTTGATGCTTCTCTCCATCGTTGTCTGAACACATCCGATTCTGGTACCAGGATCCAGTCATCCACAGCATAACGCCTGCACAATGCGACGTACGCCACTTTGACAACAATGCCCTGCAAATACAACTACATCTGCATCCGGGATGGGACAGGGGTTGTACGGTGGAGGCCATCGTGAGGGGTTCCTGTTGACAGGGGTCTGCCCAACGAGGCTCTTTCAGCGTCTGACTCCGGCGTCACTCAGCCCTCTTTGCCGAGCCTGGCCTCGATGTCTGCCTCCACACCTTGACGCCTTGACACCATTCCGCCATTCCGCCATCGTCGCCCAAGCTTAAAATTTTAAAATTAAAATTGGCTCGGAGCTTTTTTGGGGGAGTGGGTCATTTTCTCTTTGCGCCTCTACACTCAAAGCAACAGCTCTGGCAGCAAAGCAACAGCAACTCAGCTTCTCAGCTTGGCTGCCGGCGTCAATCCCAAAGAGGACGACGTCAAGCGGCAGTGCGGGTCGGTCAGCACAAGGGTTGGAGCGGGAGTGGGAGACGACTAAACAGGAACGAAAGCTGAGAGGTGAGGCGAGGATGGAGACAGAAGACGGGAAGAGAAATCATAAAAAAAAAGAGAAAAAAAGGAAAGAAAAAACAAACGCACAATCAACATCACGAAAAAGAATACCAAAGGACAAAAGGACAAAAGAGACGCCATCCGACAAAAACAACAACATCAACTCTCAGCACGTCTCATCCACTCAGACGCCACAAATCCACCGGCGCATCCTCGATGCAACTGCACTGCATGCAACTGACACAGCACCACCCGCAACCGCTCGCTCCTTGTCGGGGCTGAGTACTTTGTCGTCTGTGTCGTTTGGCAGTGTGCTGTTTTTGGACCTCTGTTTTGGCCCTCTGTTTCGGCCGCCGTTTCTCTTTGCATGCGTCTGCGCCAATGGCTGCCGGCCACTTTTCTCCAATTTAAGATTGCGCTCTTTGGCGGCGGCTTTCTTTGTGAGGCGGCTTCTTTTAGGCGTTCTTCACACTACTTGGCCGTTGTTGACGCCAGCCGTGCACCAGTCAACGGCCGTCCACTTGCGACTTCGCCGTATTACGACCTACGCTGCCCACTTTCTCCAACAATCTTCTCTTTCTCGTCGTCCTCTTCTCGTCCTCTTCTCGTCGTCCTCTTCTCGTCGTCCTCTTCTCGTCGTTCTCTTTTCGTCCTTCTCTCGCTTGTGTCTCTCCAGCTTTCCTCTTCATTGTCTTGCTCTCAGTGAAGACTGGTTTTTTTTTCTATTTCTTTTTTTTTTCCTTCGTTCTTGTTGTCCCTTTTCCTTCATCGTCTCATTCCTTTTTTCTGAAGTCTCTTCTCATCAATAATACGGCAATACGCACGCCAACACCAAAACGGACTCAACCCCACAGCCCACGCAAGTGCTGGCGAGAGTCTAATTTGCGCACTGGCACGTTTTCTGCACATCACTTTGGAATAGGGGGAATACGACACGAGGACGATTGAAGACGAGGAGACGATCAATATTGACTGAAAAGATCGAAAAAAAGAAAAGAAAAAAAATCGACTATGTACTGACTGTCCTCCTTTCAGCTTCTTGCAAGACGATACCGATCTTTGGTATGCGCAGTTTGCCGGTGTTTGCAAACCCAACAACATCAGCTCACAGAACCAGAACGAAGTGAACACCCACAACACCCACAACACCCACTCTGCCCGCTCTGTACCTGCATCAGCTCCACCGCACTACATGCACACTGCTGGCCCGCCATCAACTAGTCTGCCGGCGAGGCTGCCCACGAACCTCATGGCAGACTCGACTGCTGCCTTGCCCGGACGGTTGACGGGCGCACCAGGAGCGTCAACAGGAGTGTCCACAGGAGTGTCAACAGGCGCGTTACCAGGAGCGTCCTCAAATATGTACGCAGGACCGACCCGCCATACTCTTGTCGAGTCGTATGTGCCTGCACCGCTGCGCATCGAGAAGAAGCCGGCGATCCAGACGACTCAAGCACAGACAGCGCAGACAGCAGTCGCACAACCACAGCAGGCGACGATCCAGACAGCAACACCACCCATGCAGTCGACCCAGGATTTTGTGCGCCGCACCGACCGGAGCATGGCCCGCCAGCAAGCCCAGGAGGCCGTGATGCAGCAGCAGCAGCAACAACAACAAAACTACGGCCATCAGCCACAACAGCAGCAGCAGCAGTATGCCCATCAACAACAACAGCAGCAACAGCAGTACGCCCATCAGCAACAGCAGCAGCCACAGTACTCCTTGTACCAACCGCGCCGGCCGGCACCCGCCCACGCCCCTGCCCACCCTCATCCGCACCACAGCCACCTCCGCGGCCCCAACAGCGCTCCCTTCCAGTGGCAGCGCCCGGCCCTCCTCAAGCCGACCAAGGTAGCCCCGGCCCGCCCGCGCGCGCCGGGGGAGATGTTTGCCGCGCTGCCAGGCGAGGTCTTGGAGCTCATTCTGGACGAGCTCAAGAAGTCGCACATGGAGGACGGCCAGAGCTGCGCGACGTGCTGGATGCGCGACGCCTGCGCGATGGCGGTGACGGCGCGCAAGATGCTCAAGTACGCGCGGGTGGCGCTGTACGAGGGCATCGAGCTCGCGGGCGCCGAGGCCGTGCACGCGCGGCACGCGCCCAAGGCGAAGAAGCTCAAGTCGCCAAAGGAGCGAGACGAGGCCGCGCAGCAGCAGGCCCGCCGCCTGCTCGCCGACTCGCGCCTGTCGCTGCTGCTGCGCACGCTGGAGGCGAGCCCGCCGATTGCAGCGATTGTGCGGACGCTGCGCGTGCCGCCAGCCTTTGCGTCCGACGTGCTGCTGACGGCGCCCACGGCGTCCGTGGCACCCGTGGCGGCCGACGCGTACGAGGCCCTTGTCGCGTCCGTGGTGCAGGCGTGCCCCAACCTCGAGCGCGTGCTGGGCTACTACCCGGCCTACGACCACAACGCCGCGCACGGCCGGTACGCCGCGGCCCTGGCCTCGCGCACGCGCCTCAAGGAGATGACCTGGGTGGTGGCCCCGCTGCTGTCGCAGGAGCAGCGCGAGCAGCACGCGCGGGCGCAGCGCGAGCACGATTTGCAGCAGCAGCAGCCGAAGCCGCGCGCCCGCGGCAAGTCGTTTTCGCACATGCGCCGTCCGGTGTTGCTACCGTCGCCGCCCGTGTCGCCGCGCCTGGCCCAGGACGACGGGTTCGCCGAGCGGATGCGGCCGCGCACGGGTTCGCCTGACGCTGATGGGACGCCATTTTCGTCGTCTTCCTCTTCGTCCGCCATCGCCCTCGCGCCGCGCCAGAGCGCCCGCTTCCTCAACCACCACATCCACTGGCAGTACCTGTCGACGCTCGCCGTACACTGCCTCCCCGGCGCCACGCTGACGCCCTCGACGCTGCTGGTCGACGCCCTCATGTACCTGCCGGCCCTGCAGAACCTGTACCTGTCGCATCTGCCCGCCGCCGCGTTCGACGACGCCAGCCTGCTGGCGCTGCCGCCGCTCAAGAAGCTCGCGCTCGTGCACCTGCCCGGCGTCACCGCGCAGGGCCTGTCGACCCTGGCCACGCGCGGCACCAGCCGGTCGCTGACGGACGTGTCGCTCGTCCACGTCGGCGACGCCGGCAACATGCCCAATCTGCCCGCGCTCGCGCGCCTGCTCAGCAAGCTCGACAAGCTGACGTCGCTGTCGCTCGTGCAGGCGCAGGCGCCCGCGCTGCCGTCGGGCGACGTCATCTGGCTGTTTCCCTACCTGGCGTCGCCGTCCCTCGAGAAGCTGCACTGGGACGTGCCGACACCCACGCCTGTGCCAGCGGCAGCGGCAGCGGCAGCGGCAGCGCCCTCCGAGAGCCCCTTTGGTGCGCCCCTGGCCGGAGACGTCGTCCTCGCCCGCAGCATCGCCGCCCAGGGCTTCCCGCGGCTACGCCAGCTGCGCACGCCCAACGACCCAGAGGGCCTCTTCCAGGCGCTGTGCCGGCCGCAGGAGCGCGTCGTTCTCGCCAAAGACCGCTACCGGGGCGCGGGGACTACCTACCCCAGTGCATTCACGTCACCAGCAGGGACCACGTCGACGCCTCCCTCGGCCGCGGGCGGCCACCGCCAACGCGACTCCGAGTCGTCCCTCTTTTCGGCGTCGTTTGGCACGCACTCGCGCACCAACAGCACCGCGTCCTTTACGTTTGGAAAGTCGTCGGCCGCGTCGTCGCCGTCGTCGTCGCCGTCGTCGTCGTCTACGTCGAGTGCGGCGTCGTCCGCCTCGAGCGCGTCCTCCACGGCGTCCGCGCCGCCCACCGCCGAATGGACCTGCACCCACCTGGGCGCGGCCCGCGTGGCCGCCCAGGCGCGCATCGACGCGTCGCGCCGCGCGCCGCGCATGCTCGTGCACGTCACCGACGAGCACGGCCGCCTGGTCGACCAGTACGGGCTGGCCGGGTTTGTCGGGACCGTCGGCAGCCCCATCACGTACCACCTGCTGCCGGACACGGGCGCGTCGGACGAGAAGGGCGGGCTGGTGGACGTGCACGATGTCTTGTGCGGCGGCGGCGCCGGCGGCGGAGGCGCTGCCACCGAGGCTGACGACGCCGTCGCAACAAAGAACAAGACGGACAAGAAAAAGGAGGCCACGTCAGACGCGAACGCCTCCATCGCCGCCTCCGCCTCTTCGACAGAAGGCTGCACGGGCCAGTGGAACGCCAACTGGGAGCTTCCGCAGAAAAAGGACCGCGCGCGCTGGTGGCACACGGAGCGCCCACGGCCGCGCGCGGTGACGTTGTTTTAGGCTGATGGAAGTAACGGAGACCATCTTGTTGCTACGTTGTTGTTGCTACGATAAGTACTAATGAAAGAAGAGGACGACGGGCCACAAAATCTTGAAGCTATGGGCATCTTGACGATTTATGCAAAGCGATTTCTTTGGGTTTACGTTTCTGGTTGATTTTTGTATTACTTCATTACTTTCAGTCACCCCGTCTGTATCTATTAGCATACCCTCGACGCCAAATTAAATTGCAGAATGAAGCAATACTTCAGACGCCAGCACTGTACATAAAGACGTCTACCTCTGTCCGACATACTCCTTTGTCGCGACTGTTGACATCTCCGCCAATCTCCACGGGCTTTCGGCGTTAATTCGCAGTGGACGTCAAGTGTGCTATCCGGCTGATGCCGGCGCCGAATGGCCACTATAACAGCCCAGTACTACTGCGTAATTACGTCGCCCCCTGCCACGGGGTTCGGCGATGCCAGCGTGCAAGGCCCACCAACGCCCTAAGCCTCGACGTCATATTCTCCCCGCGGGCCTGCCAGCGATCCGAAAAGCTACGTTTTTTTTTCACACGCGAGCCAAAGCTTGCCAGCAACACGACGTCGACAGCCACGAACATCACGACGACACCCACGTCTCCATTTCGCCCACAACAAGCACACAATGCCACGATTCGCAGCATTGCCTGCTCTCGGTCGCGCACCGCTGTGTGCGCAGTGCGCGCGCGCTGCACGCCGCAGTATGGCGCCGACAGCAGCAGCAGCAGAACGGCCGCCCATGTTTACGTCCACGTCTCGCGCCATGACCACGGCACGACGGTCGTTTGCGTCGGCCCAAACGCGCACGTCTCTGCAGCAGTCGCGATGGCTGTCCCTGTTCACCCGGCTGTCTGCCGCCGCGCGCGGCCCACCGGCAACCGATGCGGCGTCGTCCTCATCCCCGTCGGCTGCCTCGCCGTCGGCCGCATCCCCGTCGACGCCGCCCTCGTTCTACGCCCTGTTCCCCAAGACGTTCCCGCACGGCGCGCCCCCCGCTGGGCCCTTTGCCGTCGACGTGCGTGCTCTGCGCACCGAGTTTCTGAGGCTGCAGGCGGCCGCCCATCCGGATTTTCACCATGCGGCGGGCGCAGCCGACGCAGCCGACGCCAGCGATACGAGCGAAGCGAGGACACAAACAGGGACACAAACAGGGACACAAACAGGGACTGGCCACTCTAGTGCCCGCGCCCGCGCCGAGGCGCTGTCGTCGCGCATCAACGAAGCCTACCGCACCCTGGCGTCGCCCCTCTTGCGGGCCCAGTACCTGCTGCGGCAGCGCTTTGACGTCGACCTCGCCAACGACGAGTCGACGCTGACTGGCGACCGTGGCAATGGCAGTGGCGGTGGCAAAGACATGGACCTGCTCATGGCCGTCCTCGAGGTGCGCGAAGAGATTGAGCAGGCCCAGGCCGAGGCGGACCTGGAGCCCGTGCGCGCGGCCAACGACGCGCGCATGCGGGCGAGCGAGGCCGTGCTGGCGGCTGCGTTTGCGGCCGACGACGCGGCCGCGGCACAGCGCGAGGCGGTGCGGCTGCGGTACTGGGTGAGCATTGACGATGCGCTGCGCAACTGGGAGCGGGGCAAGGACATTGTGCTGGAGCATTAGGGACTGCAAGCGAGGACGGGCAAGATGTGTGCTGCGAGAGGACGGCATGCCGGGACATACAGCTGCATCTTGGGACCATCGGCACGGCCATTTTTGTTGATTTGCTGACTGTCTCTGACAAATGCGAGACAGCTATAGAAGTGGCAATATACAACGAGGACGCAACACGATGCCCACAGACCGACTGAATATAGCTAGCATCCTTCATTTGCCCACCACCCTCAACGGGCGAGCCGTGGAGAATGCCGCTTCGCGGTAGTGGCCATGAGATGGACGGATCGTATGGACGAGCAGGTTTTGTGGCACCCGTCCGTGGAGTACAACATACAGCGTGCGACGATATAGGGTCTGTCAAGACCAGCACACCAGACATAGTAAGAGGAGACAAGAGCAAGACGAATAGCAGCCTCGGCATGCCTAATGCAGTATACGAAAAGCATCCGCCGCACATTGTACCCTCCAGCTTGAAGACACGTGGGGGTACGCATGGGGGAACGGTGGATGTGCGGAGTGGGATGGAGGCAACAAAGGTAGCGGGAGGCTTGACAGCGGGATCCTGCAGGTCCGCACGCTGTCCGCATGGCCTGCTTGCCGTAAGCCAAAAACTGCTGCTGAGGCTGCACAGATTGCATGAACAAAAAAGGCGCAAAACAGGGTCACTACGAATAGATGAATGCCATGATGCGTACGGCGTGCTCCAATCTATTCCGTGGTTGTCCAGCCACGACTCAAATCAAAACCGGGCCCTTTTTCATTTCTTGTCTCGCGTCGCCCATTTTCAACCGGCGAGACCTGACCACGGGACCCTTTATGCAAGTCATAGCCGAGGATGGTACGGGGTCAAAGGCTTGTCTAGGCGGCAACGACGCACTCGGAGCAATCAAAGATAGATGACAGGGAGAAGGCCTATGACGCACGATGCGATGGAGAGGGGGGGTAGGAGTAGACTGCGATGTGATATATGATGCGACAGTACTTCGCTTGATGTGCATATTGTACGCATCAAACAAGACAATCAAATGCATCAATGGACGTGGAAGTGGAAGAATACAGCAGGATTGCGCCATTGTGAGGAGCCATGTTTTCCGACATCGTACAGAATACAGATGTCCTGCGTCCTCGGTGGAGAGCAAGACGAACCAGAGTCGACGGAAACGCGGTTGGCACAGCCGGCCAAAACTCCTCAGCACCACAAGGACCAAGAGAGCCAAGACCAGGCACACCAGCCAGGGCAACAAGAACCACGTTTGTGGACTCTTGGTTGTGAGGCACTTGTTTGCGTTGGGTTTTATTTCACGTTTCTTGTCTTTTGTGAGTGGGTGTTTTTTTTTTTTTTAAATGTTCCCAATTCACAATATGTCACACACTAACCGGGCCCGAGCTTCCGTTTATTCACGGTTTATTTCCCGTCGACACCCCTCGACCTCGTCGTGTCGTCCCTGGCTGGGTCCAGAGTCGAGGGATCGTCATGTCGTTGCCTCGCGTGTTGCGCCTCGTTACGGGCATCGGCCTCGTTTGCATAGTGCGATAGACAAAGTGCGAATACGGCGTAGGATATGCTCCATACGAAGTACGAAATACACCCACAAGTGTATGGTTGCAGTGGACCCCATTTCCTGGGAACGGGGAAAGACTGCATGCACTGCAACGCTTTCCCCTGCATATGCCACGGTGGATGTGTCCGGCGTTGTCTTGGACAGCATCCACAGGCCGACCGCGCTGTGAAGATATCTAACCGAGATTCGAGGGGACGATGCCAATACAATTAGTTTGTTTTGTTGTGAGGCGCGTACATAGATAGCACGTAGACTTGGTTACTTTTCTCCATTCTCAATACCTCAAAATGCATGAGCAAGAATCCTGCAACCAAGGAGGCCATCTTCAAAACGTTTATCCCCTTTTATGACAGAGACCTGTGTAAATGCCAACACATCCGCAGCATCCGGCAATTGACGCAAACTGGAGACTGGAGACTGGGTCTCGTTGTATGTTGTAATTACATCCTGATACAGGGGTAGACACTTTGACGGAGCACTGAAGCGTTGCAAAAACGTGGCCGAGTAGCATCCATCAAGGTGTCAAAATTCAGGATTCGTAAGGTAGGGAGATTGGAGATTGGAGATTGGACAATACATCCATAATAATTAATCAGATGGAGGTGGCCAGGAGTCCCTTGCAACTGCAGCATAGATTGCAACATAGATTGCACACCACGACAGTACTGCACCACCAGTCAAATAGTTGCTCTACTAAGGAGGGACCGTTACAAATACTGTCGATGGTCGTCCGATGATCTTTCGGTCTTGACGGAGAGTGCAGTCTCGCCTGAGTGCGAGACACTCCTTTAATTGCTTACTTGTTTGCAATCTGTGTACACTTTATTCCGCTATGCTGCTTCCGTTTTGCTTTCATGATGGGCTGAAAGCAGGTTCTTGGAATGAGAGACGAGCCAATCTGCCCACCTCTCCATGATGCGACGAAAAGTGATGGAGGACGCTGAACGAGTTTGGACAAAGCTTGTAGTGACTCCCTCCTAGACGGGGAACACACGTCATGGTCTTCTCGGCATATGTGTCCATCCTCTGTCCATCCTCTGCCCATCCTCTGTCCTCTCTCGGCCGGCGGTGTGCACATCGTGGGGGTTCGAGCTCCCCCTTGCCCCCAATTCGCCCAAACAGCCGTGTGCTCTGGCCTTGCCAGGCCGCCGTTCCGCGTGGGATGCATCACGGGATGGAAAGATGGAACGATGGCAAGATGGAGGGGGGGGATAACACGGTTATTAAGATAGAGGATCAAAGTTGCAATTAGAGGAGGATGTGCCCATGATGGCCCATGATGACCCATGACCCATGACCCATGACCACGATGGGTGATACTGAGCCGCGCAAAAGGTCAGGGCTAGTCTGGACTGGGCTGGGCCGAGCTCTGCCGTGTCGTCTTTTTCGTCTGTCTCGTCTGTTTCGTCCGCGTCGTCCAGGTCGAACCGGTGTCCAGCTGACCCTGTTTCGGCGGTGAGCCTATTAATTCAGGTATAATAATGTCCTTTTCTCTTGTCCGCTGGCGAGCGCTGCCAATAACACGGCTCTTATCAATAAGACGGGCCGCATTATGGCGCGAGGTTTTTCAGTAGGACCTGATAAACGAGACGGGTTAAAAAAACATCGAATGGCGTCATTCGTATGTACGCTCACAGTGGAGAAGTCGGTCGACGACAGTCACCATGTATTTTCTGACCCGAGCCGTCGCTGTTCGGCGACAGAAACAGCATCTGCATCAGGACTCCGTACGGCGTACAAAGTAGTGGGCGATACGCTCAACCTGGGCACCAACCTTGGGCACGGACGTCCAAGCCAGAAACCACTTCTCCAACGACCAGGCCACACCTTTTGCGCGCAACCAAAACGTCGCGTCGCCACCGCTCGGGCTCGTCAAACGGGATGTGCTAGGAACAAATGGTCGACGGAACCATTGAATCGAGGTTCGAGAAGCTTTTCGAGAAGCTTTTCGAAAACCCTTTCGAAAAGGTTTTGTCTTTAGTCGAGGGCGGCAGACGTTTGAACAAAATAAAAAGAACGTGCGCTGCAGCTTTGTTGCGTACCTTGCAGAACGACTGTCCCTCTCCTAGCAGCACACCTACTTTAGCCCTCTCTGACCATCTCTGACCACCTCGGACCATCTGAGACATGCTGTGCACAGAACGTGCACACGGCCAGTCCGCGTCTGTGGTGTCTGTGAGTTGGGTGCGTTCAGTGTGTTGGGGCGCTGTGTAGTAAATTGCATTCATACGACATGCTTCTTGGAGACACGGAAAGGCACCAGAGCAACTGCCGGGCCGAGAAGAAAAAAGGGGAGACGAACGCGAAAAAAATGGACGGGAGAGACTCGACCGCAACACGTGGGCTCTCGATTCGGTTCTCTATCCGGTCCTCTGCCCACATCACACGACTTGTCCCGTCTGCATTCCTTCTTCCTTCCGCGTCCAGAGCCGCCCACTGTTCCCAGGCAGCAAACATCAAACGGCCATGTGGGCTGCCCCGGGCGTCCAGGAGGGCACATCACGCAGATCGCTGTTGGATCAGTGTTTAGTTTTGGCATGTTTGGGGGACAGGGCGGGACAAAATGCGTGGGGAAGCACGGCAAGCGTTGTGTGATTTTGTGTTTCTGTTCTTGTTCGAAAATAAAATATATGACATATATGCCATATATACCATAAGGTCGAGTGCTGGATAGCCCGATTGGGTAACCCTGTGTTATGAACAGTTCGACGTGGCAGGATCCAACATCGTATCCGCTCACGACGCGCCGTTGTGGTTTCCAGGCGATTGCCACTGCCCAGTCCTGTCGTGCCCGGCACATTCCGTCTGCAGTGCATATGCTCCCTTGCTTCTTGTCTTTTTCTACTTGGTCTCTGCACTGTTTCAAGACTACTGCACTCCAGAATGCAACATTCCGCGTCGACGACAGCGGCCAAGTCTCGACAGTGCCCTCTCAGTGCCCTCTCATCTCTCCAACGGCCGGCTTAGCCCCTTCTGTTCTGCATGACTAGTTCTCTTCAGGTCTCTCCGGCTATACTACTCGCAAACATTGCTGTTTTGAGTTACGCCAGTTTACGGCCAGAAGCGTGTTTTTTGTATCGTGACCTTGAGGCTGTTTATTGTATGTCAGACTGGGAAGGGCAATGTCGACGAACATCTACTTTTGTGCAAAGTGACTTCATAATGCACTGTAGCAGTAAACAAGTCACAGTCACAAGTGTACGCCCACTGACAGGCTCACTGCCTTGGACCCATTTCGCTTGCATCTCTGTTTTGCGTCGCATGGCTGTCCCCATTGTCGATCGCCATCGTATGCGACAGGGCCCGATCCTGGCCTGACTGGCGGACGGTCATTGCGTGTGATGGGAAAATACGATGTAAACCAATCCCAATTTGATGTGCTGGCAGCTTGTACATGTACTCTGTCATTTGTCTGCTGCAAATGCCCCATTACGACCTTGTTGT